TAAACATCAACTCACTTGAGCAGCTTTCCACAAAGTGTCGCAAACCGCTCTACCAAATTCGCATCCATGTCAGGGATGATGACAAGCTCGTAGAGCACCAGCGCGAAATGCACACGGTCATCAGTGGAAAGGCGATACTTGAGTTCAAGGTACCTACAGAGGAAAACCATTAGCACCTTGTCTAGATCACGTGACCTTTCGGAACCCAACGAACGCACATCTTGCGGGCTCAAAGACTCACGTTTTCAACTTTCGCACCCATATCAAACAGCCTGGAGCATAATCCCCAACTTCAACCGCTGCCGCCAGGCCCTCTTTAATCTCCCTCAGTAAGATCTCGCCATCCGCGTCCGTATCATACGGGAGAGACGCCCGCCAGTTGACGGGGTCGTAGAGTACCATGTGGGAAATGAGCGAGCGTGTAGAGGACAAGCGTCTATTTGACTAGTAAATACAGCCGTGGGTAGGTCGCAAAAGATGTCGTCACGTCCTTGCAAAACTAACGAGTGGATCCAATTATGAGTAAAGAAAAGTAACAGCAATCCAGGGGTCCAAGAATCTAAAATCTTTTTCCAGAATAGATTTGTTCTAACATAAATGTAACTAATCTCTCAATAGGGAACTTTTATACACGAGCTGTTTTAAGAGATCGCGCTGAGGACCCAACGTTCTAAGTGACGTTTGTGGTGGTTGAGTCATGTCCGTTGGTGTGAAATCACGTGATGTCCTTACCTAAGAAGAGCAGTAGACAGCGAATCTGGGTCAATCTTGGAACACTGCACACGCACCCTGTTTCTAGTTCAGGTTGTTGCTATTCTGCTTTGCGATTCTCCACAAGGACAATGATTCAAAACATTAATGGTCACCGCAACAGATTGCAATTAACTGGCGTGACAGTGCTCAATGTGATATTCTCTGCTCGCAAGCACGATTCTTCTTGTGATGTTTTTTACTTTTATTCTCAACACTGCAAGTTTGTTGCACAGCGTCACCTCCACTTTTTTGCATTCATCATTGAGTATGCATACAGAAACTAAAGGTAGTCGCCTGGAGCGCATGGACTAGAGAATCTCTTGGTAGCTGGCTATGGTGTAGCGATACAAGCACTCCTCCCCATAAAACTCGCGTACAATTTCTTAGAATGGAATATGAATTTGTTGACATTATTATTAACTGGTCAAGCTCTTGTTTTGAAGGCAACAAAACACACAAGAGTGCGAAACGACTTGATGGGGCGGGTGACTGTCGCCATCTTCAACTCTCTTATGTGATCTGATCAATGCGCGTCTGTCACGACTTCTACTCGCAAAAGATTCAGGTGCTTAAAAGATCAACACAAAGACCAATTGCCTCTGACATTACAACACTGCACTGCATATATTCGCATTGTCCAACTGTTTTCACAACGACAAGAAAAAAGCTGCATCGCATCCTTCTCTTCCATTCCCGCAAAACTACAACTACAAACTATGCCACAAATAACACAAACACACAAAAAAGGACGACAACGAACTCGTGCAAGGAAGGTAGCCACTTTACGGAGGAGAGCATACTCGATTTCAAAAAATCCATAAGTATCTCTCGTAATCTCGACCTGCTAATCCTTCTGCAAACTTATCATGCAGTGCAAGGGCCTGGAATATGCATATGGCATACTCTACAGCTTTGCTAGTGATGGGTATAATTCTGATTTTAGGTCTTTTTTTTTCAGCGCCCAGGAGACTTCGACACGCCTTCTAATCGGAATCGGACGAAGAAGATCCATCGCTGTCAGACTCTTCATCATCGCTGGGAGAGAAACTGGTCAGGCCCCTTGGACCAACTGGCATAGGGGCAGCCTTTGGCGCTTTGCTAGCGCTCTTGACAAACTCGTATAGTGCAGTCAAGGTGATATCGTCGATCGTATCAATATCGATTTCAATCTCCTCTTGCGTATCACGGAGATGGGGAAGACCAGCTCGGATAATCTCAAAGACGCTGGTCATGGCATCCTCGGTGAGAGTTCCAATCAGCTCCGACAATTCCTTCTTTTGCTCGTAACTGATAGATTTGCCACCCTTTTTACCCCTAGAACGAGGCTTTGGCTTTCCATTTGCATCCAACTTTCTTGCCTTGGGCTTTGGACGGAAAGGAGTGTTGGCGGAGTAAATGGGAACATCAGGAACTTTGTTGTCGCCCATAATCTTCCCATTCCTCCACTTTACACCACATTTGTTGCAAAGGGTACCGCATCCAGACGGTCCACGGCGCCACATCGGAGTCTCGCTGGTACCACAGTATTCACACTGTTTTTCTGGCCCTGCGGCTGCAGCGACCGCAGGCAAGATTTCGTCATCAGCCAGTTCAGGAGCCGGTGATCCAGTAGACGATCGAGACACTTTGGCCTTGGATGAACGACGGCGCTTTACAGTGGTTTCTGCAAGCCCGGCGCCTGATGATCGCTTGCGCTTCGGCTTTTTCTTCTCCGTCAACAGTGCCAGTTGTTGGTGAATTGTCTCCAAGCAAGATGCAAGCGTACTGATCTGTTGCGACACGCCATCATCATCGCTCGAGTCAACTTCCATCTCGTCGTCATGGCCAGTGGCTGGGCCACCAGTTGAGTTTCGGCGGCCAGAGATGGATGTTCTGGGTTTCTTTGCAGGGATATTCTCGGGTTCAAATACACGAGGTGGCTTGATTTGACGTTTGGACTGTCGCCTCGACCCGGATACGTCGTGCGGGGAGGCAGGTGCGGTTGTTTGATCTCCAGGCACGGTGAGAGCGGGGAAAAGTTTGTTCACCTGAAGTGAGAAGTGCGTTTCGAGGGTTTTGCCGAGTTGGTGGACGGCGTTGGCGGGGGGGTTATATGTGAAGCAGTTGTTGAGCATGAGTTGAACATCGTCAGCCACCTCTTGCACTTTGGTGTACTCTTGTGCAGCAAGCTTCCGTTCGACGGTCGACAGATCCATTGGCTTTTTGATCACATTGAAATAATCCGGTGCGCCAACAGCAAGAGGATCAACCGGTGCAAGGAACGGCCATGCAGCGTGGTGCTTTTTAAGCGAGTTGAGCAACTGACGACACAATTTTATATCAGATGGTGCAAGGACCGGTACTGCAGATCGGGCGTACTCTGCAGGGGACGAAGCTGGTGATACAGAGGAGGGTACAACACTCTCTTCTGATTTGGAAATTGATGTTTGAATGGTGGACGATGCAGCGGAGTCGGGGACAACGACACTTGTTTCGTCAGACGGTGCGGGGGATGCGGGGTGGTGATCTGATGGAGGTGACAAGGGAAGTGAAGAAGGTGATCGAGATTGTGGTAAACTGTCAGCGATGCGCTGATCCAGCATGACGAGGGCTGATTTTTCCTCCACAGGACTGACTGGAGTAACGACTTTGACATCGTCTGCCGGCGGTGGAGAAGGATGCGCAGAGTGGCGAGCACCCGAGAGTGTTGTGTCCAATGATGCTAGAGCCATCTTCATAATTGTACAGGAAAGCTTTTGAGTCAAATGAACATGATGAGTTCTTTAAAAGATTGCAAGCGACGGCAGTGCGCAGTCGCCGACCAACCGTCGTCATAAGACGGTCAACCAACCTGCTATTTGTAATCAAAGGTCGTGTCGAAAGGTAAGCGAAATGGAAGAATAGAGAGAACGGGAGGAAAGGAAGTTTACTACAAAACCAGAAAGGAGAAAAATGATGAACAACGGAAAGAGATGGCGGTTATTCCACTACATGTGAATCCCCAACCACCCCCCACGTCTTCCATATCCCTCCTCTAGGCAGCACAGGAGAATCAAGCTTGGGCGCAGTCGTGGGGAAGGCGAGGTAGAGGATGATGCTCTGTGCTTCAAGGCTAGGTTCAGGCCAACCTAGTCGCTGTCCGATGCTTGCATTGATAATTCATCTTTATTTTGATAAAAGCTACTGGACACCGACGACGAAGGATGTCGAACTCGGCACAGTCACCTCCTCTTCCCCGCCATTTCCCATGCGCAGTCAGCACGTCCTCCTTTCTCCTACACTATCCCATCGACGACGACAACGACGATGCCTCGTTCGACAGTGCGTCGGCGGGCATGGATGCTCACCAAGCAGTGGCGTGAAAAGGGTCGGACGTAGTGGTCGGGCGTGTGGAAATTTCGATTGCAATCGACGACGAACCCGACAGGAGGAAAAAGAAAACGGACACGTGATGTCGTTGCCTTGGAAACCCGTGTACCCCCACAGCCAAGAGAAAGCTGCGGGGGGAAGCGAAAAGGTGTCCCATGCCTATATACCATCCCGTTCCCATAGAGCCATCACAACCCCTTGCGTGCCGTTCTAAATCTACACCTCATGGCCGCCTCTCCTGGCAGCACTGCGCCCATCGAAGGACAACGAAGGACCTCGGGCCAATCATCTCTCTCCCATCCAGCTCATATAAAATTACCTTTTAGGAAAGTCGTAATGTTTGAATGCGGGGGGCCAGGGCCAAAGGAGGTAAAAAAAAAGGAGGTGATAGAAAATTTGCGCGGTTTCAATGCGTGTGACAAAAGTTGTGTCCGCAATGACGCGTCCCAGCAACCAATGGTTTAGCACAGGAAAAAAACATTGGGGGGAATGGGGACAGCTCGCTTTTATATGCCGCTCGCAATTGATATGAAAAAGGGGAAATTCAGGGGTTGGTGTCTTGGTGCAGGCCTACATTGATTTGTCACCGCGTTGGCGGCTGCTGATTGGCTGAAATTTACGTGATTTGCCACCAAGTCGAGTGGCACACTTTCTGATGGGAAAAAGGCCCAGGAAAAAAGAGCGAAACAGCAAACAAAGCCACACGCAACACAATACAGACACATAACGTAAGCATGCCAAAAGCACAAACACAAGAGTTTCCCAGACACGTCAACAAAAGACTCTGCAATTTTCCAATGGGCGTATTGTGAAAGATTCGGTCCTAAAAAACATAAACATGGTAAGACAACGAAAGATCATCAAATAGCAACAAATACAGTAAAGGTTCGGTGCAATACAATGTGCAGTAGCAGGGATAGACTTTTTTAAGCCAAGTCAAAGGAGTGCGACAAGCATTCTCTCGCACCATCCCATGTCTACCGATCCGTACATACGGACCGGAAAGCTTTCATAGAAAGTCTAAGCACGAGACCTACCTTGGCAAGTATGTCGTCTTGCGATGTGTCTCCAAAACGATGCCGGATGGCATCCGCCAGCTTCACGTCGCTCCTCCAATGATCACTTCCATCCATGTTCCACAGGCATCAAAGCTTTTTGTTCTCCATGTCATCCTCACACATTCAATGCATCTACCTTCACCAACCTATCCGCGCAACAGAAAGCGTTAGAGCGTTAAACTAGGCTTCACACAATCTCGCCCACACTAAAGTTCACTTACCTCAATTTCTAATCGTGCAGTGCCTGCACGGCCCTTCAACTAAACTCTTGCGAGTAATCCAAACCAAAAGCACAGAACGCAACCTACCTTTAAGAGTACTCACCGTTTATAAGGAGTTCAGTCAAAATACTTTGGAAAGCACGCACAGAAACCAGAATGAGTGCGCCAAAAGGGAAAAGATCCGTTGGGGCATAAAAACTAGACATGGCCCAATGTGACTCTTGCGTGCTGAACAATAAAATTGTGGGAACACTTGATGCACGTGACTGATTGAGTTAGTCAGCTGGCTCCAATATAAACAAACGGGGGATGGATGAACTGACATGAAAACGCTTGAAGTTTGCAGCAACGCTTCCACTGGATATATCCGTAATGATTACAGGTCCAATACATATGTGAAGGCTATAGAAAGGAAACATCATTTTCAAATACTCCCCTTTGAGCGGCATACAGATTAAACAAAACAAAAAGACAATGCATCAAATTAAACAATCAAAAAAGAAGAGCATCAAATTAAACAATCAAAAAAAAAGTTATGAACCTTCCCTTCATATATACAATTATTCGTCGTCAGTCAACTCTCCCCCCAAAAGTTAAATAAACTCATCTCACGCTCTCTAAAAGAGAAAACGGCATCAGACTACGCTATCGTGCACCTTTCATATTTCCAATAACTTTCTTCCATAATTTTAGTCAAATATTCCATATCAACGGGTTTCGAAACATAGCCATCCATTCCTTTCTCCATGCATAGTTCCTTGTTTCCGGCCATGGCTTGAGCCGTTACTGCAATGATGGGGATACGTTTGCATTGGGTGTGCGATATGGATTGCAGAATGCGTGATGTGGCATCAAAGCCGTCCATGTTGGGCATCGCGAGATCTAACGTGTGCGTTAGCGCGTGCTTTTAGTGGACGAGAAAATGGACATGACATACCCATGAGGATGATGTTGATTTCGTCCCGATTGGCTTCCCATACTTGGATTGCTTCGAGACCGTCGTCCGCCGTTAGGACCGTGTGACCTCGGCGGGTTAGCTGACGTTTAAGGAGGTTCTGATTGATCTTTATGTGATCGAAGAGTGAGATACAAGAAGAGTCAAGACAGGTTTCTCTGTAACGTACCAGATTATCCTCGACTACAAGGCACTTCATAGGAGTGGCTGCTTTCGCAGGTCTTTTCGATAACAGATGCTGTCGAGATGACGGTGATGCAGCCGATTTCAATGGTTGTGGAACGTTCTGGGATGATACACTGGTCGCCGATGGTTTGGTACCGTTGAAGCCGTTGAAGGGTTGATTCGCCTCGCCTTTGGAAACAGGAGACAGATGATCTCGTCTTGATGTGTCCGGTTGGGTCGCTGATCCGTTCACCGTGCTATCCAAACTAACTGTTTCCATTGTGTTTGACAACTCCTCAACGGCCTGCTTCCCTTCCTTTTTGCTCCGTTCAATCTTGGGTATCAACTCAATGATTCTCTTGAACGCAGGGTCATTTGCTAGATCACCAGTCTTGTGTCCCTCCCACGTTTTCTGCTCCTCATTGGCAATGTGAAAGGGGGTGCAGACATGAAAGGTGGTACCGGTTTGAGTTCCTTCTTCGGGAAAGTCTTCTAGTGAGACACTGTCGAATGTGACGGTTCCGTTCATGGCATCTGTGAATTTCTTTACCAACGAGAGGCCGAGACCCAGGCCGGTTGACCGTGAGGAGCGACTGAGTGTCTCATCGAGAGGCTGCAGGTGTTGGAAGAGAAGATGTTGCTTCGATTTTGGAATACCGGGCCTGTGAAAGTTTCTACCGTTATCACCGAGAAAGAGCAATTAATACTCAAGACCATATCACTTACCCCCAATCTTTTACAATCAGATGTAGCGCCACCGTATCCTCCCCCTCTACACGTTCTGTTTCCACTTTGCTGAACAGCTCGACCAAGACTCGTCCATCATTTGTCCACTTTAGAGCATTGCTGACTAGTGCTTCGCATATACTCTGCCACCAATCCTGCTCCCCCCAGACTTCATGCAAAAGATCGCTTGCGACGATTTCAACCCGCACTTCCTTTTCATTAGACTGAGACCGCCACTTTTTGTGAAAGGATTGAGTAAGATTCTCAATAACTGCCTTGAGGACTTTTGCCGGGTTAAAGACAGTTCTCATCCCCCTAGTGGGTGAGGTCAATGCAGAGCTGGTGATCTCCTCGGTAGAATCGGAAAGATCACTTTGGGAAGATGGAGGGATGTCTACCTCCGTGTACTTCTAATGTGAAATTCGATACTGATTAGATATGCATCGTCAAAATCCCGCCCCAAAAACCTCCGTACCGCACCATGAGATGGTCAATCAACCGTGTAAGCTCCTCGTTCGCTTGATTGGCTTCATTTAGCAATTCCCGTTGACCAGAGTCTGAACTCGTATCATCAGCCAGCAATCCCAATGCAGCCTTGATTGTATGCAGTGGTGTTCTCACTAAAGGTAAAAACTTTAGCGCTCCGCCCTAGATTTTCCATTCACGAGCACGTACTTACACTCGTGGCTAACATGATTGAGAAGCATGTTTTTCCTCCACTCTGCCTCCTTTTTCATCTTACGTTCCAGTACTAGGCGGGCATTCCGATCCATCGCTTCAAAATGTGCTACTCGCAGGAGGTGCGATCGCCAGGAGGTAAGTACATTGGTGAGAACAACTTGGAGCGTTGACATTAGATCCTGCAAGGTCGCGTCAATCATCATGCAAAATGGCTAGTAAAGAGCCGTTCACCAACGAACCCTGTCTTTGCACAAAGGCTCATCCCATGGTCGACTATGGCCCGTCACAACCTCTTTCCAAGCTTCAAAGGATTGCCGTGGTTCGATCTTGCGCGTCGCACGATTGTACGTGGCCGACTTGTCTTTCGCCCCCTGATTTGTATCGTCAATGTTTGGCTCGTCTCAGTAATTCCGACACACGTTCACTCACCCCCCATTGCACATTTTGCAACTGTTCACTAGCAAACCACGCAATCCAATCGGTGCCTCCCTCGCTGATGGGCAAATGCACCACTCCAGCTAAAACAGTATCCAAACCGTCGTATCCCACCAGATGATTTTTAACACAGGTGGAGACAATCACTTCTCGCGATGGTCTGGCATCCGCCCATTTTATATAATTTGCGACAGCCTTATGGGCGTTATCAGGGACGTTAAAGTGCATGGTTTTGCCATTGTACTGAACTGTTGCATAGTCTATCGTCATTGCCGTGAGAAACAAAGCGTCGAGCGCGAAGGAATGACAAAGTAGCGTACCGGCTCTAATCCAAGACATCACCTCTGGAACAACGCGTTCGAAAAACTCGTCCATGGTCGCAACTATGACCTGTGTTCCCATCGACGTGGTAGTGGTGAGGCTACTAGAGGAAGACTTGTCAGACGAGGTAGAGCCGGTTGGGCCGGGCCAAGGCGCCTTAGAGTCTTTATCCCAGAAAATATCGCTTGGATCACTAATTGCCGTGTCCAGCCCTGCGTCTTCCGCTTCCCAAAGCTTTTTCATTCCAGCCAGCTGGATGATTTGCTTTCGTTGTTTTTCGCGTTTACTGTATTCAAGATTTTCGATGGACGTTGAGAGAAGGGATGAAATGTACAGGCACGTGGACCGCACTTGGTAGGGTATGATGTGCTCGTCGTAGTGGTGACTTTTGGAAATATAAGGCAAGGTCAATGACTGTCCTTGCAATTGTGGATTCAATTAATAGCTGCATCACTCTAGCATCGTACCATGCGATTAATCCCCATAAGCGGTTCTCTACCATGACTGCGATGGACATTGTTGCCATCTGAATGATGCGTTATGAATTCTAAGCCATGGGCCACGCGAAAAATCATTGAAACTTACGACGCCCATGTTTTCCAGGTATTTCAAGTGTACGGGTGAAATTGAGCGGAGACTGGCAAACGACAAGTCCAGCGGCTGACCGCATCTTGACGGTGCGGCAGCAAGGTTTGATGGGGATGCACTTCGGTTCGCCAAAACACGAATCTTGGTCAAGAGATACAAATCTCTGCACATTGCAAGAGAGATGAGTAACGTGTGACGGAGAGGATACTCTATCATTTGAACAAACCTAGCTTGTTGGGGAATATCGGAGGCTGGAAAGTGCAAACCCATATATCGCTGGCCCTCAAATCCTTCCCGGCATTCCTCCTCGATCACCACACCATGCCAATCCGCATCAAACCAGTACATCATTACTCGATCATACTGCGTCACCTCGGCAATCGACTGCACTGCCAGGTGAATCAACTCTTCTTGTGAAGATGCGGCATTGAATTGATGAATGAGCGTTTGCATGAAGAAAAAGTGCTGATTTGGATCAGGTTGAGCGACATTGTGGGAATCAAAGTATTCTTTTGGTTCACATTCGAGGATGATCAGACCGAGGTTTCTTGGTGTGCGGTGGATGGTCGCGTAAAACAGCCTTGATGGAAGATTTGGGAGGGAGGGAGGGACATGTTCCTTGTCAGAATCTGATACGGGTCGATCATCGACCCAAAATTCAAGCGGCAATGTATGAATGCTGCCTGTTTCTGCATCCTTTAATGTCCCAAGTGTTCGTAGAAACTGTTTCTGTGATGCGGGTGTCAGACAATCGGTAATTTGTCTTTGAATGATCCGCGCGACTGTGTTGGACGAGCCCAGGAAAGCAGTAACGTTATTGGACACGATCTGGATTTGCCGCGATTCACCGTCAAATGCCAGAAGAAGGCCATGGGGTTGTATCGAACCTGTCAAGCAAAGTCAGTCCACAAAGCTTCTAAATTCTGAGTCCAGTGCTCAATCACTGTCAACAAGGCGCCAAATACCTGGAATGTGGATCGGTTCATGCGCGCATGTCTCCAAGAGTCGCTCAAACTCGTTGGACTCCTCAACAGAGGTGTTGCCATTCTTCAATTGAACACTTTGGGACTCGGCTGGCAGAGTCTCAGCGGTTGACCCAGCACCAACCGCAGTCCTGTCTGCGTCAGCCATTCCTTGGCGGCTGTCTGTCTATCGGTCGTGATAATAAGATGACGGCAAATCGCTCTCGTCTATCGCACTCTTTCTTGTTGTCGTATCCCCAAATGTACGTTGATGATGATCGTTCTGCAAAAACTCGTAAGTCCAAAACTTGTAAAAAAAAACAAAAAGTTCCCAGGAAGCCGCGGAATTTGTCAACTCGTCCAAAACGAAGGGAGCCTCCAAAAGGGGGGAGCAAAGAGAAACCCGAAATTTGGCTAAACGTACGTCCACAATCCAGCAGACTGGAATCATCCAGATTAGTCACTTGTACCACTCTCATGTACCTTTTTATGGAAGTATGAAATCCATCCAAAACACCCGAAATGCCGTTGATTAGTACCGACTCCTTGGCCATGGACCCGAGAATAAGGCTCTAGGCTCCCCTTACCACTGGACCTTTTTTTTCACGGTCCAGCGATCTCAACTTAAAAATGATCGTCAGGGCAGCTTCGGTCTTTGGGCAGGCCCTTTAGTAGGATGTCTCAAGTTGAGACTCTCAACGACAGATATGCCCGTGCATGGGCCCTCCGATGGGCCCGAAGTCCAACACACCAATATGGCAGATTACTTGTAAAAGTAACCGTGTAAAAAGGAACGTTGCCAAAAACCGTTCGTTGCGTCAATGTCGACCCTACTTGTCGATGCCGATTGTGTCAGCAGCACTGTGACTCTGGTGATTAGAATGCATTCCAATATACATGGAACGCGCGACTTTCTACAAAATGTTGCCGTTTCCTTGTTGTGTGACGTATCAAATGGGTGCAACTGTGACATGGGCTGAAAAAAGAGGTTGGGCTGGCGTGGGAACTCTTTGCATCTCGCCTTTTTTCCCATCATTTCCTATGGGAACATGGCATCGTCCTTCCCACAACCGCATCCCCTCCCTTCACATTCTGGTTCATATGCAGGTACAGATATCGATGACCTCGCTTTACTCTCAGCGACAAGCTCCGACGCTATTGTCTCCCACCTGAGTGCAAGAGCATCCCGCGGGCAAAACTATACAGCATGCGGGTCGGATTGTCTTGTAGCGGTATCGAGCTCAGGCTCTCAGGAAAGGGTGCCGGACGAGCAAGTGGAGAACTTTGCTGCAACGTTCAAGAGTTTGCGGGGTAATTCAATACAAACCGGCGATCACAATTTACCCGCACATGTGTGGCGGCTGGCGGCGAATGCGTATGAAGGTGTGGTAAAAGCAGGAGAAGATCAGTCAGTGGTTTTCAGGTATGGATAGGCGGCGCGATCTTCATTTTCATTGGTTTGCTTTCTATTTGCTGAACCCGGCGTTGGATGGCACTTAGCGGAGAGTCCGGAGGCGGAAAGTCCGAGTGTCGCAAATTGTTTCTTCGTCAACTAGTAGCACTAGGCAAGACACCTAAGAAAAAGTCCCGTGTCTTGTCCGGAGCCGTTAAAATGGAAACGGTGCTGGAGGCGTTTGGACATGCTCGACTCCCCCACAGTCCGAATGCGTCCCGATTTGGTCGCTATACAGAGTATCAGTATGATTCGGCAGGAAAGATGATTGGTGTCAAGCTTTTAGAGTTTCTTCTTGACCGTCGACGAGTGGCATTGGGGGCAGACGCTTTTGAAGGCGAACGCAATTTTAACATCTTTTACCAAATGCTGGCTGGATCATCGTCCGAAGATAAGGATAGATTAGGACTTTCTTCCGACCCCAGTAGCTACCACTATTTGGGTGGTATGGGTCCCACGTCCCGATCGACGCTAGGTCGGTCAGGGACGCTCTCTCGCAAAACGACTCTCCCACGTAAAGGCACATTAACTCGCGCACTTTCCCTTCGACGTAATGGTACCATCGGCCGAGGAGGCTCCAACAACACATCGCACCCTATTCACAACCTCACCTCAGACGATACAGAGAAATACGAATACCTTGGCGAGACTCTAAAGAGTCTTGGCGTTGGCCGTCGCGCTCAGGCACAGCTGACGGATATCCTTGCCGCTATTCTCCATCTGGGAAATGTCACATTTCAAGACGATCCTGATCACCCGAACGAAGCCTGTACAGTCAAAAACACGACTGCTCTCGATCTGGCCGCGGACTTGCTTGGAGTGTCCCCAACCCACTTGGAAACCACATTGACTTACAAGTCGAAACTTGTCAAGCGAGAACTGTGCTCTGTCATGTTAAACTCGGAGGGTGCAGAGCAGCAAAGAGACACACTAGCGAGAGCATTGTATTCTGGCTTGTTTGCTTGGGTAGTAGAGCACCTCAACCGACGTTTATGTAAAGAGGAAGGCTCTGTAGCATCATTTATATCGGTCCTTGATTTTCCTGGTCAGGCGCGACCAGACGAGCCTTTAATGGCTAACTTTGACGATTTTTTAAGCAATTACGCGAATGAACGTCTGCTACGTCATGTTCAAAAACTTCAGTTTGGAACATTGTACGCTGAACTAGCGTCGGACGGTGTTAACCTTTCCAAAATTGCAGAGTCCTTTCCCGATAATGGACCGATTCTCAGAATGTTGACCGGTGGAAAGACGGGCACCTTGGATGGAATTTTACCGGTTTTGGAGGAGGAGTCACAACGAGCTACAGATGATGCGCAGGCTGGGCAGAGGTTTGGAAATACCTTGAACACTCACCTTGCCGCAAATACCCGCTTCGTTCCTGGAAGTCGGTGTCCACCTGCCCTGCTGCCTCCTACCTCGACGGGTGGGCCGCCGGATGACTTGTCGTCGCTGTTTGGCATACGCCATTACTTTGGCGATGTCACGTATGATGCAACGCAGTTTGTCGAGAGAAACACTGAAATACTCGACGCGGATTTCGTCACCCTGTTTCGTGGAATCACGACAGAAGACAATGTCGTTATCCAAGCGCCGTCCAAGAATGCCTTTGCCGCACACTTGTTCTCATCAAAGGTCGGGGTTGCAACTCAAAGTACACCAAAGCATCCCGCAACCATCGTGAGTGCTCGACGAGCGGACCGACCATTACGCCGACCCAGCACGAAGCGGAGGCGGAACGCGAGTCCAAAGGATGAAGTCCCTGAAGATTCAGAAAAGCTCGGCACTGTTTCTGGGACCTTTGTAGAGTCTTTGGAGGAAGTCCTTGACGCCATAAAAGGGACAAAAGCGTGGACAGTTTATTGTATCCGGGGCAACGACGGGAACAAAGAGTTTGACGGTGGCGTTGATATGGCCACTGTTCGAAGGCAGGTCAATGCACTCGGAATACAGGCGTTGGCGGAACTCCGGTCAGTGATCGACGTCTCGGTGAAGGGAATGGAGTACGATGCCTTTGTGGGACGTTATGCACCTGTCATCGGATCGCTCTCTCGTGGTCGCGATCCAAAGTCCATTGTGAACGAATTTTTGAAGACGACAGGGTGCAACCAGCGAGAGGTGGCCAAAGGCAATAGTAAAGTGTTCTTGAGCGATGCTAAATGGAAGTGGTTAGATCTCATTTTGGATGAGAGAGAGCAGGAGGTACCGTTGGCTGCAACCGCGGCCGCTGCTGTGGGCGGGTATGGTCAGACGCAAGCGCCACCTTCTATCTCGCATCCTTCCTCGTCCTCGAGCAGTAAACGCGGCTCAGTGGGCTCGTCCAGCAGCACTGTGGGCTTCGCAGCATCTGGTTATGGGCCAGCCCGACAGGGCCGACCCAGAGTTGATACACAAATGACGGGCAGGGAGAGACCCATATCCGCATATAGCGAGGATGATGGCTATAGCGATTCTGATTCCGTCTACGGGTCAGAGTTCAGTTACGGTGCCGAATCCGCATATGAGAAGCGGCGATCCAAAGCCTATATGGAACTGGAAATGGGCAAAATATCTGGGACTTCGCCACTACCCCCAAAGCACGCACAGAGCTCCCCGAAACCGAAACGCAAATCAACGGCTACGCGGCGAAACTGGGTGTGCATTACTTGGTGCCTCACCTGGTGGATCCCATCCCCATTTTTGCGTTGGTGCGGAGGAATGCAGCGCCCCGATGTTCGCATGGCGTGGCGTGAGAAAGTGGCACTCTGCATCCTCATTATGGCCATGTCTCTCGCCTTGTTGTTTTTCATCATAGGCCTCAGTTGGATTGTTTGTCCACCACAGAGAATCCGCACGCCAGACGAAATTGCGTCGATGTCATCGAACAAATCCCCATACGTCTCCGCATATGGCAGATACTACGATGTGAAAGATCTCATGAGTTCCCATCTGAACTCTTTTGGAACTGGTCCAGCTGCTATCCACGATTATGATCTTGAGCCCCTTTATGGTAACGACGTGTCTAATTTGTTCTTTAGGACGGATCAATGGGACCAGTATTGTGAAGGATTCACAAAGCCACAGGCTGGGTGGGATAATATTGATCCAACTCCTGCCAATCAGGCACCGTGGAGCACGCGACCCAGAGACATGAGGCTATGGCATCGGGCTACTGATCCGGACGGAGGAGTGCGGCAGTACGTTGAGTATATGAATAAGTATGCTCAAGGTCGGGTTGGGTGGAGTATGGAGAGATTGAACAGTTTACGGAGTAATACCAAGGTAATCATTAGTTGAACGATGTTGATCATCATCTGTAGTACTCGCTAACACGATGCCAGATTTATGTCAGGATCTACTCGAACGTTTACTACCTGACCACGTACTTCAACATCGCACAGCGCCCTTTCTCTCCGACAGCTACTGGCATTCTCGACCAGGCGCCCAATACGCTTGATCTCACATCCACCTGGAACAACTACCGTAACCAGGATCGCACGGAAGCTGACCGCACACTCCGCTGTCTTAATGCCATGTTCTACATCGGTACCGTTGATACGCGTAATACCGCCGCATGCCGCTTCACGAATTGGGTGCTCGTTGCAGCATCTATTATTCTCGTTGCCGTGATTGGATTCAAGTTTGTGGCCGCCCTGCAGTTTAGGAGTAAGAAGGACCCTGAAGAATGCGACAAGTTTGTCATGTGCCTCGTGACTGCATATACAGAAGGAGAAGACGAGTTGCGCAAAACGATTGAAAGTATTGCAGTAAATAAGTATGATGATCGGCGAAAGTTACTCTTTGTTGTGGCCGATGGGATGATTGTTGGAAGTGGAAATGATCGCCCAACCCCACGGATAGTTCTTGATATCCTTGGCGTTGATCCCGCCGTCGATCCGGAACCGTTGGCGTTCAGATCCCTGGGTGCCGGTACATTGCAATATAACCTGGCCAAGGTTTATTCTGGTCTCTACGAAATCCGCGGGCATCGGGTGCCGTTCATTGTTGTAACAAAAGTTGGGGCACCACATGAGCGCGTCAAACCTGGCAATCGAGGCAAACGCGACAGTCAGCTGATTTTGATGAGATGGTTGAGTCGAGTTCATTACGGTGCCGAGATGACGCCTTTGGAGTTGGAGCTTTGGTTTCACGTTGAAAGGATTATCGGTATTCGACCAGAGTTTTATGAGTATATTCTCATGGTTGACGCGGACACTTGTGTGGATGATCGAGCGATTAACGGGTTGATTAGCTTTATGGTAGACGATGCCAAGGTATTGTGAAGCATTCGTGATATTTATCGTGGATAATCAATTTAACTTAAAATGTCTGTCATTAGGTGATGGGTCTTTGCGGTGAAACCAGATTGTCAAATGAAAAAACAAGCTGGGTCACAATGATACAAGTTTACGAATACTTCATTTCCCATCACCTTTCGAAAGCCTTTGAATCGCTCTTTGGCACTGTCACATGTCTACCTGGATGCTTTTGCATGTATCGAATCCGGACACCGCCCAGTCCTTCTAATCCATCCACTCCGCTCCTCGTCTCGGAAGGTGTGCTGCACGAGTACAGCGAAAATAATGTCGATACGCTTCATATGAAAAATTTGTTGTCCCTGGGAGAAGACCGGTACCTCACTACCGTAATGCTCAAAAATTTCCCTGGCATGCGTACCAGTTTCACTCCTTCTGCCAAATGTACTACAACAGCCCCAGACCGATGGTCGGTTCTCCTCTCGCAGCGCCGTCGATGGATCAACTCGACAGTTCACAACCTTCTCGAACTTACGACCCTGAAAGACCTTTGTGGTTTCTGTTGCTTTAGTATGCGCTTTGTGGTGGTTGTTGACCTTGTTGCAACATTTGTCCAACCGGCGGCCGTGATATATATTGGATACTTGATCTTTTTGTTGGCGACTGGTGGATTCAGTCGAACGGGAGGAAATGGGATGGTGTTCCCGGTTCTGAGTGTGGTCCTGATAGCGGCGATTTACGGATTCCAAGTGATTATTTTTGTCTTGAGGAGGCAGTGGCAGCATATTGCCTGGATGATCATTGTGCGTATTTTTATTACTTTCCGTCACTATCTCGTCTCCGTACTGACCATTTTTTCGTTTGCACAGTATCTTTTGTCTCTGCCCGTTTTCTCCTTTTTCATTCCATTATACTCCTTCTGGCATTTCGATGATTTCTCATGGGGTAATACTCGAGTCGTAATGGGAGACGGGCGTAATGGTAAAAAGACGAAGAAAATGGTCGAAGTTGAAACTGGCAAATTCGATGAACGTCTCGTTCCGTTGGCAAAATGGGATGACGCACGAATGGGTAAGCGACACAGCTGGTGGGATAGCGGCGAGCACCTCCAGAGTCGTAATGGCAGCCGGGAGAGTTTTTACGCTACGTCCGTGAATGGTGGCTATCCAGTCTCTGGATATGGTGCGTATCCACCCTCCAACTATGCTCCGTCCTATCATGCTCCCTCCAACTACGCACCGAGTCAGTACGGCGGACCAGAGGTGGCGGACCCGCATGATCACACATACGTGGCCGCCTCACCAGCGCCACCTCGCTCTTCCTTCTCGTCGGCACAGGGCCCGCGTCTTTCCTTCTCCTCATCGCGTCCATCCTCTGAATCACTTCTAAGTGAAATCCGTCGCATTCTCTCCACAGCGGATTTGATGACAGTCACCAAGAAACAGGTCCGAGATGAGCTATCAAATCGATTTGGAATCGATCTGAGGACGCGAAAGGAAGAAATCAATGGGTTGGTGGATGAGGTTTTGCAAGAGATGAGCGGGATGTGATGCAACTGGTTCTATGTGACCTGGATCCAAGTTGCTGTTTTCTTTTTTTTTTTTTGCATTTTCGCATCGCTTTTTTGGATATAGTTTTTCCATGTAGGTATCGTGGGACAGTAGTGCTTCTAATGGCGTAGTGTAGCTAGTGGCATGTATACTGTAGCGATTTTGGATTCATTTTTTATTTAGTGGATGCAGGAGATGGTAGACGATGGGTCATTGCTGTGTTGGTTGGACAGACGTCTTCTCACATGTAGTTAGTGCATAATGTTTTACTCTTTTTTTTTTCTTTTAATCTGAACATTACTATCTTTATTTTGAACGGAATGATGCAACTTGAACAAAATGTTTATTGATTGAGTAATTGTAAAATGAGGGCGGCCTTCTTCCTTTTGACTGCCGTCAGGGTATATACAGCAGATTAACCGCCAATGTTGTCCAGAACACATTCGGCTTTTTACAACCTCAATCCAGACGGATATCCTTCATCACCTTCTTTCAATTCCTGCAATATGTTGACAGGAATCATGCCCGTTCCGCCCTTGGTCAAATTCCTAACCATGGCCCAACCATCCGCAAATAACCTCCTCTCCTCAACCACATCTCCGACATCGGCATCAATTTCGTCCGGCTGAGATGGGGTAGCCTGCCAGAGAACTTTATAGACTTTACCTTGCGGGAGAGCAGTGGGGGCTGCAGCAGCGAGTGGTGAGTGGACACGACGACGAGAATCACTCCGATGAGGAGTTTGAGGGGCCGATGATGTGAATGTGCTTGGCAGAGCTGTTGCAATCGGGGTGGGAGACGGAGTATTAGGCGTGGAAAGCGGGACCGGGGCGGGGTGAGTCGTCATGGCAGTACTGGGAGGTGTGATATCTCTGTTAGCCTCATCCATGTTCTGGCTCCTTTGAATAGACTCTGTTTGCCGAGCGGGTTTTCCTGCCTCTAGGTCCTGGTACCGATGGTGTCGCATGATACGTCTTCCTTCCTTCATTGCTAAACTAAACGCTGCGAGGAGACCAAACGCTGCTAATAGGGCGATGCCTCCAGCCAAAAGACCAGCTAAAGCTCCTTGAGACACGCAGTACCGCCCGCATCCATTCGTGTCAGCCAACACGGCATTTGTCGCTCCGGTTTCTTGCCCAACGACACTACCAGATGCCGTGGGAGAGAGGAACGAAAGCTGGTCGCTTGAGGGTACCCAGCTGGAGGCTTTGGTATCGCGAAAGTAAAACGTCTTGTCGTTGGCTACCCATTCCTGAAGATTGGGGTCTACGCCGGTTTGACCTCCGAACACAGCAAAGTAGGGAGAAAGCGCGGCGGATTGGGCAAACACCCTAGTAGTGGGTGTCCCCGCAAATTGCTGGCGACGATGGAGACGACGAGACGAGGTAGCAGAGGACTGGGAAACTTGGAACGTCGTGTTATCAATGTTCCAGACATCTGTGGATGATTCAAAGGATGTGAGTACATGCGATCATCAAAAACAACCAACTTGAAAAAATAACTCACCACTCTGAAGCTGGTTCTGCTTGTCCAATCCGCCATACAACACTACAGTTCCAGAAACCAAACCACAAACCCTGCCAGTTCTATCCAACGGAACACCTGATAATTGCTGGGAAATATCGGTCCAGGTTTGATCTTCCTTGCTGAATACCCACGCTTCGGCCAACGGTCCATTGTTCCCTGTGCCCCCTACTACGAGGAAAGCTGTGTCGTTCAATGCCGTCGTACATTGCCAGGCGCGAGGTGTCGGACCGCTGGAGGTCTGAATTTGTTGGGTGTTGAGGTAGGGGAACTTGACAGCCCAGAGGTCGTTAAGAAGCTTGTTGTTTTTGTCTCGGCCTGTAAAAGTAGCGAACTGTTAGCCTACCTAATGAAGGTAGTAAGGTAGTATGGGAGAGATAGACAGCCACGAACCTCCGTAAATATACATGGTGTCGCCAAGGACTACAGAAGTGTGCCCCCATCGTTCCGGAATGCTTGTCTGCCTAGTGTCTTCCCATTCAAAGGTAGCGGGATTGAAGACCCCAATACCAGACAAAAGGGTACGATCTGCCCCTGCGGGAGAAATCGTCCGACCACCTAATATGGCCGCATTAAGGATCCATATTTGCACAGCACGTAGAAGTAGCTGAACAAAACATACCAAAACAGTAAATCTTGTTTCCTTTAGAATCGAATTCGCAGGTCTGAGCGGTGCTGTTCAAACGATTTACACCATCCCTTCCCGGACCAACCGCAACATCTTGGACGCTCTTGTCGCTTAGATCAAAGACTGTAATGGAGGACACCAGCGCTTGTTGTGCTTCATCAAAAGCTGCGTCTAAGAAAGTAATAGAGAAGAAAGGAAATTCATCCATTGTCAACCATGATCAACAGTGCGTACATGCGCTTCTGAACACAGACCTGACGCCGCTGAGCTCGTCCAAGTGCGAGCCGTCCCACCTATCAACAGCCATTTGTCGCTTGTCACGACACTGGCAGCACTGGTACGACTGTATTTAGCCTGAGGCAGGCTGGAATCCCCACTGCCGCTTCCTTGGCTGCCCTGGCTCTGGGCATAGGCGGTCCCCAACAACAACGAGGAAAGCACCACGTTCAAAAGACGTGCCATTTGAAATCTTTGTAAAATCCGGTAAACAAACCGAGACAAGCCTTCTCAACCCCGTCCAAGGATAGAAAAAATACAAAGAGGGTACAAGAAAGTCGAGAAAGATTTTACTGTCAACCGTATTTATTATCACTTCCCCCCTATAATACACGTTTCCGAGGACTTTTTACCCAGTCGATCTTCAATCGCGCTCTCATGACCATGACACCATTACTTCCAGGCTTTCTTTTCCTTACACGCAACGCTCACCAACTAGCCCGTCGCGTGCCGCGCTGCGCTCATTCGTCGTCATTGTTGACTGCAAAAGCCACGGGCGTGAGGGGTCATCTACTCAAGCGCGCTAGGGAGATTTTTGGATAGAGTCGGGCCATCTTGTTAGTGATTTCTAATTATTGTGAGGTCGATTCCGGCCGGTGTTTCGGCCCTGGCAAAAAGGAATTGGTGGGCTCAAGAGCAAGGGGAATGAGGAGAAAATGTACATTCATCACTAGATGGTAAAAACCTCTACACAAAGCGACAGTGAGTTATCCGTGCAGCACGGAAGTAAGGTAGAAGTCGGAGTTGATTACGCAATCATTTTGATGTCCAGATGGCCATAGAGCGTTTTCCTGCTGGGGCGAACCACAATGATAACCCACTGGACGTAAGATATCCATACTCACTGCTTTTCAGCTAGGATTACAATATGCATGCAAAGCAATCATTTGAGACCCCATCAAGGTAGCTCCTCTAACCTGTCTGTTCATATTGCGGCATCATCCTCGCGTCCGAACATGGATGGGTGGTCTCTTCCATCGTCTCACATGTTAACAATTACACTTCTCGTTCCCTGGACAGTCCTTGATTGGTATATAGATCCAAGGGTGGATCACAGAACTGGAGATGCGCAGGAGATGCGCAGGAGGAAGGTCAAGACTTTCCGCAATGTGGTTGGTAAAAACAGTGAATGGACAGCTCTCACACAACCTGCATACTTCACAAGATGGAAATACATCATGAAGTAACAGCCAATAAAAGAACTTCTGTCTGCTCAATGAGCCTCTAAACCAGGTCACTGGGTGTGGCTACGAGGCGGTTGGGTGCTCGCGCCTGAGGGTGAACCCGCACTGCGACGGTCGCGGGCGGGCCAAAAGCAGGTGCTTCGGCTGTGCAAACGTCCAGACATCCAACAACAAAAGATTCTTTTCATATATTAAGGCCCAACGTGTTCCGGGATGCTTCCTTCCCTCTGCACGTTCAATGGATTCTGATCTCCTTGCTACGACGGAAGCTGCACCGGTAAATGTCCTTTCATCAGTTTATTTTATTGAAACTAGACTTATAATCAATTAGGACCCATTTTCCTTAATTGAAGTTGTAACAGCAACCAGGCCAGTCGCGGTGACATTAGAAGCCATTCCAACGAGTTTGGTACGTTGAACTTGCTACTAGCGACACCAGGACAAATCCTCACTCTGTATTTGGAATACTGCAGTTATTCACCGCAACCACAAATTGGGATTTTTCTTCCAGTTCAGCAAGTACTGACGTGACAACCACGGCACCGCCCGTCAGCTCATCACTTGGAGCTTCAATCACACTTTTCGAGAATAGTTCGGTATTAGCAACCGAAGGTGGGCCCTCATCAAGCCCCACTCTTGAGAGTTCCTCATCCAGCACCTACTATTGGAGTTTCCCAAACAGTGGAGTATCGCCAACTTCAAGCTCGGTATTCACAACCGAAAGTAAGACCTCATCAAGTCCGACGATTAAGAGCTCCTCATCCAGCACCTACAATTGGAGCTCCCTAGCCACTGAAGTATCACCAACTTCAACTGAATCCGACATCAGTACCGCATCGGTAACTTCGGCCATTGACATCACATCGGTCCCTACACCGAAGTCAGCGCCTACCTCAAGCCTACAGGGTATCATGTCTACTATCCAGCCGGCTATTCCACCTACTGCACCTCCTACATCAGAAACGCCACCCTTGACAACAGAGGACCCGGGAACATCACCGACAAATCCTGAGAACCCATGGAGCCCTGGAGGGACATCTCCGCCCTCGTCTAGTGGGAATTCGCCAGTTGCATCAGAGGTACCGAGCGGTTCCGGCTGGCCAACATCGACAAATGGAGGGGGCGCCCAAGTACCAGGCCGCAGTGAATCAGCAGCTTCTGTGCCTATAGTGCTGCAATCATCCCCCACCATATCTGGTGATTTAGTTACTGGAGTGTCACAGCTGTCTCCAAGCGCAGTCATCACGCCAACATCCAGTATACCCGCAGCAACCCCTTCGCCAACCTCTTTAAGCGAATGTTACAACCAGTGCTCGCAGAGGTTTGGTATGACACAGAATACGCGTGGACAACTGCTATCCTGTCGACTGGCCTGTCAAGCGGCATGGGGTATAAGCTCGACTCGTTGGAATGTGGCGAGCACCTGGTGGTCGACGCAAAGCACCCCTACCCCACCCACAAATTCATGGCCCAACTCGGGTGAACCAGGTGGTTCGTCTGGGAATGGGGCATCATCGCCAGTTGTCAGCGGCGTTTCGGATCTCGGCGGGTCCCCCAGTCTGACGTATCCAATTGCGGCCAGCAGTACGGCAGCAGCTGTCGTACCACCACTGCTTCCACCTCAACAGGTCACTGTTGTCCAGCCAGGACCGACAGTTGTAGATCCCGGACCAACGATTACACCACCACCCACTGATTCGGGTTCCAATCATCTAGGAGCACTCTTGGGAGGTATCATTGGTGGTGCTGTTGGGGCTGCTGTCCTGACATCCATAGCAGTTGTTACGGGTCTCAAAGCCATGCGCGCACGAAGAGCGGCCGGAGGACATTCCAATTATCCTGGACGTGTTGAGATGAACGTCCCACTAGCTGCCAATAAATTCGACCCAGGGCGTCCACCCGCTGGACCAGAGGGCAGAAGTTCGGCTACGATGCTACATATCCCACCAGGGGAAATCAGTTCAAGGCCTAGCACGCCGTCATTGGGTGGTGGCGACAATATAGACCGAGTTCCTTCTAGCGTGCGAATACACCCTCCATCCGACACGGGAAGCACACACTTGTCCCCGCCTTCGCGCGTGACATCTACAATGGGTGATTCTCATACAGTCGATATTGATTCTGCCAATATAGGCGCCGGCAATGTAGAGGAAGACTTGCACGAATCGCTTGATTTCCCACCACCCTATGAAGATGTTGCGGGGCATATTCTCGGTCCTGGGCTATTTGCTGCTGGAGCCTCTTCCTCAGGTCACGAATCAGTATCAGATCGTTCTTCGTCTAGGTATGATCAATCCCTTTCGCCGACTCCTTTGACGAGACTCGAGAGCCGACCAACCGTTTCAACAACATCGAGTTCAAAGGCCACTGGTTTGTCTCCCATGTCCAGTATACCCTCACCTTCGTCATCTTCTGTCGGGTCTCCCGCTGCTATACCAAGCTCAAAGGCATCCGCTTTTTCCCAGCAATCCGCCGCAGCATCAGCTGCTTCCAGTGCGTCCAATCCTTCAGTATTCATTGCCCAAAACATCCCGACCAAAACTGGCGAATTTCTCCCAACTTCGGCAGACGAGATCCCACTTCGAAATGGCGATACAGTTACGATTCTTGAATCATTCCAAGATGGGTGGTGTCGTGTCCGAAACTGGTCAAGAGGCGATGTCATTGGAATGGTGCCAAAGATGTTTTTGGCACCGGCGCCAGTGCCCAGAGGAAAAGGGGGTCAAAGTGGGCTGGGATACGCAGATCCTTTTATACCCGGTTGATGAATTCGTTGATCAGAGATATGATATGAAAAGGAAAATCTGTGAGATGAGCGTCCGTTGGGCAGTAAAGTAGCTAGCCAGGTAAAAAGGGATGTCATGAACAAAGAAACTGTATTGCACGTCTATATAGTCATGGCACAACTGTACATTAAAAACTTTCTACAACAAAGCACAATAGTCACAAATCAGCGAAGAACTTGCGGGCGACCGGCATAGGCCCTCATATTCCTCTCTAAATCCTTTGGAAGTAGCTGGCCGTGGGCCAGCCCGCACGCACTTGTTCACAGATTTCAATCGAGGTAGCAGAGATTCTACCTTGAAGTCGATGCCTTTGATACCCTGGAGCCCTTTGATACTCTGGAAGCCTTTGACGTTCGAGAGCCCGCAGATCCAAATACGCTCCCAAGCGTCAGTCTCTTTGGGTCTTCCTGCGCCTCCGTTTCTTCTGTCGGCTTGGAGGAATGGCGACTGTGGGATGATGGTGAAAGCCGTGGTGGTTTTGGCACGTGCGCAGGAGGAACAGGACTGATGGGTGGTGGGTATAGCGCAGTGTATCGAGCAGCGGTAGCTTCCCTGCAGACCTTGTTGGCTCCGGGATCGGAGAAGGGACGGTAACGATCAAGAGAAGGTCTTGCCGAATTTTCTGTTTCTGGATTGATATATGTAGATTCTTTGACTGGTGTCCTGCTCTTGGACAAGTATGATCTTTGGTCATACTCTGGTCGTTTGAGTCTTGTGGACGAAGGTACAAGTGGTTCGAGCTCGCTCGCTTTCTCAATGGGAGCGATTGGATACAAATTCGAAAGCCTGATCACGTCGTGAGCTGGGGGAGGTTGTTTGCTATCGCCATTGAATGAGTTGAGTCCAGCACCCTTTCGATCCTTCGCGGCAGCTTCCCGCTTGATCTTGCGTCGTTTAGTGATAAATGCAGCACCGCCGACGAGTCCTCCCAGTAGTATCGCTCCGCCTACTGCTACGGCAGCAATAAGTATGTACTTTTTGGTACTGGACATCCCAGTGTCTCCGAGTCCTTGCACATACAATGCCAGAAGAGGAATATTCTTGACGTCCTGGACCCAACCATCTGCGATGGTGTCATAAAAGTAGATAAATCTGTCTGTCGGATACGTTTCGTTTGCGCTGGGGTCAAATGCTGTCGCTCCGCCCGTCACGATGAGATATTGACCAATGGAGGCAGAGAGTTGAAATGCTCGACGGGAGGGGGGACCTGGAGTTGTGGCCGGCTGAGAAGGCGCTGTTTGTGGCACACGACGGTGAACTCGGGGTGCATTGGTTGACTGGGATACTGCTGACGGGATGGTCTGCGTCGCAAGGCCTGGCGCTGCCGTAGCAGGAACGGACGGAGCGCTGCGTGATTCTGTGGATGTACCATTACCTTTGCCGATAACATCGCACGACACGCCTTTTTGACTGGCACATGTGTCGTTTTGGTTATTGTCTACCCCATTGACTATATCCATATTGTCCTGCTTGCGAAACCACGTCCATCTTTGCGCATCCAATATCCACAAATCGTTTAAAAACGTGCCTGATGCGCTCTCCCCACCAAACACCCATGCTCGCCCATTGACGTTTGTACAGGACATTCCAGAGCGTTGGCCAGGCGATAAATCACTGAACCATGCCGTGGTTTCCGTCCAGCGGTCATATGGAATGTCGTAAAGCCAAGAGTCCCCGTACACACGGCTGGAGTTCTGTCCACCCAAGAGAAGGAAAGAGGAAGAAGAAACAGGAACCAAGCAAGCGTATTGTCGAGGAGGAGGCGATGGGGAGTAGAGATTCGTAAATCCAAGAGATGTGCTTTTGTATGATGTAAGATCGATGGACCAAAAATCGCTAAAAGTACTGGGGGCACCTGTCCAACCTTCTCAATGCTGTCCAATCAAAATCTAAAAAATAAAGGAAGCCAAGGAACAAAAACTAACCTCCAAATATGTACAACGTTCCGCCGATCAAAGCGGAAGAATGTCCCCATCGAAGGGGCACATCTACAGGAACATTTGCCTCCCATGCCATCGCTTGAGGATCAAAAATGCCCAGCCCAGGTATCATGCTGCCTCCTGCCCCATTCCTGACGACAGTTTGTCCACCTGTGAAAGAAGAAAATATCAAGTTTCAGTAGTTTGCACCGATGCTTGGCCATAACCACAAACGAACCAAAGCAGTATATTCGTCGCGACTTTTGGCTATAGTCGCATGTTTGTCCGGTTACGTTGAGGCGGTTGGGCATGTTTGACGGAATCGATATGGGAACATCTACAGTCGAGAATGTTGCATAGGAGAAGACTGTGGCGGCAAAGCCAATAGACTGGCCAAGCTGAGCGCGAGTCGGATCTACAAACAATGGTAAGTCTGCGGTAATTTTCTTGGTCGATTGCTTGGGCGTTCACCGTTTACTTTATTTACCTGAGCTCAACAAGCTACCATTTCTCAAGTTACCTCCCAAGAGCACCATCTTTCCATCAGTGGCGATAGCAGATCCGAGCATTCGTGGGTACGGCGTCCGTGGCAGGTTAAGTTGCACCTGTTGGGCCAAAGCCAAGTCTGCAATAGCTAATAGGAGAATCATCTTGAATGCCGCCATGGTGTGCTATATTGTGCACCACGGGCGTAACTGACAATAATGTCGACTTCAAAAAAAAATAGGGCGGGAACAGCGATAGTCCTTTGTCGCTGCGACCCGAAGCCACAACAAGCTCTTCCCGCCTTTTGTTGAAAACTTGCAACATGATGTGACCTGCTTGCGCTTGCATCAAGTGTTCCTGGGGAGAGGTCTTTTCCTCCTTCTGAAGCTTCTATCGCGTACACCACGGAAGCCAGCGAAAAAACCTTGAAAGCTTCTTAAACTCCGCGCGTTACGCGTCCTGAAATGTAATCTCCAGACAAAACTGGACGTGATCGAAGACTTGAGGGACATCCCTTGCCAATTATTATGTCCTTTTGCTTATTTATAGTCGCAACTTTTTCTTCGGTGGATATGAAGTATATTGTTTTCATCTTGCGTAATTGGATTCGTGGTTAGAGCGAACTCGGCAAAGCACGTCTCGGTTCTTAAATGCCTAATGATTGAACAACCGAGGATATGTCAACGGGTTTAGAATACGCACTGGGAACAAGTTTTTACAACCTGGAGCTAGATGAACTGGAAGCTTTCTATTAGTTCTACAGCTGCCCTGGACATCAAGTGTTGCTGAGTTTTAGTGTGTCGAGGTTTCGTTAGAAACCTTATAGGATTAATGGAAAACCGCATGGTAATTAACCAGCATCAAGTAATAGTGCGTCTGGATAGATTAGCGACAAGTTGCATAAAACAGAGCTCATTGCAAGCAAATATATTTAAGGAATAGCTCCTTTTTGTTTATATTTCACTAAAGACTATAACCATCAGCTCGTTCCATTTCCTTCGATATCGCACATATAATTACAGACATCCCATCTAAGGCAGGACGCTATATAACCTCGGTTTTTTTTTCCACCCATTAAACCACAAAGAAACACATAATCACAGTGTTAAATTTACATCATAAAAGGTTTTTACCAGCCGCCGGGAATGTCGTCATCGTGGGTGAAGCGAGCCCAGATTTCGAGCTGCTCGCACTGGTCGAGATAAGCTTGGCGGTTCTTTTGGTTGGGTGCGCAGGCTAGGCGGTAGCAGAGAGAAAGAGTGGGGGACTTTACACAGTCAGTGTAGGCCTTTGCGTTCGGGCAGGAATCCCAGGCCGTTTCGCGACAGCTAGAGCAGTCACCGGTGCATGCTCCAGGAGTGGGGGTGGAGCTAGGAGAAGTAGTGGTCGAGGTTGTCTTGGTGGCAGGCTTGGTGGTCGCGACAGTTGTGGTGGCCACGGTGGTGGTGGTCACTGTCGTTGCGGTAGCAGTGGCGGTGGTGGTCGCAGTGCTAGTGGTCGAAGGCTCTGGGGCAAGACAGACGGCGGGAGTGTCGGATGTGGTAAGGTTGAAGACAAGACCTTCGTTCAAGACGTTGAGTGGACCAGGGTAGGAAGGACCCAAGAAGACACCAAAGGCATCGGAGCGCTGGAAGCCGAGGGTGAGAGGAACACCAGGAACGTTGACAGAGGTGAGGTTGATGGTGAGGGCGATCGTGTCATCGGCGATGATGGGGCGCGAGTCATTGCCGCAAAAGACGAAAACAAGACGGTCTCCCTTGGTACTGTAGAACTGCTGATGAGTGACATGACTTTACGCGCAGCAATTGAGTAACAGGACTTACGTAGCAACGGAGCTAACGAACGGGGTAGCTTCACCGGCAACAATGAGATTCTGGGGCACCGAAGAGTCATACAAGCTCAAAGTGGCAGTAGCAGCCGCACCACTTTGAAGTGGAACAACCTCAAACGACAACGAACAGATCGAAGCGTTGACTGGAGCGGTAAAGCCCTGCAGCCACGCGTCGCCGGCAACAAATAGGTTGCGTGAAAAGGTCTCGTTGCTTGACGTGCCAAAGATGGCATCGCAAGAGGGGTCCAGAGCAGGTTGGATGTTCTGACGCGCGTGCAGGCGGTGCTGATTGGAGATCATGCCGGATGGGAAAGCTTGAACCGCAGTGGCCGTGGCCAACAGTGCGCCGACGAAAAGAGAGGCAGGTGAAAACATGCTGGCACTGATGTCAAGTTGGAAGAAAATGATGGAGTTCTTTGTACTAGCGCTAAGTCTTGAGCAGCTAAATACACAAGAGCAATGTGAGTGTAGAGGGTGGGGGGATGCGCCAGACGGGCTTCTTTTATAGACGCAACGTAGGTTGTTGGGGAAGGGGAAAACGTGCGCATTTTTCCATACAGAAAACACATCATAAAATAGTTTAGAAGGACATTTCCTACGTTATGTAATGCTAAATGTGTAGATTCTTCATGAGAATGCTGACCAAGAGGGTGAAGAGAAGGTGCGCATGGTCGTTGTCGGAGTTTGTTTGCTAGATCGAAGTTTTATTACCTTCCGACGCGCGTATCCTCCATCGGACGTGTTTACGTTTACCTTACCCTGGTTTATTTAAAAATACCGGCCTGGGTACCGTAAATAAAAACGGAAGTTTATGGCACTAGATTGTTTTTAAACAAATGCAAATGGATACGCAGGGCAGGAAGATGATATATGCACTTTTCGACACCAAACAGCAAGAGTCACAAAGGACTCTAGCTCTTAGCACCACTCTGATAATGTTGGTCTGCTGTGGGCCAGTCAATCCCATCGTCGTGGTGGTTGTCGTTCTCAACAGTTCAAAGAAGGTTGGGGGGGGCATCGGAGATTTCAGAACCTCTTCGGAAGTGAATGTTACGTCATCAACAGTTGCTGCGCGCGTCGAATTTCGAGTGCAGAGAAGTTTGTTCGGTGAATTTAATTTCTTACCAATCCCATTAAGAAGGTAAGGATGGAGGCCAAGTTTGCATTGTTTTCATTGAACGTAAGCAATTCCGACATCTTCTTGTTGCGGGCTTCTTCTAACTGCAAGCACATGCGTGTCCTCAACGTCAGCAAGCACCTGCTCAACTGCTTGGGTGATATTGTAGTCGTGTATCCATCATTCTGAACCATGTGCATGTTTTCATTGTCGACCGCGAGACTGAGCTCACTGTATTTTGCAAGTTTATTTTCAAAACATATGTCCGTATCTTACTTAAAATATATACAATATTGTAAAAAATATATGGAATCAGAGAAGCCTAACTAATGCTCCTGGAGCCTGTAAATCACGAGAACAACGCCTTTGCTCTCAACCCTTGTGCCCAGCTCTACCTCTTGCACCAATTCATCTTGGCATTTGAACCACCGGGACCCGCCTCTCAGCCGTGTGTAAGTGAGAAAGTGTCCACCGGTTTGTGTCACAAATCCATGAAGACGATAAAATGTCTTTTGATCCGAATGTCGGTTCTCGAGGTAAAACCCAAGATCGACCTCAAGCGGCAGCTCAATCGGCGGTGCATGATAGGACCCGCCATTGACGACGGGACGCTGAAGATGAATTGTCAGGTAATGAGGGAGTCGTGTAAATCGTATCTGCCGATCGGGTGTAGCATTAGGCGTCGACAGAGGAGAGGAATCGGGACTACGGAAGGCGCTTGACAAATTTGACAGCAAGGAGCGGTTGCTGAACGGACCGCCGAAAAAAAAAGTAGCGACTGCATGACCGAACCGGTTGTTAAGAAGTGAGATCAGAGACACTGTTTCCTGGTCATTATAGTCGGCAAGAGGGATGGTGAGAAGAGAGGTTGTTTCCTGCCTGGCGCTTCCAGAATCCAGGACATCTACAGCACTATCAGTTCTTCCCTTCAGGGCGATAGCTGCGTTTCCATATCCTTTTGCCTGGAGATTTGCGGGATGTGGGGCATCGACTAATCCCATCTCAAACCTCCTTCCGAACCTCGTTCTTCCTAGCACGTCGTCCAACATGGCACGGGTAACCTTTTCCACATCGGGGACAATCATATTCTGTACATGGGGCGCGTGATCTTCTGATGGAAGTCCGCATGCCTCTCTCCACCAGTTCAATTCGACAAGCTCTGCCGGAGCAACTCTTGCTAGTTCTTCTTCATTTCCATCACATTGAAACTTGCGGACCATCTTTACAAACTCTGCAATGTTTGGTAGTTTTGCAGCAACGGGGAGCTCTTCGTTTAGGTTTGGGAGACATGTGAAAAGCTGGAGCATTGCATTGAGAACTGAACGAGGTTTCGAGCGGTGGGGGTTTGGGAGACCTTGAAGAGACCTGTTTGCAGAAGACTTTCAATTCAATTTCCTCACCATTCGCACACAAAGCGAAACTTACTCATTGGGAGCATATGAAATGCATGGTTCATTCATTTCCTCTTCTTGAGGTGGAAACACAATGACCTCGGGAATAGCGAAAGAGACAGCACCCGCCAAGCGAGCTTCCTTTGCTGGACGCAACTCCATCAGGAACAAGAGTTACCAAATGTAATACTACTTCAGTTTTACAATGCGTTGAAAGCGAAATGAATTCTGTTTGTCGGAGTAGTTTGGTCTGCCCTTTAAGCCAAAGGGACCTTTTGCCAGCCATTTTGCACAGCCCATAACACCCGATGATAAGCTGGATGATAAGGGCGGACAGATGATATGAGGGTGATAAATATATATCTATGATATTTTATGCGGCCAACTTTCTATAAATAACAACTTTTTGTTTGTCATCAATTTCCAGGAATGTGGGCGCAAAACGGCCAACTGGCGGAAGCGATATGCTTCATGACGGACGACTGCATGTACGAGGCAATCTCACATGCAATGTTTGGTCTGGGAGGCATGGTCAGCCATCAAGGTTTGCTAAGGCACATTGCCCTGCTCTTTGCGATATCCTTTGGACGCAGGTGCATCCACAAGTGATCTAGCAGGATCTGCAAAGTCCAATGCTTTGCATCCATCCCCAAAGATTTGTAGCAAAAGGTTTGTAGCAAATGGTACACATTTTATAAAGAAAGGACACACCCCCAGCAGTTCGATGACTGCGGGATGCTCTTACAAGGGTACGATCCCGATCATGAATGCCTGCCAATGTGTTAACCAATACCAAATGCAAGAACAGCTGCTTTCGTAAGCTAACAGTAAGCATCCACGTGGCACATATGTGGCTTGCGACTCTCTCGATGACAACTGTCCTTTCGACCGCGAAATGCCCCACACAGCATGCAACTTCCTTGTCCATTTGGGTTGGCATCCTGCGAGCACGCACGCCGCTGAACACCGTATACCAGAAAGAGTCATATTCCTGTCTCGCTTACCGCCTGCACCGGACGACAGGAAAACATTTGCATTATACACTGATCGACAATATTGGCGTCTGGTTCAATCCAGCACATTTGCTTTTTTTTTGCGCGAGGGGCGGCCAGCATGCCTTTTGGATTAGAGGGGTTTAGGCAATCTTCATAGTACGTTCACCATACTTTTTCCTATTGATTCGTCGTCCCCCACGACGTGTGAATTGTGGTGGGAAACTTTTGGGGTTTGAGCACACGCCCCGAAACTTTTTACGTCGGTTCTCACTTGCACGCACGCAGTTCACCGTGAACTCCTTTTTTTTCTTTCCATTTTTTCCCTTTTCCATATCGTTTATTCGGTCACCCATAAAATGAACCCGCTCGCTTGGCTCTCCAACGATCCTATCCCTTTCCTTGGTCCCGATAATCCCCTCGGCAGCTTACGGTCAATCTTCATACTTAACGTTGGTGCAGGAATAGTGGCATGCGTGGCGGCGTTTGGGTTATGGAGGTTGGCAGCTGGCTCGGAAGCCGATGACGACGATGAGTCAGAACACACAAGCAAAGCGCGAAGAAGAAAACAGAAATCTAAGAAGATCAAGTCGGGGAGCGACAATGGATCTTGGAACCGTCTTGGGAAAGGGAAATGGAAATGGAAAGCAGACCAGGGTAAGTGTCTCTCGTCTCCATCATCCCTCAACAAGAGCTAATGTAACCATGTAGATGATACTCTATACCCTGCCGGATTATACAATTTGGGAAATACCTGTTTCATGAACTCTGTAATACAAGTGAGTGTTTGGTATTGACAGACACGTTTGCCTACATGCGATTTGTCGCATGGTCTCTGTTCGTCAGCTGACGGCTCCATGGAACGTTTCGATAGGCTCTATCCTCCCTACCTATCTTTTGCGCATATCTACGAGATCGATATGCGAAGCACTGTGCTGACGATCTTGTTAATTCGGGAAGAGATAAAGCTTTACCCGTTACTGAAGCTTTATTGGGGCTGACAGACTGTATGTGGACAATTACGCCTTTCCATGTTGTTGTAGCTTGCCTCGAAGTAACATGAACCCGTCGCTTAGCGTTGAACGAGCTTGAAACATCTCGTAAAGTTTTACGACCCACGAGCCTTATGTCGGCCCTGGCCGTCACAAACAAGAGTAATCGGCGATTGCTCTGTTATGAGCAACAGGATGCACATGAACTACTTCAGCTAGTCTCTAGCACTATCTCAAGTGAAGAGTTTGACGATTACGGTCTCTTGTCGTTGCGTGAAGTGCGAGGCCTTGCCGTGACAAACGACGGACGGTCACCCCCAAACGGTCAGCAGATATCGCCAGTTGTGTTTTTAGGGACAAAAGTGGACGTTGTGTTATCCACACGGCTGCGAAGTCCATTAACTGGGCTGCTGGCACACAAGATTACCTGTCGCATCTGTCAGTACTCTGTAGGTTATCCTTTTTTGTGGGACGCTGTTCATCTTTTCGTGATGGTCTGATACTTTTGGCTTCCTCAGTCAGGCATTCGTCATCAGACATACGATAATTTATCTTTGGCCATTCCTCCGTTGGTAAGATATTTGTACTCGTAGATTGGATGCATCCGTATGGCCACTGATATTTCCTGTGCTTCACTATCCGCTAACAGCGACAATGCAGTCTGGATACGATAATTGGAGCTTATGTCTCACCAGAAAGCATCCACGACTACAAATGCGATAAATGTTCTTTGGATGCAACGTTGAAGGCGCTCGACAGGGACCTGGTGACACAGCGGAGCAAGATCGATGGCCTAAAGACGGCGAGAAAGCGAGTAAACCACCAAACACGGAAGAAAAAGGCAAAGAAAGCGATCAATGGCACAATCGTGGATGGACTCCATCAAGGGAACGAGACAATACCCTTGATTGAGATGGGAGAGGATGTAGTAGATGCCATTTCACTTGAGGAAAGGTCCAAAGCTATAGGGGATGAACTGAGGAATGAACTCCAAAAGCTGGTGTCGCTGGAGAAGGATCGCGAAGTCGTAGAGCACGCTTTCAAGTATGATGTGGACGCTGAACTGGTACGTTGATGTTCTGCTTCCGAAAACCAGTGTGCCGCAGCGGCAAGTAACAATAGGTTTTCTTTCTTTCGTTACCCCGAAGCCGGACACGGTCAAGCGCATAAAATACGCCAGTCCCTTATCCAGCAAGGAAACCCTCATTGCAACCGCTCCACCATGCCTGTGTCTGCACATGCAACGATCGGTATTCCATCCTACTGGCGCTGTTATGAAAAATAATTGTCGCATCGTGTTTGAGGAATATCTCGATTTGGGACCGTTTTGCACAGGAGGAGACGACGGGCAGTATTTTGGATGTGGGACGAGTCAGCAGGCCTGGGGGAGTAGAACAAGAGTTATGAGTGTTTTAGATGGCTTGGGTGGTGCTGTGGGGACGACTACAATACTCAAGCTGCTTAATGTGAGTGGTGAGGGCGGCAGCCAATTTGGTACCGCAGACGGTCCTCATCTTAAACATCTGACCGAGAGTGGCGGCGTTCAGCATATGGATAGTAATGGGAGCCGTGAACGTCAAGAATGGGATGAAAAGAGCGGACAATTGGTGCACGATTCGGAAGGAGTAACGGCAGGAGCATCACTGGGAGCGACTAATGAGGACGGTAAAGCCGTTAAATTAGGAGCTCCAGCCGCAACGCACAGGACGCAGGAAGAGACACCTGATGGAGACCCAAAGACCATCTCCAATGGCCAATCGCTCATGGAAAGTACGACTTTCAGCACTGGATTGAAAGGGGCTGCACAGTTGCCGTCAGCAGGTACCGACAAATCTCTTGCCGATAATGACGATGGTGGTACCGCACGTTGCCAAATACCGAATGGTGTCGCGAAAGAAAGTACTTTAACCCAGGCAGCTCCCTCCAGTGGAGATGATGAAGCAGAGCAGGAGATTGTTGCAAGCCTGCCTAATAGCGCTGAACGACGAGACGCCGCGGAGCATGTGCTGCAGCATGATTTACAAACCGGACAAAATGAGCCAAAGAATGAAGTGCTGAGTGGTGCAATTCTTCCTACTTCATCAGATACCCCACAGACGGTTTCTGGCAATGGAAAGTCATCTGTGACAGCGGATATCGAAGCAACGACTTTGGAAGATTGCATCAAAATTGAAGACGAAGATTTCCCACAATTAGAGGAAGTACCAACAGAGCCGCAAGACACGCTGGATAAGTCAGGAAGCGAAGTGAGAAAGGATGATGCTGGAAGAATCAAAGGAGAGGAGCCGCCAGCCTCAAAAATTCTTAAGCAATCCTCCTCACTGCCTCAGCCGCCTTACCCCTATCTTTACCGCCTTCAATCCGTCGTCCTGCACTATGGCAGCCACGACTCTGGTCACTTTGTCACCTACCGACGCGTCAAGCGCCCCGTCACCGACAAAACAGACAGCGTCAGCAGCACTAGCACAACTCCCCTCCTCAGACGGCGGCGACGGGTAAACCAACCGGATACGGATGCAGATTCAAGTTCATCAGGTTGTCCCGCAGACGAGGATGGCGATCGATGGTATCGGATCTCGGATGATCGGGTTGACCTTGTCAAAGATTTTGAGAGGGAGGTTATCGAGCATGGTGCAAGTTATGTCTATATGCTGTTTTATGAAAAAGTGCTGGAATGATTTGTTCTGCATGTAAATAATTTATATCATGTATTTACTGCTGCTCCTCTCATGTGCTTTGGCATTTGGATTTATTTTAATTTGGTAATCGAATAGATGGAATGTTTGCATACGTCGAGAATCATGTCAATTTACAAATTGCTTTGTTCTTTCTGTCCTTTTACCCTCTGCACAGTCGGCGCAATGATTGCCATTTTGGCCAGATGGTTTCGTAGCCAGCAAACAACAAAAATACACACACTAGCCGCTGTTAGTTGGAACTCCTTTAAATATTTACGCACATGCGCAACACATCATTGGAGGAATATAGAGTTGACGCTTCACCAACAAGGCTGCCAAATCCCAATCCCGTTAAAATCGTCGTCCCGAGGAGGAGGAAACGTGCACAGTCTATCCAATTTCTTGGCGACCTGTTTTCCTTCTTCTTGTCGTCGTCGTCGTCGTCGTCATCATTCGCAACCAGCCGGATGGGGATAAACGGGAGAACGGTTGAGACCAAAAAAGGCTAAATAGCATTGAAGATCAATGTGTAACATATGTACGTGAGCGTCTAAGCCACTCGCTCTGGACATTTGAAGGTGACCTTTTCACGTTTGTTTTCCTTCCCCCCTCGTGCGGTTTCCAACAAAAACTGGGGGCTTGCTCACTGGAAAATACGATATTTCAAGATAGTGTTTAAAGGTGGAATAACAAATGGTCGTTCGACTTCCCTCGCCACTTCGCGAAAAGCCAACGTTTAGCGCGATGGATCTAGAGCCCATCAACGGGTCCGTTGAGGAAGGAATACATCGACCGAAGGGAGCCAAAGACGATGATGACTCTCAAGAAAATGTCAAAATTGAGGAGACGGTTGGAAAGTACCCGGCGCCCGTTACACCCAATCGGTGGAAGGGCGTAAATCAGATTATAGTACATGCACTTCGAGGCGGGATGCGATCGTTTCTGTTGGCGTATGCGATGAGAGGAGGAGTTTCATTTTTGATTCGGTTGGTGAGAGTGTTGAAGGGAAGGTGTGTAGGCCGTTACATTGTAAATTATGAAGGTAGTCGGTCGCAATGGTGCTCACGATATGATGACATTTTCATTAGACTTTCCCTGTTGGCTGCTCTGCGTGCCTTCTTCTCTGGCGAATCCCGTCGATTTGCTCTCATGATTGGTTCCTTTTCCTTTTCCTGGAAACTTATCAATAACCTCCTGTTCCACTTTCGCGGACGGCAGTCCAAACTCAACGGCTTCATCGCTGGATCTATAGCGGGCCTGTCCATCTTGTTTGAAGAGAAAGAGACACGGATGAGTATTGCCCAGCAGTTTTTGGTGAGAAGTATGCAGGCTGGATATAATGCTCTGAAAGCGAGGGATGTGGTGCACTTTCCATATGGCGACACGGCATTGTTCATGGTGGCTTGTGGGAGTATTCTGTACGCATATATTATGCAACCTGGAACGATCCCAAAAGAATGTAAGAGTGCTCGAATTTGAATGAAGGTGCTCAAAATGTACTCATGGCTGTTTCAATCGTTGTAGATTACTCGTGGATGATCAAGACAGCTCGCATGCCCGTACCCATGCTTAACTTTAACCGATCAAATTACCGAGCGTGGGAGCAATCAGCAGTCAAACCGCTGGTCGATACCAAGCTGGTCACTGACATCATCACCCACAATCGTGAAGGATACCATCCATCCGCTGTACCGAGAGCACTAGAATATATTTCCCGAAACAATGGCACGATGCCCATCGTTCCCTGTAGTGTCCTTCACCCAACGGACCCCAGCTGCATTACCTACAATTCAAAGCTTCTGGGAAGAGTTATGATTGGGATTGCTCCCGTATATGCTGCACTGAATTTTGTCCCGATGGTGCTATTGAAGACTGGTAAATTTGTCAAAAAGTGAGTCGTTTCCTTCGGATGATGTGCTGATAAGGCCATTCTCACATAGTCTCTCTACTAGTCCTGGACACCTGACGACCCGCGGTATACTTTCCACCTTCCGTTCCTCCCTCTTTCTTGGAGTCTTTGTTTTCATCTACATGTCTGGGATCTGTACCCAACGAAACATCGCCACCTCGCGTCTTGGCTCTCTGATTCCTTATCTAAGCCGCGATCATAAGCTCGTCTACTATCTCCTTGGCCTCCTCTGCTCCACCTCCATTCTCATTGAACACAAGTCCCGTCGAAGCGAATTGGCCATGTACGTCCTCCCAAAAGGACTACAGAGCTTGTGGATGGTATTGCATCAGCGAGGACGGATGTTTAGAGTGCCCAATTTTGAAATTTATATGTCAAGCGTGGCGATGGGAATTTTGATGGTAAGAATTCGAAAATCTTTGATTCTGTAGTGCCCCTGATTTTGTCTGACGTTTATTTTATCATCCTAGTCGGTTTACCAAACTGAACCGCAGAGAATGAGCTCACTCTTATTCAAAGTGATGGAAAAAATTATTGGCAGAAACTGAGCATTTTGTATATTATTTTTTTGTAGTATGTTTTTACATATCATATATGATTTTATCATGAAATAGACTGTTCTTCTATTGTTACATGCGTTCTAACCTTGTCCAACTTTCATGATTCACATCTTTGGTTTCAGGCTGTCCACATCTTTCGACAACTCCTCCAAAAGCTCCCGATCTTCTTTGGTCAATCGACGATGTGGCAGCACTGAACTCCCTGGACCGCGTCTTGGCACCATATTTTCAGGGACACCCAGCTCCCTAGATATCACGCCCACAACCCTCTCTTCGCAAAAACTACCTTGACAAGGCCCCATCCCGGCTCTTGTCCGTCGTTTTATAGCGTCAACACTGCGAGCAGGTAAAGGCCTGTGAATGGCATCTATAATCTCTGCCTCCGTGACTCTTTCACACCGACATATAATGTTCCGAGCTGGATCGGGGTCATCTATTCTACCACTAAACTCGGACGTCTTGCGAATGATGATTGCTGGGCGATTAGGGTTGAATGACGGATTCGGCTCGAGCTTGACTCTACCAGTCTTGCCCAAGATTTCAACTACTAGTTTTGCTACCGCTGGCGAACTGGTTAGTCCGGGTGAATCGATTCCAGCAACATTGATGAATCCTTTGACGCTTGGGCTTTCTTCAATGATGAAATCCCCGCGAGAACATTTGGAACGAAGACCTATGTGATGATCGGTGAACACGAGCCGACTTGTATCTGGAAAGTGATTCCATACCTGTATAAGACGTTATTGCAGCCCCTACATCAAAATCGGGAATGGAATGGCGTGCCGAGCGGAGAATGAGTTCAAGCACCTCCTTGTTGGTCATGGATGCTTCGTGTGTTCCACGTGAGGTGGGACCGAGCAAAAGATTTCCATGCTTGGAGGGACATTATTACATGGCCGGATTGAATGAACGAAAAGAGAACTTACATAAGTTTGGCTGACCAGGATGCCTTTACCACGTTCGGGTGAGGGGACTGGGAACAAGACGTGTCTCGCAAGGTGGGCTTGCGACTTATTTAGAATAACATACTCGCCTGGGGAAGGGTAGTTGATAGCTCAGGCGCTGCCTCTCTCAACATGACTATGTGTGTACACCTGAGTTACCCACCTTTTCTGGGCTCAATAGAAAAGTTATTTGCGCCAACCATCGCCGCAACCCTATCCGAGTACAGCCCCGCACAGTTAATTACGACCCTCGTCCTAAAGCTCTTTCCACAGTCGGTTTTGACAATGAAACCAGGTTGATCATGTGCGGGCTGAATGTCAACAACTTCATGCTTGAGGTAGAAGGAGGTACCGTTTGTTATCGCGTTTTCGGCCAGCGCAATAGTGTACTCGTAGGGTGAGGTAATACCCGTTCCCGGACAATACAAAGCAGCGAAAACATCACGATGGATGTGTGGTTCCCGCTGACGAACCTGATCGCGGTTCAGAATGACAAGATCTTTAACACCATTCTTAAACCCATTTTCCATCAACTCGTTCAATATGGGCATTTCGCTAGGATGGTATGCGAGAACCAGCGCCCCAACTCTTCTAAATCCAAAATGGAGTTCACGCTCAAGAGCATCAAACATTTCATTTCCCGGTCTTGCAACCCGGGATTTCACCGTTCCGTGTTGTTCATCATAACCTCCATGCACAATGCCACTATTTGCTTTTGAGGCTCCTTGTGCAACGTCATCGGCTTTCTCGAGGACCACGGTGTTAAGTTTATATTTTGAGAGCTCTCGCGCAATGGAGCACCCAACTGCACCGGCGCCGATTATGATAACATCCGATGGAGGTGGGGAGGCCAGTTTTGGTGGGGGTGGAGGAGTCCACGACTGTGTGCCATTGGTTGGTGGAACCTGGTTTGACTATGGAGGAGAAGGTTAATTAAGAAAGTTCACCGACTAATAACGCTCTTTCAGAAGCATACGCGTGGACATGAACGACAACCGTCGCGCTCACCCGAGCATGAAGGTGAGAACGAGCCCCTGCATCTATCCAAGTCTTCAATATTGTGCATCGTAATGTCGACAGTGAAATGCCCAGTGTGCAAAACTCGGTCAAGCGCATAGTCGTGGATGAATCATCACATGTGGCTTGGTTAGCATGGCATCGGAAGCGAGGCCGTCGACAAGCGCAGCAAGAAGAAAACGACCAAGTACAAAGAGATCTACTTGTAAAATGATTATTCTATAGATAGGATACTATCGATGCTAGCGATATTTGCCCCAATGTTGATCCAACCACTTGCCGCAAACCAAAGGTCCATATGGCCGCTGCCAACATTGTAGCACTCAGCAGCCCATCTAGGTGCGACAATTTAGTAAGCAGGAAAGCACCAAAAGTCTTACAAAGAGGTATAACATAGCCGATATATGCAACACCCATTGGAGAGTTGAAAGTTGCTGCCACCCAAATGATACAGACAAGATTTGAAGTAGCCAGTCCAGTACATGCCAGTGCCATCCAACCACTACTCCTATTAACCTGACAGAGGCATGAATCTCACAATGTTGAAAAGCCTTCAAATAAACAGTCGCCTACCCTTTTAGCACACACACGTAAATCGTCCATGTCTTGTCCGATGGCGGCAAGGTCAATACGCACCTCCGAGATGATTTGTACGAGCTGGTTTCCGCACGATTTGATGAGCCATGCGCCATGGGCCAATCCCAGAAACCAGATGATCACCGCTGCGAGAAATGCGAGTGAAGATCGATCTCTATCTACCCGCTGCTGATAATATGAGGAGATACATCACGCTGCTCCAGTCCCTAGAGTTGAAACTATCCGTATAAGTATCATCAACCGCCGTATACGACTCCGAACTGGGGTTGCTTTAAGGCTAATAACCAACATGTCGACAGGCATCTCCACCAAGAGCCTACGGTACTGTTACCCTTGGGGCAAATCCCCCGCAAGATTGCTAGGTTGCGAAACTCACCAAGTGTAACAAATGAGAAAAATGGCGGCGAATTCAAATTCACCTGCCATGAACCAGATGATATTACCAATCCAGTAATGTGTTTCGTGAAAGAAGATGTAGATGAGGTTGTATGATGCATATCCTACAGGAAAACAAAACTATTTTAGCGTTCGTTATCCGAGAACCGCGAAATGGAAGAAACATGAAGCTAAGCCTGCAAAAGCAAGGATCTTGGCGGCAGGTTTACAAAGATATGATCGCCCTTGATGGACAAGTTCAATGACAAGCACTCCCAAACTGAGGAGAGTCAGCATCATGTTGAAGACCATTGCGAAAAGACCCAAACCCAGCTGGTAACGTGTTAGGACGCAACCTCCATTGAGAAAAAAGCCCCAATCGCGGCTGTAAAAGAAATACGAGGGGTTGGCTACATTAAAATACTCTGAACATGCTCGTTTACATGCCTTAGACTCTCTGGGTGCCTCCAGTTGAGGAATGGGCAGTCTGGAGATGGCCACTGTCTCATTAACCTAGTAGGACGAATGGGACAGTATGAGCATTGACCAATAGGTCCGACAGGATCTACTACACCAAGCACGAACGACGTCCTCGTGAATAAACATTTGGGATCGATCCCCTATTTTTTTGACATGCGGCTAAGCTTGTTGCGAACCCATGGGCAATGATTCTATTGAATGCTTATGCATGGGGGTCAGACTCCTGGGGATATTTCCAGATCTAAGCATTCCAGAAGTTGGTCCGCAGTGTAATATGCATATTATATCGCCAATGAAAGAAAAGCTATTGGGCAATCATGAACGCTAAGGTAACTCAATCACAAACTTATATACCAGTAGAGAATCCTGGTGTTCTGCGGGATGCTGGTCAGCAACTCGCACTCTGCATTCTAATGGTCTTTGGTTATCATTGAGTGGGATCCAGAAGGAGGAATGCGGACAGCCAGGCCTTTTACTATATAGAGACGGACCCTCCTATGCGCATTACTTGGCAATGGACTATTTCGCTTGTGAAGTGTATGGTCCGTAGGGACACGCGGTCTAGGAAGCCCCGTTTCCCGTAATCATAACACACCTGACGCCAGCTTGACGCAACCTCTGAAGAACCAAACTGCATAAAAACCGTAAGGCGAGCCGCCATTTTTTAGTTGCTCACACCGTTTGAGGACTATATCAACATCGCACTTTTCGTTAACCATGCCGACAACTGACTCTACTCTCCGCAACTTGTCAGCTCTCGTTACTGGATCTAGTAGAGGAATTGGTAGATCGATTGCATTGGCTCTTGCTGGGGAAGGGTACGCTACCTGCTGTATCGTGAAAGAACGTTTTTTTACGCCCTTCAACTGAATTACTCCCAGATGTCGATTGGGACTTATTGCCCGTGATAAACACAAACTCGATGAGGTTCGGGAAGAATGCCTCAAAGCAGGTTCCCCAGAAGCCATTGTTCTGGCATGTGATGTCACCAAAGATGAAGAGACTGCCGCCACCATCGAGAAAGCCAAACAAAAGTTCGGGTCCATCAACATTTTGGTGAACAATGCAGGCGTAGGAGGAGCTGGACCTTTCCATTCGGCTGAATGGGAGAAGATACGACATGTCATTGACATGAACTTGATGTCGTATATGCGCCTGACACGGTTGGCTTTACCTCTTATAAAGGTTGGAAAACAAGTGTGAGAGCCGGTTTCTAGCGAGTTTCCTCATTCGCTTTATTTCAGGACACTGGTCGCGGATACATTATCAATATTGCGTCTGTTGCTGGAAAGGTATTCGGGGTTATTGTACAGTGCATATAGGGACAAACCATTGAATTTTGAGATACAGCGTACAATGAAGGGCAATGCAGATTATTGTAAGTAGTCCTTGATTATCTGGAAATGCGCAGAGCTCAATTTGATAAACATAATTTTCTCCAGCGACTTCCAAAGCTGGGGTCATCGCTTTTAGCAATGGCTTGTTTGAAGACGTCCGGGATGACAACATCAAGGTTTGCGCGATCAGCCCCGGGTAAGCAACAGTCATATGGCCTTTTTTCTAAAACAGCACTCATTGAATTTCATGGTAGATATGTTGAAACTGATATGACAGCCAATGTTCAGAAGGACCATGCGAAATTCATCAGGCCAGAAGATATCGCCCGTACTGTATTGTTTGTCTGCAAGGTAGGATGAAACGATGCTGTTGCGCTTCCAGTGATGCGTCCTATATAACTCTGTGGATGCAGTACCCTGAAAATAGCTGTCCGACGGAGATTGTCGTCATGCCGCAGAAAACTGTATAGATATCGGATAATGATTCTGTGATGCAGTACATGGTTGTATTGTATATTTGGGGGCTTCCCACATCTTTAACGGTGCACCTAGGTTGGACCCTCAGTACCAATTTTGATCACTTGAATTTCGCAGAAAAAGCTTGTTTCTCAACGAAAGTAGTTGCGATATGATGTAGGGGTTTGACTCCGTCAGCCTCAGGCTGCATCATAAAGGGCAAGCCAAATGAATTTTTCCAAAGAGCTTCCTTCACAACCATTTAGCAGTTGATCTTTTTGCACGTTCTGACTCTGGAACCAGTCTTCTGCTAAAGTACGCTCTCCTTCCCTTACGATTGAGTGTGCAGCATAATTTGGCTTTTCCAACCAGAACTCAGTGATTGAACTACCAATTGACCACTCTCAAGTAAGACGAAGACGAAAACAGGAACAGGATGAAAATCGAAGACGAGGAAGCAGGGCAAGCATCCGTACGCTCCGTCTATTAACTCCATGCGTGGACCGCATGGTATTCATCAGTGTATTGCCAGACATCCAAGACCCGCAGCCGCACCCCTTGGACTGCCAACGAGGAGGTAGACTTATGGAACGCAATTTCCGACGCATTGTCTGGCCAATGGTCTTCCATTGCAGCAAAAGTTAAGACCAGGGGTCCTACCACCTGTAGTACGCATTTCAAGGCGTTTCTGGGCAGGGAAATCAAGAAATTGAAGAATGTTGAAAAGTAAAGTCTGGCCGGTTCGTATTATGGGAGGGTTTAGCTAGGGTTTCCTTGTAAATGTATATCGAATACTGGCTGTTGGGCAGAAAAAAGAAACGATCCCGTTGCGTCTGCAATAGAACTCTCCTAGTATCCATTTCATGCTTTTTAGGCCCATCGTATGGGCAGAAATCGTTCAGTACGCGTTCCCCTTGCGAGCTGTGACGTGCGCCCAATCCAGGCGATGAAAGAAAAGGTGACTAGTAAACTCCAACTTGTCGTAAGTTATCACGGGCCTAACTCGAAATATCATTCGCAAGACTCCCCCTCTACGCTCTCTTGTGGCCGGCGCCACGGCCGGGGCTTTGAGCGCATGTATAACCTATCCTCTCGAATATGTAAAAACTCAAATGCAGTTGGCAGGCAACAAGGGGGTAAGTCATCGTTCCAGATGACGGGCTGAATGCATTCTTACCGTATGGCATATCCATGCTGTAAGAAATATGCAAATCCTCTACAATGCGCCGTTGAAATCAGCAGAACTCGTGGCATTTTAGCACTTTATAGAGGATTGCCCGCTCTAGTGATTGGAACAGCAAGTAAAGGGGCTGTGAGGTTTACAGTATTTGAATGGGTAAGATGGGCTCTTGGAGAGGACCATGATGGGATCGCAGGTGGCTGGAAGAATGGAATTGGTAAGTAGGCCCCAAAGGATGAGGTCTCTTGTCTAATGACAACCTTGGTTAACACATACCCATCTTCAAAATAGCTGGTACCGCAACAGGGATTGTAGAAGCAGTCTTGGTTGTTACACCTACTGAAGCCATAAAGTATGCATCTTTAGAATGTTAACAATGCGTCTTGAGCAGTCTCGCTAATCATATACCTTTGTTAATTTTAACAGAACACGTTTGATCGCAGATCAGAATACCGAGAAGCCTCGATTCCGGGGCATGCTTCATGGTTAGTAGCCTCTCGTAACTTAGTGGAACCTCTAAAGCAGGGCTTAACCATGGACTTCATCAGGGACAGCGACTATCTTTAAAGAAGAGGGACTGGGCGGGATTTATAGAGGTACATTCCCTGACGGCGGAGACGCAACTCTAATCGGTTTTGCTAATATCGTCTATCAAAGGAGCGACAGCAGTCATAGCTCGTCAGGCAGCCAACCAAGCGGTTAGATTCACTGTTTATGGAACTTTAAAAGATGTCGCAGAAAAAAAGTTGCGGGATGGAAACCAAACAAGTGCTATACCCTGGTGGGTGCACTTTATCAATGGTGAGTAAGAATGCTACATCAGCCAAAGCCGATTCTGATGGTCAATTTTGACTACACTCATGTAGGATCCATTTCGAATGTAATCACCACATATGCGACCAATCCCCTTGATGTGATCAAAACTCGAATGCAAGCACATCATGAAAAGAGCAATCTTTTCCACGTCTTCCGATCCATTCTGAAAGAAGAAGGTGGAAAAGCGTTTTGGAGAGGTGTCACGCCAAGATTGGGAAGGATGATCGTAGGTATTGTCTCTACTAATTCAAATCGGACGCCATTTAATGGGATTACCTCCTTCTTCAGATCGCTGGTGGTGTGATTTTTACAGTCTATGAAGAAACATGCACAATTCTTCAGAAAATTGGGATGTAGCAGACATTCTGCTGGGCATCACAAAAGAATCTCGTCACCCTCATCTCTTGAAATAATTCCATTGTAACATACATACGACTTATATAAACAATTCATCCGTGAACTGGCCAAAACTATCCTAGAGCTGGCTAAGTACTCTCTATCTTCTTCACACACAAATAGAGAATAATCCCGATGTAGACCGAATGTCTGTGGAAAGCAAAGGAACGCTGTTGTGTAAGTTTACTGCACTTCAGAATGTTTATGTTCAGGAGACTTACACTATCGGTTCTCGCCAGAACTCTCTTATCGCCCACCTCCCCCAGATTTTCACGTTTTCCCATGTTCTAGCAAGTGCATACCGGGACAACGCCATTGCTATCATCATCGCTCGTCCAAAGCTGTCATCGCGCTCCTGCATTGCTTCAGAGCTTGCTGTCGCAATTGCCATTTTGATGTCCGTATATACGGCGGCAATGGCAAAGCCAATGGGATGGATAGTTCGTCGTACACGTCGCCTGATGCGGCCCAAGAATGACCACGAAGGGGGCGCTGGCAATGGCTTCCGTGGGCGTCGGGATAGCTTGGTTTCCGGATCCTTTGACAGCTCGTCCAAACTGTCTTCTACGCTCGCTTCAATTGCGGGTAGTAGGAAACCCGGTGTTGTGGCTGCCGTGGCGACATGCAAAACGGTTCCTGTTTGTGTCTCTAGTTGGGCATCTACGGTAGGGGTGACTGGAACCTGAGCTTCCGTGGATGAGAATCCAGAGTCTGCACTGATTACTTCTTCCTTGAAATTACCCGACAGCATACGCCGGAACGTCTTGAATTGATCACCAAGTGGTTGCCCGGCTTCAGTTGGAGATGTAGATAGCATTTCCGTTGAGCCCTCTGCTGAGTCTGTGCTCTCTGCAACCGATTTCAAGATCATCTTCATTGCATCATCCGCGTGGCCATCATTGCCATCTGCAAGAACCATCGTCCCAAGTACGACCGAATTGTCGCCATCATCATCCCCATGCTTTTGAACAAATGTGCCCACAACTTGGTCCTCCTCCGTTTCTGCAAAGTTTGTCGTCTTTCTGACGATCGTGGCCGGAACAGCACCATCTTCGTCCGCTGTCATGTCCATCACTTTCTTCTTCTTGCCCTTTTTGGATTTTGCTTTGGTTTTTTTGTCGTTTTTGACTACAGTCGTCTTGCCTCCAGTCGTCGCAGCACCGCTGACTCCAGCACCCTCTATTTTGGCTTTTGCCTTGTTTGTTTTTATTTCAATTGCTTCTTTTACTTTTTCCACAATTGGCTTTCGGAGCTCTTTCGCCTCTGCTCCGGTTTTACCAACATATGGTGCGACGAATGGATGTGTCAATAGATCCTTGGCAGACGGCCGAGCTTGAGGGTCCTTTGTCAGGCATTTGGATAGAAAGTCAATGAAAGTAGGGGAGAATCGAGACGGGTTTTGCACGGTTGGGGGTGGCAGGAATGGGATCTTGAACATTGCCCGCATGGGATGGAGATTGTGGTGCGGTGGAACTCCATCAGTCATCTCAATTGCGGTGATTCCAAGTGACCATATATCTGCTTCGGTACCGTATCCATTCCCAGTGATGACTTCCGGACTACAGGGGACAAGACATTTGTTAAATATCCTGCACTTGCAGAAAATACAGCTGTGTGCGTCCTACCTCATCCAATATGGAGTTCCCACAACTGTTCTGCGGGCCCCCACTGTCTGTGTGAGTCTTTCTGACACGCCAAAATCCGCGATCTTGACCTCACCCTCTTCACTTAGGAGTATATTTGCACACTTGACATCTCTGTGCACAATACCCATGTCATGCAAGAAAGCCAACCCCTCCAACGCTGCAGTTAACACAATGGCCGTTTGCTTTTCGCTCAGAGTGGACTCTGCGAGTTCCATGCAATCACTGACAGATCCTGCCCCACAATAGTCCGTTAAAATCCACATGGCGTCTCCGACAGGAACACATCCGTAATATTGAAGCACATTCCGGTGTCGACATTGTCGTAGCAGATCGATTTCCTTCTTGATCGCCTCTTTCTCGTTATCTCTATCAGCCTGAACTTGTTTAATCGCGAGAACAAATCCAGATTGGGTCAACTTGGCCTTGTAGACGGCTCCAAAAGCACCTTCACCGAGCTTCTCTTGGAGAGTAAACATTTCCTTTGGGTCCTGTGGTTCACCACAAAAAGCATATGCTCAGTATGTCCGCTACATTATGGATATAAAAAAGTCGCACGACGTACCCCTTCTCCAAACCAGTTGAAATCCGCATCGACATGAACCTTTTTCACAAAGTTGGAAGGTCCGCTAATCCCCCGCGACAGCTGTGCTCTCGTTGAAGATTCACCCGATCCTTTGTCTTTTGGATTTTCGTCATCGTGGGCCATCAACCCAGTTATCTTGTGAAACCAATTGGGACTGCCATCCCGGCTGGTTACGTTGCGTGCGTCGTGCCGCATTCCTTAGTGATATGACTGAAATACGGAGAGGGTGAGGGAATGCAGAAAATCAACAGGTATTTGATGCATGCAAAAGCAGGAACTACAGCGCACTACCTCGTCTGCAAAGTGTCAAACAGTACTTTGCAGCCGCAAATTGACAGATGGCTTTGCATATGTCATTCAATGAGGCTGGTTTCTTTGCTCCATTGATCTCAATTGTTGGCAACCTTTTTGACAACTGTAATTACTGTGCATTTTCCAAAGCGCGTCCAGAACAAGTTTAAAAAAAGCAACAGCCCGACTATTCGACGCTCATTTTGGAATCAATTGTTAGGGGGACATGGCTTAAAGACATTCGCATGAGATATGGGAGAAGCTCTAACCGTATCTCATAAAACCATGCTGACGCCATAATTCCAGTGATTGTGCATCAGAGCCAGGACAACCACTGCAGCTAGTTCTGTTTGCAGATGACGGGATTGCAGTACGTGGACGTGACAATATGAAAAAGCATTAAAGTCTTCCCAACCTGCTGCATATATCCGCAGACCACAGATATCAAAAGAGCAAATCGAACGCTGATAAAGACCACTATTTGGTGGAAGGCAAGACGACAAGACATTCCGCTTAGCGAATGCTTACCTCACCTGTCCAATTTGGGGGATATGAGATAGATATCCTTGTAAATCAGGATATTGTGGAGCGCGGTTACCAATGAACAATGAGAGCCGGAATGTGAGCAATGGTGAACCGAATAACGACAGCACCGTCGCTTTGACGAACGTAGATAATACCACAAGCGGCATGCAGGGGGAGAGCTGGACTCACCGGGCTGCTGAAGCACATGGTGAATATACAGGGACGGCTTTCGTTGACAGAGGTCAAGCGGCCCGTTCAAGTCAAGACAACAGCGTGAGATGGGTCACGGTAGAAACAGTCTCAAACAATGATAACAGTGCAAAACGGAATGAGAAAATAGTGGGGCCGCAGGTGTTACAGTGCGTTGAGAACGAGACAATGGAAGCACGCCGTGAAAACAGGGGTGATCGTAGCCAACTCGAATGGCGCCGCAGAATGGCTGAGGAAGGCCGGCGTCTACATAGGCTCCGGCAGCGCGAGAAACATGAGAGTATCAACCAAGGAAGTGTCTCGTACTATAATTTACGGTCGAGGACTGTACGAATCAGGAGCCTGTCGCCCGAAGGTGATCGGTCCCGCAATGGACGCAGACGAAGCATGTCAATCCCAATACCCGACAATGATGTCAACTATCCGTGGCATGATGGATCTCTTACGAATGGCAATAACCAGGTAAATGCGGGATTGCGGGTCGGTCATTGTATCTTAAGCTGGTCTTGATGACACATTTTCTTGTTATCATTCGGTCAGTCACCTCTGAAGAAACATGGATCCGGTAAAAAGGGTAGACAGAGCAGATTGAGGGCTGTGAATATTGCAGAGTTTGAACGGGAGCGATATGCGAATCGAAAAATGAGTAAGGCGGACAAAAAAAAGGCGAAACGGGAACGCCAACTCGCCCTCGAGAGGACACAGATAATGGACCTCTCGCAGCAAGTTTTTACCGCCGCGTCTTTCAAAGGGAAGCCGTCAGGGGGGTCTTTATTCATTCCGCCTGGAATGGCAGATGCTGCATCAATGTCATCCTTTGACGAACCGGTCCATCCCAAGATGGCAGTCCCTCTATCCGCGGCCCACTTCAGCAGCTCTGCCAACAATGGCGATCCGAACATTGATTACAGCGACGGAAAGCCGATTCCTATTCCAAGGAATGACCACCTTACGGTGTGGGACCCGAGTGAAGCGTCTCACCTATTATTTGGCACCAACGGTGCGGGAGCGCCATTGTTAGGCAAACGAAAGGAGAGGTCCGGGAGTCAGTCTCCCATCGACTCTCGCAAGGCAAGGAGAGCGCTGGAAGGCTCTGCAAGCAGTTAGGAAAGTGATCCGTTCGATGACGAGCGGATGTCGAGGAGAGTAATGCTCTCGAATATTCAAATGTATTTAATATTAATTCCAGGTCGATTACTGTTACCAAACTCTCACTCTCCCTCGCTCTTGTAAGCCAAAGCTCTTAGGAGGTGCCTTTGAATTACAGCGACAGAGAAATAACATTCTGGTGATCGTTGCGTTATCTCTCATTGTTGAGCAGTTGTATGGGTACTCTCCACAAAAGAACGCCGGCAGGTTCTGATGAACATAGTTTGGTCTTGGTAAAAAAGGGCAGCAAAAAAATGCATGTAGATCATGATGAACATTGTTTGCTCTGATTCATCCTATTCGTCGTTTGGTCCGAGTCGTCCGTGGCAGTTGGCGCTAAAATTCAAAGAAAGCCGGTAGATCACTAATCAACATCTTTTGGTCCTGGTAAGTCATACGGATGTAAAATTCTTTTGGGGCCCCGTATGTCCCATATCATATTGCCAAGGGTCCTGTATGTATTCTTATTAGACATTATTAGATAAAAGAGCCTTCAAAAGTTGGATATAAAAATAAACCTTAAAGGTGACCCACAGCCGTTTTTGTTAAATTTGAACTACTACTTGCAGAGCCGCTTTTAATTATAATGGGGACTTTGAGTTGGGGCGCGTTTTGCTTCTGATATCTAGATCGGTTTCAAGGTTACTTATCACTTTGTAGTAAGTTTTCTATCGTCCATGCGCAATATAAAAGAGAGGGAAGCCGACAATTCGCATCGCTTGGTCAAAGACATTTGATTTACAGAATGACCTTCATTACTTTATTGTATGCTCTGGCCATCTTACCATCTCTCTATGCGGCACCTACTCTTCTTCGTCGGGCGGATAACCCTATACTTCCAGAACAAACACTCGTTAAGTTGACTGTCAGTCTCTCACTTGCTTTTATCCAATATACCAATCTAATTTTATCCCACTAGACCCTTCTCGATAACGTTGCCTCCACGACTGATAATACATCCTGGACTGTAAATGTCTATGGATATTTGACCACGAGCCTGGCCAACTCCCCCATCAAAGACATTATCTCCCTCTTCTCACTTAATCCCAATGCAGAGGATCTTACGCGGCTAGAGGAACGCATTAAACTGTTTAGTGTCATTGGCGTTCAGAAGCAGCCGATCACCGTCCAACTGCCCGCGTTCGCTAAAGCAGCTGGACAGCAAACAGTGACCTTGGAACCAACATCTGTGGCCGGTGAAATCAACACGACATTCACAATCACAGCCGATGTAGCCGGGAAGCCCGATGCCACTTTAGATTATAAAGCGGTGCTTGACCCTTCTGACAAGCGTGACGTTGGTGGGCGCGCATTCCTTGTGCCTAGCGAAGGGTACTCTATTATTTCGGATATTGATGTAGGTCGCCGTCTACTCCATGAGAAAGGTTGTGCACACAAACTGAAAACCATTTTGATTATGCATCCAGGATACCATCAAAATCAGTGAAGTCAACGACAAAAAAAAGCTGTTGGACAATACGTTCCTAAAACCATTCACTCCTGTTCCTCAGATGTCTGACCTCTACAACAAATTGGCGAGTGGGCTTCGCGAGACCAACCAGAACCCGGCCTTCCACTACCTCAGTGGATCCCCGTGGAATCTTTTTAGACCTCTCCTGAACTTTACTCAAGAGTTCAAATTTCCTCCCGGCCAGTTCATTTTGCGTGACTTGGCAGTTCTGGACGGGTCCTTTATTGACTTTTTGACCCAAAGCAAGACTTACAAACTTGAGCGAATTGAGCTTCTCCTCAGATCATTCCCAAATCGGAAGCTGATCATGTTTGGTGACTCGACGGAGGCGGATCCCGAAATTTACGGCGAGGTAGCTCGTCGGTTTCCCAACAACGTATCGTGCATCTCTATTCGCCGCGTTACCGGCGTCAATGCTGGGAAAGAAAAGACGCAATTAGCTGACGACCGATTTGAAAAGGCTTTCGCTAATGTTGACAAAAGCAAGTGGCGCACCTTTGCAGATGCGACGGAGATCTCCGCCGACTCCCTTGCCAAGGGCCTATGCCAAAATGCTTAAGCACTCCTTTTTTGCTATATGGAACCTGATTTTGTATTTTTTTTTGTTGATCAAAACTAGACTAGGCTTGTCCTGCGTCTTGCTTATTGTAGATATTTTATTGTTTTAGATAGAGTTGTAGAATAATAGATATTTGCACACACTTTGCGTTTTGACGGAATGATCTATAGGTATTATGTCAGCAGATCTCCGATCACTTTGGGTTGGGGTCTACAGACAACGACCGGTAAAGCAACCACAACATGGAAAACGAACAGCAGTATATCAGCGACTCCAGCAACACTTACAATGAATCAGTCACTTACATCTCGTCGGATCTCCAGGCTGATGAAGATTCACTCGAATTTCTCGACTCGTTGGGTAATGAAATGGTGCGCATCCGCTCGTTAACCAAACTCTGAAAAGTCCTATTCTCACCACAGGAACCGAGATCAACCCACTTTTCTTTCACAAACAAGAGCTGCCCATTCGCAGTTTGGCTAGTCAATCCGTAGCAGGACATGTCAGCGTTGAGCTCATTGAAGGAAGTTTCCGTGACACTCCATGCTACTTTCTCTCGATCTCGTCGCATTTTCAGCCTGAGCCTAGCGTATCATATAAGCAAAGTGTGGCTAGTTACATAAGTCCCAACATGCGCACTTTGATGCAATCGGTTTATCATGTTGTTGAGGGGCCTGATGGAACAACCGAGAAGGTGCAGGAAATGATATTTGATGATGAAGATGGGCAGATGATTATTACCGAAAGTGAGGGCGGAGTCGAGAGTCAAAAATTTAGGATTGAAAGTAACCATGCGAGAAGTCTGCTCACGGAGGGTAAGTCGAACAATTCTCTGCTGCCTCGATTATTTCATCTTATGCGGTCCGAAACTTAGGCTCTGTCTGGGTGCTCACTCGTATCCTTGCCCACAAACCACAACCAAAACCTTTGCCATTTTTCACACTTTCTCAAAATACGTTGGAAAAAACAACTTATTCGATTCAATCCACCCATGACGCTGAAAGCATCATCACCGTTTCGCCTTACATTCCCCCGTCAATAAGTTTTGACTCGCTTCGCTCCGATACTCAGTCAGAGGAGGAAGCAGCCAGTACTCCGAAACAAAATGGAGATGCACTAGCTTGCTTGTTTGATCCTTCTTGCAGTAAAACGATTGCGCTTACATCCACTGGCGCATGCAGCTGTATCCGACCGCACAACTCACCGTACGTGATACAAGTAATAGAGGAAGCGCGAACATCCACACAACAGAAAGGTAAGTCATTCTGCATTTTACGTTGACACGATGATCCTCGTTAACTGGGTGCTACCCTCATTCTGCGTTTTAGATGACGAACCAATGCAGGACCCGTTTGCGACTCGTGATTTTGGTGGCAACATAGAGCTACAATCGGAATATGCCGAAAGAAAGGTAGGCACGCCTTAACCATCCTATATGATAGTGAAGGTCGGAATCTGACAAATGTTCTCTATCTTGATATTGCAGAGGGAACTCAAAACATTTCAGGAAGGATATATTGCCCAACAACCAGATTTAGGTGATATCATGGCTGATTATCTTCAGCTCGTTTTGCATCGAAAGCCTCAGGATGTGTACAGCTTCACAATAGAATATTTCAGTATCTGATGTCAGATGATATGTTGTAAAAACAGATTGGACCAGTGAATGCTTAATAATAAGTCTAATAGTGATGTCGACGAATAATTTCGCTCTATCATCATTACGGTTCAATAACTAATAATATAACAAGATTATCTATATCGCATTTCGTCGCTAATTAGGCGGTACGAGAGGCTCCTTTCTTGGGATTCACTTCAGAGGTTGCAGGCACCTCCCCCTTAAAAAACAAAACGAGAATTCTTCAGTTTAACATATTCGTTAATGGGATTTACGCGCAAAGGACTCACTTCAATCTTCTCTAGTTCACTCACTCGCGTGGCTGGAAGTGTCAATTTGACACCAAAATACGATAGCAAGTTGCCAGTTGTTCGAGCAATCCTGAGAAGCCGAAACATTACAATCGTATGATTTCGCTCTACCGTCAAGCTCATACTCACGCAGGAATGATATTCCAGAGACCCAAATTATCGCCTAGTTTATAGGTTGTGGTCCAAACTTGCATTGCAATCTTACGATAGGTCGTATCATAGATTGGTCCGATGAAAGGCGTGTATTGGATGAAGCTTGTAGGAATGTGAACATCTGTGCCAATTCCCTGTCGTGGTCAGTAGGCTAGGACTGCAAATGATAGGACAACGGGACATACCTCTATGATAGTAAATCTTCTTTCCTTGTGGAGTTTCCTGCACATCGGCGTTAGCGAATCGTGTTGGCTTTTAGCGCGCTTTAGAGCGCGTCCGATTCTCTGAGCTCACCCTCCACTTTACAACAGACAACAAGCGGACTTTGAGAGGAACAACACCACCCAAGGCTTTAGGATAAAAGTTTTGAGCGAATTCCAGTATCGCAGTGGAATCCTTTTCGTTGAACGTCAGATTGAACAATTCCGGCGTCAGGATGGCGTTGTAACCCGTCCACATTTCAAAGACCCTCCACATTTCCTCTCGCCCGTTGGCGATGAGATATGGATGAATCATTACAACATCCTGAGCGGAAAAAAAAGGTCAAGATTCTTCCCGTCAGCATTCTAGAAGGCATGCATTTCCCTCACCTCTGTATAATATGTTTCCAAAGTCTTCCTCGCAAGCGATTGGTCTGTAGTGACCATTCCATTGAGGAGACGGCGCAGGTCTCTGTCGAGGTCTTGCATTATGGAGTATGCAAAGGGAGGAGGCTGTCAAAAGTAAAGAAAGATGGCTGCTGTCGGACTATCGTAAAAGGACAGATCCAACTGCTTATGCACTCGGCGAGATTCGAACCCACGGTGATACACATTCACATGGAAAAGAACAGACTGCGCGATCTTGAGCTTTGTGTCGTCAAAAAACAATGCCAAAGACAGAATTCAAAAAGGAATCGTCGTCGACTGGGACGACCTACTTTCAGGTCCCTTTGTCTAAACATCCAACAAACTCTGCCAGTACTGCTGAGACTGAAAACAATGCATCAATTTCCAAAGTCTTCCGAAAGGATGCCTCCGGGCTTACGGCCTATCAAGTAAAGTATGAGACCTTTAGTGGCAGTTAAGAGCATGCCCTGCCATTCCGTCTTTAGCGGAGATAGTCATTTCCTATTATGTTTTCTTTCCGCTCGATTATCAATATTTCCAGCGGCACAAGAAAATGATGGGCGATTACTTGTCATTCTACGGCGCCGGGGTTGCGGACGTACTCGAGAAGCGCAGATCCTCCTCGTACATTGTGGGAAAAACCGAGTTGGATATACTGAAGGAGCAACATCGGTAAATAGCCTGAACTGCTCCAAAAATCAAAAGGGGGGGATACATGCGATCTTCCCCTCTAGCTTAGATTATATCTCATGTACTCTTTCATTTCCTTGACAGATTTCTACGAAGCGAAGAGGATGATGCTGATAACAGCTGGGAATCGCGAGTGGCCAAAAAGTACTACGATAGGCTCTTTAAAGAATACTGTTTAGCAAACCTGTCCCGTTACAAAACTGGACAAATCGCTCTTCGCTGGCGGACACAAAAAGAGGTGGTGAATGGGCAAGGCCAATTCGTCTGCGGGAATCTGGAGTGCTCCGCTACGGAAGATTTACGATCATGGGAAGTGAACTTTGCATATGTCGAAGGCGGGGAAAGAAAAAATGCATTGGTGAAATTGAGGCTGTGTCCGACATGCTCTTACAAGCTGAATTACAAGAAGATTAAAGCGGCCGAAAAGGCGGAAAAGGAGGACAAAAAGCGGAAGCGGAAAGAAAAGAGGTCAGAACGGAAGAGGCGAAAATCTGGAGAAGAAGAGCAATCTTTTCCATCACCTGGCGAAGATGACCAGGATGTTGACAAGCCATATAGCGATCGTGAAACTGATAGCGGAGAACAATCACCCAGCGAAGAGAATAAAGGTATGCTATCCCTTACGCAAATTCAAGACGCTCTCATGTTGAACCACTTTCAGATGAACCCTCAGTATCGAAAGAGGTTAAGGATCAGTATTCAAGAGACGAGATATCACGGATTTGGAGCGCTCCTCAACCTGAAGCGCTAGAGGGCGAGTCCAAGGAGGATGAGATTGAGGCGTATTTTGCTGACCTGTTTCAATGAGGAACTTGGAGGGTGACCTTTTTGGTTCCTTGACTCGGTCCAATCTTCCGTACTCGCTTCCCAAACATGTCTGTAATCCTGCTTTTGGTTTCCGGATGACAAGTACCGAGTTTCTTGGGATCATCCGGGCGCAAGACTCTCTCATATCCTATTGATTGGATAACTATAACCATGCTCTTGGTGGACACACAATTGCCTCGGTGAAGATTTCGACTTTTTGGCCATTATGGCCCAAATATGCCGTTTTTAAGGCGATAATTGAACAAAACGTGCCTGACGCTTCTAATTATATTGCAAAATAGGATCATAGCTAGTATATAACAAATTAGCCTGCGTGAGTTTTGCTAGGTAGAGTCAATGGCTTGATAATGGCAAGGAGGTCGACTTTATCAGACGACGATGCTATTAGATCCATGCCATGTACTCTGTGCAATTATATTGTTATTAAGATGCTGGCAAATATGAGGATACGGAATCATATGACTCCCATAATTGAAGAATCTACAAAAAAAAAAAAAAGTTTAACATTGTCCCTCAGATCGGATATCCATATCGATTGCATACCTGTCGTTGAGAATCTACAAAGCAGACTAAAAAATCACGCATCGATGTCACAAAATCATCATTCATCTCCATATCGAATCTTTCCAGCTCCTTTCTCAGCAATTCTGATATATCATAAAACTCGTTCTGCGTGACGTGTGCCTGATGGTCCAACTTGTAATTTTACAATTCATTAGACGTGGTTGCAATGAATTCAATCGATTGATAATCTTGTAAACTACCTCATCAATCTCCGATATAGTCGTTGCAATCTTATCCGAGCGGGTGGTTCTTGCAGCATGCAGCTTCTCAAGTGTATCTCGCTTCTTTTGAAGCGCATTTTCTATTGATTGCCAGTTTTGGTACGCGCGTGCACGGCTATTGAATGCAAGCTACAGAGCAACATTTAGTAGAGTCGATAAAGACATTAAATGCTTGAACATGTTCCCTACATCAACAGAAGCGACGACGCGTATATAGTACTCAACATTCGTAGTAAGAGAGGCTATATCGTGCTTTGACTGTTCATTAAGGTATGGTATGTTTGAATGCGGAAGACCAATGTAAAGATACACAAACTGGTGTACCCACCTGCTTCTCTCGCAGGTCCGTGACTTGCTTATGGAGGTCACCGAGAACAGTAAGGTCACGCGAAAGCGGTTTATTTACATCTACGTTTGCTAGGGATTGGATACTGTCACCCAGTTCATGGGTTGCACTGGCGAGATCTTTGCAAAAGTCAGAAGCTGGACATGTGTTTTGGAATGGGTATACTGTTCTCACCGGTTTGCAACCTCTGCCACTCCTCCAGCGCTTTCGACAAGGCGCGAAGTTGTGGTCCAAATGCATCGATACGTACGCGTCGTCGCTCCAGTTCCTGATGGTGTTTTATGGGGAGAGACGTGTTACATGCGGCAGGAAAAGAAATGAAGATGTAGATAACAGCCTACAAACCTGGTCACTTTCCACCATCTTTGCTGAGCCGCCGCCAAAAACACCCATAAAACCTTTTGATTCAACCTTTTTTTTCTATAGAAATGGAGTTGCCACTTAGCCAACAGCTCCATCGGTGACAACTGTCATGTCAAATGTGTTCGCCAACTCACATCCGCAAAAAAGGTTTCCGACTCCAAAAATGCTATTAAATCTTCGTCGCTCTGCAGTTTTGGGTGACATGTTACTTTTCGCAGAAACTGCTCCAAGGCCGACCGCCGATTTTCTACAAAATCTTCCCGGAATCGGCCTGTTCACGACGTCAACATAGTGCTGATGGTGGGCGTGGTCGTACAGTCATACCTATAGCCTGTTTCTCGGGCACTACACCATCGTTCATTGGTTCTGACATAGACAGTGTACAGTATCAACAAAAGCCTTACCGGGAGGTATTATTATCCCAGGATGTCGATCCGCCAGTTGATTGAAGAGCCATAGAAAGTCTCGAAACCGCCGGCTGACCGAGAACTCCACGTTTCGAAAGAACGGCGAATTCGTCTGACCACCGGAAGCAAGAAAGCGTATCGGTCACCATATTCTCGGCTTGGACAATGCAACCGCGTTTACCTGTGTTTTAACTTGATACACCACGTATGCTCCCATTGCTTGATTTATTTTCTGTGGGTCTGTTACAGAGCATTGTATGCTATATGGAGTGCTTTCCCGAACCGGGGGGGCTGTCTTCAAGAATATGTTAGAAAAGAAGTACTTGGTAAATTATAAACCCTTAGCTTACCGGTGATGCAGGAGTGCTGGAAGCCTTCAATATAACGAACCCATCAGAAATTCAAAAATGTACAGTCCGCACAGAGTTGTCAATTAATTACCTCGGCTGGCGTGCCTGATGCAACCGGTGCCACCCGTCTCTTGAGACTTCGTGTATGGGTGCCCATCTTTGTCTCAGCCGCTATATCCATACGTGTCAATGGGTCATCAATGACAGTAGTGGTCAGAACCCCATTTTGCGGACGACTAGGGGAACAGTAACCATCGTCGCTTTCCTCATCGGATTCGGATTTGATCGATGGCGGACATGGAACAATAGAAGCATTATCAGCAGCGTTGGAGTAGGTAGTAAACCCAGGATCCCTGATGGCGGTATCCCCAAAATGTACTCCAACGTAGCTCTGGAATGGAGGGGAAAGCTGGGGAGTGATCTCGGCTGGAACTTGGGGAGCGGGAGTATCAATGTGTTTTGGTTCTTCGGTTTCAGGAGCCGGTACTTCGGGAGTGGATGATAGTGAAGAATTGCTACCAAATGTAGGCGTATCTGCCCATACGTGTGAGTGTGATAAAGGATCGTCATCCATTTTTGCAAAGCCTATGTAGATCGCTTCTCAGCTGGGCAATCAGATGAACACGCCGTTCGCCGATGGTGACACACTCTATCGATTGCGTAAGCCATGTGGCTTGGACTACATGCGAATATCAACAGATGAGGTTAACTATAGGATTGCGATTCCAGTTTGAAATAAGATACGTTCTAATACAGATATCTAGTCAAGAAAATCGGATATGAAATTATCCAAGAAATACATAAGGTCCATCGTCCAATAAATTGGCCCACTAAAGGATGCAAGTTCTTTTTTGCTTTCCTATGATGCTATTCACAATCATTCTGGAACGACCCCATCGTTGGCCCTTCAGTCCCAGGAACCCTTGACTGGATAAATGGCCTTGACAAGGTACTCTCCAGTGGTCTCGCTGCTGTGGCTGTAATGTCCATTGTGGTACTTACTCCTTTCATTGGCTTCGCCTTTGGCCATAATGACGCGGCTGACGGGTGTGTTGCAATCCTTTCTGACATTATCACACTGTCCAAAAATGAATTGTCAATGTCAGAACAGAGAAATATACGGCATAATTGGCTACGTACTTGAATGCGGATACGACGTAAATGGGAGCCAGAAGGAGAGGGCTGGTGAAGATCCATAGGAAAGCAAAGGTAACGGATAACCACCGAGTAGTATGAATCTGAACTCGCCATGTCGCGTAGGAACCGACAACAACCGCAAAGCACGCCGTCAGGATGGCGATGGCCATAATATTGATAACTACCTGCAATCCACAAGGGCTTTCGGGTCAGTCTGCTGCGAAATACAAATATATCGGTACTCTACGTACCCTTCGAATCGATGCTTTCAAATGAGCATTCTGTCCAGCATCCTGCACATCCTCCATGTTTGCATTTAAAATTGACACCATCTTTGTTCCAAAATAGACCAATATCACAAGCGGTAAGACACAGCAGAACAGCCATTGATCTAATGTCACAAAGTCAATAACAACTCCAAAGGTAAGTCACAACACACAACAATTGAACTTACAATAGTGCAGCCGGTTAAAGATGACGGCGTTGGCATACTGTCCTGCGTCTCGCATGTGACCGTCCAAAATGGCGAACAACGGCAAAAGTATGCCTGGAACCAGAGCCAGCACGGTGTATATTACATTGATCGCCTGTGGACTTGGGAGACGAACTTTGGAAATGGTGAAGGTGTTACTGACGCTTCCTCGGTTGTTGAGGTACGTTTTTGGAACTGAGTAGATACTGAGAGTGAAGCAAACATCAGTCGACAGTAGCATTTCTGACATTAACAAAGAAAAACTTACATGCCAATGACGAATAAATTTCCTCCCCACAAAAGGAACTCCCATGGCCATTCATGCTACAGAGCCTTCTGGTGAGCACATTCGGAAATAGTGGGAGCTATAACAGTAGCGAACTTACTGAAAATTCGCCCAAGGCATGAGTAGGATATTCTCCAACGAGAATCTTGGTTGTGTGAATAAAGCGACCTTTTGAGATGAACCTCATCCAATGAGATTTTATCCTTTTAGAAATGGTGTAAGACTGTCCTTACCCAGAATGTGGATGGTTGTTCCGAATATAAGGGCCTCTACTGGTCGCGGTTTCAATCCTCCATCGACAACATTCAGTAAACTCAACTTTTGCTTCCATAAGGCTTGATACACTTTTTTGTAGCAGAGCCAGGCACCCAAGACTGGATAAGAAAATGACATCAATGCCAAGATCGTATGAGGAAACACTGCTAACACAGAAGTTTACCGAATAGGAGAGCGGTGAACACCGAGTGTGCTGTACTTGAAAAGGTAAGCCTTAAGTATTCATCAAAAACAATAAACCAGATCGTTACCTAAATAGAAACCCTGCCATATATTGCTGTCCGTACAGCCATGTATGCGCCCTATAACCAACAAAGAGAAAGTTTAGTTGGAGATCACGTACAAGTGGCAGATTTCGCTCCTCCTACATCTCCAATCACACCAGTCGGGACTGTACCACTAGAATCACCAGTTTAAAAAAGAATATAAGTACAGAAGGATTGCAAAGATGGATGTGTCGTCACATTGCTTACCAGCTCATAGTCTTGCGCTGTCTCCACCATTTTTTATGCAACAACGTTATTCAAAAGGGGGACGACGATAGCCACACTATTTAACCTTGAGTTGGGACAAAACAGGACTTTTAAAAGAAAATATATAGTCCCTCGATTTCGACCCATAGGTATTTTTAGGCTCATGTTGATGTTTTTTTACGGGTCATGGGTAATCAAACTATTACCCACGGGAGAGGGATACGACATTCCCGCATTATCGGCTCCAAATATTGTCCCGATTCATGTCTGTGAATGTCCATGGCTTTATGAATGGAAGAAAATCCTTTGAACTAGTTCTTTCAAAAAAAAAATCTATTCAGTCCCAAGACTTAGATTTGCTATTGATGAACAGTATCCTATGATGGGTCCGCAAAGGTGGCATATGTGACATCCCTGGATATTGATGAATCCTTCTACCCCAGCCAGACTTCCGGGCAAATTTCTACTCCAACTGCTCAATTTCAAGGCCCATGGCGTGGTTCATGGCTAACAAATAACTTGCATACAGACAGCGTTGGAAAGCACAGTTGGAAAAGAACAGGAAATTTAGCGATGGGCTTGATATGCCACACAGAATCTAGTTGCCCAATTGTATACGCAAGACTATAGTGATGGTGGTCGTCCTATGTGGGTGGTTAGGATTGATTAGTTATTTGCCAGATTTAAGCAGGTTTTCTGCATAGCTGAGCGGGTATTATTGCATAACGTAGAAAACCTAAACACTCATACCCTTCCGGTGGGACCTCCTCAAATGGCATCCTCACCACTGACGTCACGTGATGCTCAGGTGATTGCATCTCAACGAGGGGGTGATGAGGCCATGAGCACCCGAAAGCGACACTGAACGATCTAATCTTGCCAGTTCCCCTCGGTAAAAACATCCGTTCGTCGACGTCCCACGGTTCCTAAATCCAAACCAAAACGCGCCGTATCTCTCATATTGCATCCAACATGTCATCCACCTCGACCCCAGAAGCCAAGGAAAAAGGCAAAGGAAAGGCCCAAGCGCCAACACCATCCGCGGACGATGAACCCGGCATTGCACTTTTATACGCCGATTTCGGTGACGAAGAAGAGGAAGATGATGAAGAGTTTGAGCTTCAAGAGGAAGAAGCCAGCGAAGATGAAGACTTTGACTCGGATGAGGACGAAGATGCGGAACCAAAAGGAAACCATGACGTAAGCAGCAAAGCAGAGACGACAGCGACAGACCCAGAAGAGGAGGTGGGACAACCTGACGAGGAGATTGATGATGAAGTTGCGGAATTGTTCCAAGAAGCTGAAGAGATGGGTGATGGTGGGGATATGGTTTCGGGCCTGCGGTCGGGAAAAGTAAAGGGCAAACTTGGAGACGTGCATGGGAAACCACAGGGAGGCTCATCGAGCAATGGGACGCAAAAGCGGACGAGACAGGATGTGGATGAGGGCCAGGGCGAAGCGAAAAAAGTGAAAGGGGCAGAAGCGTGATGCTACTATCATTCTAGGCACATTCTGAACGACTCGTGGCTAGGTAGTGTCATGCCTTGGGAATAGATGTCACTGCCCAGTGCCATCGAGCCCCACATTTTAGTAATTTGTACATAAGAGCTCCTCTTTTTTGCTAAATATCGTTTTGAACGATTATGGTCCTATTGAAAAATGATCGATATTCTAAAAAGAAAAATGCCTACACCGTCATTAAAACATTCTCAAACCGGCCAGCCGGCAAACAAAAAATCATTATACACAAGCGTTTTTCCGCTCCCTAACTCGCCCGCCACTACCAAAACACACACACAAAAATCAAAACTCGAGTAAAAGTTTATAGCCAACTCTTGATATTTTACGATACCTCTGCAGCCAAATCCGGTTGCTCACGATCGACAATCGGGAGTCGTCCCGGACCAATACTCTTTTGTGACTCTAGCTTGGCTGCTAAAGAACCTCCACCGCCTTGAACTCCTCGAGAAGCCGAGGCCTAGAGTTACAAAAACAAATAGAGTATTCATTGGTTAGTATCAATTGCCCGGTTACTCAATACACACCATCTGAAACCAAAACATGATGGTGAATACGAGAGTATGAGCCGCACCTGTGCTCTTGCTTCTGCCGCGGCTAGCCGTGCTTCTCTCTCGGCATCGGTTTGCCTGTTTTTTGGGCCCGTCAACGGGGTTGCCGGGTCTGTTGACTCTGATGATCCGAGTTTCTGTCCACCCTTACGCTCTCCACCACAACACGCCGAGAAAAGGTTGCCCATGTCTTTGAAGACGAGGAATTTTGGTCCTTTTGTCGGAAAAGAAGCTCATCCCAGGCAATCATTCAATGTCGTGGCGCTACTGCTGCGCCACCCTTATGACAAAGTGCCCGCTGTTGAGAATTTCAAGGTTGATCCTACACGTTGCTGCGAAAGACTTTGCATACAAATTGTAAACAAACTAATTTCCTTGTTAGGATCTTTAATTTGATAACAATCTATGGTTCGGAACCTGGCAATACTCTACAATAGTCTATTCACATCAACAACACATGGTACACGAATCAGTTGTGGTCCAACATAATAATCTTGCTTGTTTACGATCATTACAGGGCCTCAGAATGCGGCAAGCATTGTTGGCACCTGTTCTCGATTGGATGAGAATGATTAGGGGCATACACTCAATATCCGATCATGACCTCTTAAGTTGCCATATTTGATGTATCAGGACACATGAAATACGATTTGACTTTCTGCATAGTAGCCCGAGTAGGTGATGCCTACAGTGTAAATATTCAGATTGGGCAAAGAACCATAGTAGTCGCAACACGCGGAAATACATACGACATGTCTATGCGACTGAATGAATAACAGACGGTTATGAACAATTTCCTTTGTGACTGTGATAAACAAAATTATTATCAGCTATAAATATGATGCAGTAGTAACTGGCAAGCTGCATCGTACCTTTGGGTGATTTCACATCTGGATGCAGTCGTCCCTGGTCGTCCATATAGCGAATGAGGACTGCCAAGGCCATGCCGACTGACCGATCCTTACCTGTCACATGTCAATTCGCAGGTTAGTTGCAAAGAATAATTTCGTTACATGTCAGACATGTTTGATATCACCTTGTCCCTACCTTGCATGCAATGAAAAAGAATCTTTTTCCCATCTTTGATAGGGTTCTGTACAAAATTTAGGACTATTGGCAGGCATCGGAACAGTTCATGCTGCCCCTTTTTGCCTTCGGGTATTGGGAGGTACAAATATCGACCGTTCTTTGCATAGGTTTGGAATTCCGTGCAGTCATATTCAGGAGCCCCGCAGTTGATAACAAAGTCAAAGATGGACCAGCAATATGGTGGTCGGCCGCTAGTGCGGTTGCCAATAGCAATTCCCATTTCGCCAAGCCATTCAAAGGAGACGGTATTCTTCTTTGGCATGCCAGCCTCCAGGTTTCTGCTGGCCAAGATACTGGAAACAACTTGCTCACATTCTGTCGTATTACTGGTTGCCAAAATCTCCTCTGCGTTTTCCCAAAATATTGATGGGTCCAGGCCCTTGAACAACATGTCAGTGAGCTATCGCTTGGCAACAGCCACGAGATGGGATCACACCTGGCCCCACATTTCATGGTCGTCAGCCGAACCCTGCACATATGTATACCCTTCTCGCCGGTCCATGCCATCAGGTACAGCCTGTGAAGCACTTAGGAGTATAACTGGATAGAAATCAAGGTCGTCTCCGTCATGCCATCCAAAGCTCATTTCCATGTCGGTGGCCGGCGTGATCCAGAGGGGCCGCAGAGGCTTTTGGAGGCTTTCGGAAAGCGAAGCAATATCGGCTGTCGAAGCCTGGATAGAATGTCATCAGTGAGGTACATACACTAGATTTAATGCGAACGCGATCAATACCATCAGCTTCTTCACAAACGCGGGAATTCGTAGAGCCATTTGATCGTGTTCAGATCTGGACACGACCGAAGGAAGCGTACAGAGGCCTATATCTCGTTGCATCTCTGCTTCTGGTACCGGCTGTTGAGATGGCGCATCTTTCTGCCCATTGATAGTTCCATCACATGATTGACTTTGTGAACCTAGTCCCCCAAGCGAGTCGCGGTATTCTTTCACGGCAGCATTCAAGACTGCGCACCAGATGGGTATCGTCTTTGACAAACTATCCGGAATCCGTTTGCCATTTCGGGTAGAGTCTACAATGATACATCTGAGCAAAATTCCTTGAGCACAATGTCCCTAATTTGTTTGATCATGTGTGTTACAGAAAAACTGTTACCCTTTGTGCTTGCAGATATCGGACAGGATGTGGAAATTCAATCGACGTAGGTTAAAGTCCCATTTCCCAAAATGACCGTCCGTCGATTTGAAATATACACTCTTTCCAAAAGCCTGAACAGTGCAAAAGCGTCACGACGACGGAGTCTTCACGAGCCCCAGGGTAGGCCCCCGTGCAAAACAAACAAAAAAAAAAACTCGTACTATATGACGTGCATTACCTTGTCAGGATCAAGGTACCAGCTTCCGCAACGCTCATTCGCAATGAGTGGAAGGTGAGGGAAGCGGGATGCCACTTTAGCAACAAAAGCGGAATCCTCTGCAATGGATCTCAGGCGATTATAACTATATATACGTCACAGTCTTCAGCTGACTTGTCCTGCTTTTCCACCATGCAATCCCCTTTTCCTTACATGTTGCGGGATTCCTTTCGAATGGCCTCTCTCTGCTTTTGCACAGTCTGCATGACCTTACTCCATCATGACGGTGACCGAACGCTTACCCCACAATATCCACCAACTGTAATGCACGTGACAAAGCCAAGGGCCTCCGAATTTCCTTCTTGAAACAACACAAGAGCCCCCTAAACGCACCGCCCGCTTGCACAGAATTGCACCAATCAGAGAGAGTGAATATAACCATATATAGTATAATGACAGAGCCCAGCAGCGCAAAATCAACAAAAAGAAAGAGAAAGAAATGACGCTCCTACTGCGTAAAGCATCCGAATGGGAACTGGCGGTCCAACGAGTGTGGTTATTTAAAGGGCAGAACAAGCAACGCATTTCACCCCATCGTTCATCGTCGTCGTTGTTCTTTACCTCCTGAAAATAATAATTTCTATCATGTTTTCCATCAAGACAATCTCTATTGGCCTCGTTCTCGCTCTCGCTTCCTCTGTGAACGCACAAGCTACGGGTGGTCTGCCAACAGCCGACATTCTCAACCCCGCGCTTCCAGAAGCATGCAAAAACGCTGCTAGCGGTCTTCTCGTCAAGGCTCTTACCAGCTGCAACCTCGCTGAGCTTCTGCCCCTTGCTAGCACTGCATCAAAGGACCCTCTCGCCGCTGTTGGATCCGCTATCAACTCGCCCACGTTCTTGACCAACCTTTGCGGTACAGATTGCTCCAACACTATCAACTCTATTGGATCGTCCCTCAGCTCTTGCGGCAACACCCCACTGTTTGTCGCCAATGCAACCACTCCAGCATCATCCCCAACAGCTGCTGCCAATGGTCTGACCGCCAGTGATCTTGCTGGTCTTTCCAAGTACGCTCAAAACGTCATGTGCGTCAAGACTTCGGACAACAAGCAATTCTGTCTGCAAGAGCGTTTCGCCGTCATCAAGCAGCAGTTCCCCAATGGCGATGTGACTGTTGAAAAGGCCGTCGCTAACGAAAAGGTTGCTTGCTCTGCCTGCTCAAAGGCCCTCTCTGACGTCGCATCCAAGACCGACGGTGTCCCAGCCAACATTGTTAGCGAAGCAAAGCCTGCTCTTGATGCTTTCAAGGCCAGGCTTGGCCAGTGCCCTGCGGGCTCCTTGACAGCTAGTAGCACCCAAAGCAGTGCCGGACAAACTGTTGTTGTCGGTTCCTCAGCTGCAGCACTTGCCGCCGTCGCCGCTGCTGCTTTGCTCGCCTAAGCTGCAGAATGTAACCTGGCTATATAGATAGATCAATTTATTCGTCATGGGAGTAATTATTGCAACCATTCGGAAGGACGATGGCGGATCTGAAAAAAGTGGAGGATTTGTATGTAGAGTATTTGTCGGTTTGTAAACATCAATACATAACCCTTGTAAAGACAAGAATTTTGGGCTCAATATATGAATATTCTGGACAAGGAAACTATCTAAAATCAAAAACTCCATACAATGATATTTCTGCCACGAAAAAGACAACCACACATTGGCTATTAAATTGGGATATCAAAAAAAAACCTACACTATCTTGTCACAGACATTTTTCGCATTGTCTGCGCAGCTCGCTGGCCTGTAAGCGGTTGGGGAAAGCTATCCATAATCCGCTCCAACTCTTCAAATCGCTGCTCCTTCTTTTGATTTTGAGTCATGGCATCCTGGTTTGCTAATCGTCGGTCTTCAAGTCGGTCCATGCGAGCACTCAGACCATTCATAAATAGGTCACGTTGCTTTGCTGTGGACATTTCATAGCGCTGCTGGTTGAGATCAGGAGATTCGGATTTTTGAAGATCGAGTTGGAGTTTTGATAGGTCATTGTGGAAAAGCTGTTCTTTGGTCATAAAGTCCTAGTACCCATGAAATAAATATTTAGTAATGAACGAATAAATAAAGAATGACGGTATCTCTAGTCAACGTACCTGATTCTTGAAACGGCTCTTCTCTTGTCGGTCCAAAAGACCACCTAATCGCCCAATCTCCATCCGATTCTTTTGATCAGCAGAGAGCATTACCCGCTGATTGCTCATACTCCGCTGCCCAGCGACAGTAATTTGGTCAACCAGCTTTTGCAAGGCAGCGTATCGATTACGTCCCGTAGGCACAGCTCTCTGGTTTTGGAAATTTTCTTTTCCCCGATTCAACCGGTCAATCAGGGCAAGAAGAGCTGCACCAGACATGATCTTTTCCTGTCGTGGATTCAACAACACCGACTGGTCATCCAACCGCGGGGCCATTTTGAGCACGCGGTCAATGGCAGCAAACACCTGTCCCAGTTCATCGTTGGAAAGCCGAGGCTTGCCAGTAGACAATCCACCCTTTTTTTGTATTCCGAGAGCTTCTTCATATGTAGGTGGGTGAGAGGGTACGTCTTTTGGTGTCGCACATATTGTTTCAATAAGGTCCATGAGACGGTCAATCTCTGCCCACAAGACTCGTTGTTCAGGGGTCAGAGTGTTGACATCGCGATTGCACACATTTTCAACGAGGAGCAAGAGACGTTCTAGTTCTGCCCATATTGCCTGTTGGTTCAAGGGAAGGTCGAGGGCGGTCGTACTGAGGGAGGGAGGAAGGAATGTTCTTGGGTCGGTCGTTGGTGCCAAAGGCGCACTCTGTAATAACTGCTCGAGGTGTTCGCTTCTTGTTCTGCCATCTTGCAGTGTCTGAAGGGTTTCTTGTGTTGTTGTCCTTGTCCTTGGTTCCTCCTGGTAGCACTCCATTGTCCGGTACTGTTGTGATCTGAAAGGTTCACTGCGCAGCAATTGAGAATGTTTCGACAAAAGATACACAAGTTAAAGCTGTTTGAGAGGTGTGTGTGTGTGTGTGTGTTGGTGGTTGGCCGCTCTTTTTATCCAATTTGGTTCACAAGAAAAACGATTTCCTCAAAATGTTTTGTTTGTGTGTGTGTTGACAAGAAATAAGCGGCTTGGTCACTATTGTTAGCTACTCAAAGCGTGTAAACCCCCCAGTCCGCTTCATGACGCGGCTTTCATTGGTCTATTTTGGCCTTAATGAAGGGTTTACGTAAGGCACACCCTTTTCATTTAGCCCTTCCAACCTGCACTTTTAAACAATCCGATCGCACGGCCCAAGAGGGATTTCTGAACTAAATATATACTACAGCATCTTAGTTTGTTTGATGGGATATTATATTTTTAATTTTAATAATGCGCAAGCGAGGATGTATATAAAAGTTTAGGGGAAAAGATTCACGTCTGCGTGAGCTTTTCTCTCCTACTTCTATACTTCATAAAACCTATTCCGGCTGCAACTATTGCTGCAAACCCACCGGCGCCAGCGACATTGAACACGATATTGTTGGGTTCTTCCTTCTTTTCGGCTTCCTTGCCGGCTTCTCCTTTTTCTCCTTCACCGAGTGCACCGGCTTCTGCGCCAGGTTTGCTTTCTCCCTCTTTCTTTTCTCCCTCTTTGGTTGCGCCTTCTTTGCTTTCACCTTCTTTGCTTGCACCCTCGGTGGATTTTTCTCCAACTACTGGAACCCCCCCTTCATTCGCCCTAGATTCGGTCGGGGGAAGGTTTGGAGGTCTGACTTCTGGCTGCGTAGTTGGCTGAGAAGGCTGAGGTTCAGCCGGTTTCACGGTAGGTGTTGGTTGGTTGGCCTCTTGGCTAATAGTAGCGCTTGATGACGTCGTCGTCGTTTGAGGAGGGGCTGGCGACGGAACAGATTGCGCAGGCGGAGCGGGTGCTGTGGAGGACTGAGGACGAGGAATGGATTGTGGGATGCCCACTATCACTGTTGGCGGCGGCTGCCGTACGCGACCATCCCTGTTGCCCGCCACAAAAGTGACTGTGATGAGACCATTTGTGGTCCGAGTAGCAACGTTTACCGTCGTAGATGGGCGTGCCTGAGCAGATACTGATGGTGGTGTGTTGGTCGGCGGGGATGATTCAAGAGACATTCGCCTCGCAAGGCCATTCTGGGTATCTTCTTGACGTTGTGCCGCAACCAATGGAAGTCCTTGTACTGCTACAAAGTAGCTGAGAATCAAGCTAATGACCATGGATATGAAATGTGAAGGAGTATGCATGATTATTTACCACTGCAAAGTGCGGGTAAAAAAGGTCAAGCATTGCTTGATATATAAAAACCACAGAGATCTATGCCAAGAGTTTTTTTATTTCATTTGGAGGGAGTTGTCCTAAAACCCATCTATTGAATCGACCGATAATGATGCCACACGTGAATTTGACTTTGCATTCTTGGCCGTCTAAATAAGATTCTAAGAGTTTTTGAAACGCGCGTTTCATAACTTACTTGAACCGGAGGGTTAAAAGATATTTTGCCAAGAAAAGTTGGCATTTCTTATTGCAAATCTATTGCCACACACAAAGCACATAAAGCAAAACACTCGAGGAGAAACAACTGTAAGACTCGGGGACCATACGGGCGGAGGGGACTGCCGTGAAAAAAAGTTGTCTTGGCGTTAAATCTCCGCGCTCTCTCTCCATATTTGTCGTGCGGTTTGCCCCCCCGCCCTTTTTTGTTGCTTTTGCAAAGCATGTCCGTTGTGGCAAAAAGCGGGAATTGCTGGTGGCGATCTCGATACATTTTGTTTTGGGGGAATGGCATTTCTTCTTTTAATTCCATGGGTGTTCCATGCCTTCATAACGCATGTCATAACGCATGCCATTTCACTTGATATTGCATGTAAATGTAACGCAAAAGTAGCACCCATCCTATTTCATCACTATTTACAAAAATATGCTTAAGGGCCACCATTAACACACATGGGTAAGCTATATGGGTTGCCCCTGCAGTCGCCCCTCCATATCTGCTGTAATCGCCGACAAATCCAAAATAAACTGCTGTATCTTGTCCAGCTGAACTAGTGTGTCATTTGTGGTATTTAGTCGATTGTTCAAGTGCGATTTTACGAGGTTGAAGAGATTATTTGTTGCCCTGTTTCCTTTTGGTGTGAGCAAAACAATGCGGGTGATGATACCAAGAGTCCATGTCTTACATTTTTATTTGCCCCAATAGCAGTGACTTTTGGGTTGCATTGTTCATTGTTTGATCGCATTCCGACTGCCATTTTGCACTGCGAAACTGTAATTCTTCTAGCTTTGTTTGGAGTTTTGCAATGTCATTATTGTAGTTGAGTATTGTGGTATTCTTTTCCTGATATTTTCAACGAAAACACAGCACATTAGTTTTCATGTCCGGATATTCCTACCAGTAACAGATTGTCAATCGCACCTCGGTAGAATGTAGAAACGCCATCCGATCCTTTTCTGTTCGATCTTGCGCTTCCCTTGCTCGATCAAGAAGCTCCGCATTTGTCGCTGCGAGGGTATCAAATCGCCCAATAATGTCCTTTACTTCTCCAAATTCTTCTACATTTTCTAGGACCGATTCCAGATATCGCTGATAGGCAAGATCTGTAAAGATGGGTTTCGTCATCAACTTTGTTGAATGCAGCAACTTTGTTCGTATATTGCGTTTTTTGGTTTTTACGTACTGGTATCCACATTTTTGAGCTGACGGTCCTTTTTTGATGAGAGTTTTCCCATGTTTTCTCGCAGATTTAGAATTTCCACTTCCTTTTGCTCTCTGGTTTTCCTTTCTTCATGGGACTTTTTAATGGCTCGTGTTCGTTTGGCGTCGTTCTCCTACAGCATCCACTGGCATCAGCAAGGCCATTTCACACACTTGCATTTCCGCTACCAATATTTCAAAAAACAAACCTTTAAAAACTTGTCAAACTTCATCAAAGACTCTTTCAACTGTGTTTCTTTCCGAGCAAGCTCCTCTCTCCGCTGTGCCAAGGACTCAATCTTCATTGCAAACTCCTCCTTTTGCTGATTCAAACCGTTCTCAACTTCCAGCATCTCCCGCCGTTTTTCCAATAGCTTTGTGGCTGGTGTGAGGTCGTGGTCTTCTTGCTCTGGAACTTTACTTGGGAGATATGTCGCATGTGAGCGGTTTATAATGGAACCTTTTTTTTTGGAAAGGGGAAGAGTAACGTACATGAACAGTTTCTTTTCCATGTTGACTCGAAAGTATTCCTCGACATTTGCTAGATTGGACGTCATTTTTGATGTAGATTACAGGGAAAGAATAGTGTGCAATGCGGACTGTTGGGTTTTCTGTCGTTTTGTAGGCTTCACTCGATTTCATATGCTGACGAGCGGACATTTCGGGACAATCTATATTTAGGTCAATCAGTGGATTTGTTGCTACGGTGACAGACATCATATCATGAGCCAATTTAAAGCTATCATGCTAAATGAAATCCAAAAGACGAGCGATATTCTTATATCCTTTAATTCAAAATGTCTCGAGATATGAGATTAACTGTATAAACACACGGCAAAATGCGACTAAATATAAACATTCTACTATGCTACATGACTATAAAATCTAAAAAGTGTCCCACCCCTTGCCTTCTAACACAAAACTCGGCAGCACTATGCATACGATAACCCAGTTTGAACATACGATATCAAGAGGATGAGGGCAGTCATAACGGATCCTGAGGCGATGGTCCGGGAACCTGAACTCAACGCCGCAGGATATGGATCGGACGCAATGGGAGTCAGGGGTAACGGTCTAACAATCGTAAATTCTTGCTGTCCTATCGATGGCCAGCCTGGTGGTGTGCATGATGATGGGATGCCCGTAGTCCCCGAGCGGTCAATGTTATCAGGTACAATACGAATCTACCAATCACAAGTTATATAAGCATATACTGCGTTTTTGAGTTATCCGAGTCACTGACTATACCTTGAAATTCCCTCCGGTGCCTGCTTGAAAGTCCTCAAGCGCCCAACTATAGTTTGTGGCCCTCGCAGGGACAGAAGCCACCTCCGCCCACTTTTGTGCATCTGATTTTTGATAGTAAATGTGGACACTGTTGATGGGGAACTTTGACGTGTCTGTTTCTGCTGAATATGTCCATGTGACGTTGACCGGCTTTCCGACGTAGAAATAAGCTGTGGTGTTGGGAGATGCAATGTAGACTTGTCCTATATTTGATGAATCGGTACAATTTGGATTCGGGCAAACTTGGATGAATGGATTGCAAGGCGGTGGTGCGGGCGGTGCTGGAGGAGCTGGGGCAGGCGCAGGTGCGGGCGGAGGCTGCGCGGCCGTGCCCGAAAAGAGGACAAGCAGAGAGGTGACCAGGGGGGTGATATAAACAGTGCGCATTTTCACAAGACTGTTCAGCGGATGCGCTGCGTTTGATCTTTTTCTTTGCTGCTTTAAAACAAACTTTACTGTATCTTTATGGTAAGGCTGCTGATATTCGTATGGGATCCGCTGCGCTGACGGAACAAAAGTACTGTGACGGAAAGTCCTTGTATTTGGAAACTGAGCAAAACTTGGGTTGCAAGCCCGGTTTCCCTGGCCCGTTGTCTGCGCCACTGTGTACGTCACATGACGAGAATTGATGCCTGCAGAATAACTTGGTTTTCCTTCCAATGCAAACGGAGTGCAGCACAGCACGAGAAAGAGCTGTCAACCATGCAGGAACAAGCATATTTGCACAGAATATCTTGCTTGTTGAGCTGGCTGTAATGCGCCATCTGAACGGCGACGCTCAATAATCTTGAAAACATGTAATCTTTTGTGGTCTTTGTAGAAGGCATTTGCGTCCATGCCCTCTTAATTAGGTACTTGTAGTCACCAGAAAGCTGGCCAACCTGTACAAATTGCAGAAATATCCCCTGGGTTGCGAAACCAATAAATTAGCACGATGTGGAGCCCTTCTCGGAACCCGTCAGCTGTTTGCCGTTATCCGATTGAAAGTGATGAAGAGTGCAAAACCCATGTCACTTGGTGCTCGTAAGAAGCGCTCATACTTACGATGATATGCTCAGTCACTTTCAAACAGTTTTTAAAGGTCACTGGATGAAGGGTGAAATGACGAGGTAGACGCCAGCAGGGCAACATTTTGCTTCACGTAAGGTATTGCTTTGCTTTTGGATGAACGCCTCGGAAAAACTCGTTCCAATTCGAGCCTTAAAACAGGACAGATGGAGGTTGGTGCGGTTGAGTGTCCCCACATTGGCCGTTAAACGGACATAAACAAAGATGTAGGGAGACCAAAGCGTTCCATCTATTTTTAGTATCAATTATTGGGAGGACAGTAAATGACATAAAGCCTTTTCCATTACTCATGAAAAGCAAGGGTACCTAGTGTCCATTTTAATTCACTGTTCACTACCAACGCCCTTGACTGCTTCTCAGCAAAAGGACGTTTTTTTTTTTGACACAATTGACAATATCGACAAATCACAGCTATGGAAGGGCAAAAGGGAATGCGTCGGCACACTGCTTCATCGGTTGGTGCCGCGATAGCCCGCGGAGTCGCAGCTGCTGCCCGGCGGTCCATGTCTTTTTCAAGACCAAAGTTACACCTCGACACAAAGGGAGCGGCCCAAATCGGCGAGATAGAGCGAAGGAAGCAGGCAGAGGTCCTGAAATCCGCTGGACGATACAAAAAGGTTGTAGATTGGTGCAAGGTGCAACAGAAATCACCCGATGGCGAGGAAAACAATGTCGTGTGCTCTCCCCTGCAGGCCCTGTGTATTGCGGCCGCTGCGGAAAGTCAAGCAGAACCGGCCAAAGTATCTCCCACCATCGTTCCTGATATACAGCGTTTGGACCTGCCAACCATATTACGAACGCCAAAGTCCAAAGGATCTCCAGAGATTCAAACGGCAAAGACTCAAACCCCATCCCTGACAGACCTCCCTACCGAACTGATCTACGCCATCTCCACCCGAGCCGGTTTTTTCGGCGCACTACAGCTCATGCGGACCTGCCGAACGATACACACCCTCCTCTCCAATCGATCGGCGTGGACGGATTACATGGACCCCACCGCCTGTTCAGACGTGGTAGAAAACACATTGACGATCATGACCCGAATAACAACATTTGACCACTTGCTGTTTGGGGTTTGGAGTGGTCCGCCAGAAGAGCAAGGTGGACAAAGAATCAAGGACCTGCAGGTGTTTTTTGAGCACCGTAGCTTTAATGAGGAATATGACTTTTTGGGAGGTGTCTCAGCAAAGGTTGGAAGGGCTGGGATTGCGGATGTGTAAGTAACGTAATTGTTCATCCGCAGATGAGAACAGATATTGACAGCTTCATTTCTAGGTCCTTTTTCGATCACCGAGACACACTCTCTTGTTATCAATCTGATCTTAAACATCGAGTTCAAACAGGCCAAATTCCTCCTTCCATTCCTCCTCCGACACCTACATTACCATCTGCGACGACAGCAACAGCACCGTCAAACGTTACTTCACCTCTCGTTCCTGTCCCACGAGGTCTGAAAATCCCGCACACCTGCACAACCTGCGCTCACTTTGATACTCAAAATATCCTCAAATCCATTTGTCTGCTCGATCACACCCACCACCCTTCTGTCAATTCCCTTGAGAGTGCCATATCGTGGGAGTACACCCTTCCTGATGGTCGTCGAAGGATTAAATTCAAAGTTTTGTCGTATCAAGCACCCATTGGTTTCGTATCTATGAAAGAGTTGCCGATGGTACATGTCAATGAAGTGACAATAAATGGACGAAAATTGAAAGGTTGGGCCTATGAATTTTTTTCCAAGGTTGTAAATGGATAAAGCGTAAAATGTACATAGCTTTGTATTTGGATTTTGTTTAGATTGAGCTTTTAATTTGTAGATAGCTTTTGTAAATAGTTTATTGTTTATTACTGAGCTAGTCTGGGCAGTTTACCGCTAGTGTACCTAGAGATTGTTGCTTGTCCGTTTTTTTTTAAGCGACCAAGTCCCTTCGTCTACAATACTAATCTTCTGGAACAAGGCTCTCTTCATCTCGCGATGTTTCCTTCAATTTTTTCAAATCTAAAAACCAGTACACTGCACTGGCTGCCGCAATGGTGCTTGCGATACCCGCCAAGCCGAGAATGGCAGTAGGCCATCCTTTGGAGTCAGCCAACGCTCCAGACACAAACGGTGAAATGCATCCTCCTAAATAACCCACTCCCGTCACAAAGGCCGTCATACTTCCAAGGTGCTCCGGGCCGCCGGCCAAGTCCATGACAAAGGCGCCATCGAAAATAACTTTAGGTGCAAAAAGGAATACGGCCACCAATCCAATCATGCCGAGGAAAAGTGCCATCTGTTGAGGAGATAGCGTATCATTCCCGTAAACCGACAAAGATTCCCCGGCATTGGAAGGCGTGACAGCCCACATGCCCAATAATGCTGCAGCTAAGCCAGTAAGTGATACGAGCGGGATGAGTGCACGGCGATTTTGACGAGTCTTGTCCAAAAGGATTCCGCCTCCCATTGCCGAGACTGCGCCGAGAGTGGGGAAGATTGCGGAAGCAACAGCAGAGTAACCTGTCGAGAGTTTGATCTCTGAAGCGATCAGCGCTGACACAAAGCTAGCGAATGATTCCCGAATCTACCATTATTGTACAGCGGGTGAGTAACAGAACACGTATCCATGCAATAAAAAGTAACATACCAAAACGACGCCCAAGAGCTCAAAGGAAAGTAACCAAACTCTAGTATTCTTCAAAAAGGGCCTCAGACCTCCTCCAGATCCTTCAGTATACACTGAGCGGTCTCTCATAGCCTCACGAGCAGCCTGATTTTGTTCTTGCGGACCATCAAAGCCTTTAGTCTGGGGAGAAGCGGGCACGAAACATGAGGGTATCAACATGACAGCAGCAATCGCCGCTGATATATAAAACATTTGATTCCAAGACACTCCGGCAACTAGAGTCAATCCCAACGTCACTCGAACAACGGCATCACCGGCGGTCTCAGCCAAGGAGGCGACAGCGACGGCATGGGCTGCTCGACTCGGTTCGTACCATCCTCTGACGGTCTTGACACAGGCACCCCAACCGACACTAGAGCACAACTGGTTCAACCCACGCAAAATCGCGAACCACACCGGGTGGAGTTTGAATGTAAAAAGAACGGTCGTGACGATCGAGCCAATAAGACCGGCAAGCAGGGTCGCTTTCCCACCAAACTTGTCAATCAAGTAACCGCTCATGAATCTGCAAAAACAATCCCAATATTCAGTATTTGTTTCTCAAAAGTAAAACGTAAATACAAAATACGTACTTTCCAATTAAATAAAGGACATAACCAGATGCCAAAATACTACTAATATCCGTCCTCGTGACCCCTTCCTTTTTTTCAAGATCTGGAATAGCAAGCGGTAGATTGGTTTTACAAAAGTAATAACCCTATATATACAAAACAAAATGTAAGTAGATCAATCGAGTTTTCATCACACTTCGCAAAGGAGCACTTTACCGTGTATGCGACCACCAGGAGCGTCAACATTAGTCTTTGCCATCGTTTATAGTCTGGCGAATCCTGCGATACCTTGTTTTCTTGGTTACCCTGTCTCCCATTTGCACCTCTAATGAGAGGTGTACGTTCGTGAGGTCTACGGTGGTGATGCTCCATTTGGGTAGTTTGCCTGCGAGGTACACGCCTTTTGAGAGGAGAATGGTCAAAGAGGACTTGCTTTTGAGGACCCGTTGACCGACATGTTCCAAGGATATTGGAAGAGCGAGTTAAGCGCGTAGATCTGACGTCACACGACTTTTAACATTCGCAGTTTCGGTCTCAACCTTATTTCAACCGTTGTCGTTCATTTGAATTTTGCTTAATTGCGATCCTCATTAGATGGGTCAAGAGCTCGTCTTCCAACCCTGAATGGACACTGACTGTGCGGTGACCACTACGACAGGAAGCGCTGTGGCAAACCTGTTAGCGATCATTTAATTTCCTGAGGATTAGGTAGAGCTTAGCATCGTAGTATGCATTCATTACTTCCGCGAGTGATGCAAGAAAAAATAACAAAAACCAATAAAATTGGAAAGGATTCCAAAAATGAGGAACAAGGTAAGGTTAATTATGCACCATTCCTATTTTTCTCGCTAGGTTGAATAGACAAAGAAGACTGAACGTTAATCAGAGTTCCCTGGCCAAGTTTGGGGATCAACTCGGAAGATATTACACCGCTGGACATTAGAACCGCCATGATTCTGACGTTGTCATGTTCAGTTAACGACCAAACGGAACTGCTGCTTGCCAATCATCCTGATCACATTTATGTTTTTGGGTTCGCATGCGTCGATCCACCTGGTTATTTTGCAAATTCCACAAAAAAAATTGATAGCAGCAACAACAGACCGTCATCACCCTAACCCATATCTGTTCAATAAATAAAATACAATCGTCATAGCATAGCCCTAGATTCACGGCTCCACAATCTCATCCGCATCTTCCACAACCGGACGACGACATGCGTGAAGAGGAGGTGGGGAGACAACGTCATTGAATAGGAACGTTCTACCGAGTAAGAACAAATTAGAACCCGGTCCTGTGTTTCCATTGGAACCCATTTCATTTTGAATACCTACCCATAGATGAGGATAACGAAACCGACAACCTGCAACCATCGAAAATTCTCCCAGCCCAATCCAAGACTGATCATCCAGATGAAGAGTGTCCTAGAATATGCCGTTCAGAGCCAGGGACGTAGATCGAGGGAAAAACACTGCCTTAGTGTATATTGCACTCACCGGCACGTATCAATCGTCGACCTTGATGTAGCACTAATACTTCTCGTCACTGACAACCCAAACCAATTGAAAAACGCAATAGAAAAGATGATACCGATCCCAGCGTACAGGATCTGGGCATGACTAAAGAGTTGATGGAATCCAACGGGCAGGTCAAAAAAGTTGCCAGTTCCCACCCCAAAGGCGTAGTAGAGGACGGGCATCCCCAGACCAACTGAAACCAATCCGAAAAGTCCTTCTAGTCCTACGGCTTTGATAGCAGGGAGTTCATACCGCCCCATAATCTTTTCTTCAATGACAAACTGCAGGGCTGTAAAGGTTTGGGCGAGAACCACGAGAAGGACCCCAGTGAAAGAAGATTTGACAGGACCCTTGTTAGGATCTGGCTTCTCAATGATACTGCTGAGTCCCACGACGGCGACACCCAAAAACACCATAATCAGGGCAAACCATCTATACAGAGGGTGCTTGCGGCCGAGAAAGTATACAGAGAGCGTACCAGTGAACAGTACAACAGAGCCGCGGAGCATTTGATAGATGGAAGCAGACACGTGGATAAGACCGACATTCATCAGCGTCGTCGCAGTCATATCGCAGAGGGTAGGCAGCCACAAAAGAAGATTCTTGGTGCCTGTGAGAGGAGGAATGCTTGATCCGGCAATCAGTGGAGTTGATTCCGTGCTGGATCGGTTCGGGGATGTTGCTGTATCAGCCTGGACTGACGTTGGATCTTCGGGGTGGATCGCAACTGGTTGATAGTCACCCGACGATGAGGATCGCCGAGATTCCAAGTACACGCCGATATAGTAGACCAGTAAACAGAGAGCTTCGCCCACAAACATATTCAACGTCTAACAAGGTCAAGCAATCATGAATCACTGGGTCATATACTATTTTTAACTTTATTTTTCCTCAACTCTGCTCACCTGCCATAAAGGTTGCTCGAAATATTCTCTGCGGGACGTATCAGGATCCTCGCAATTCTCGACACATGTCATATCCTGCAGTTTGTTCAATATAGTGTTGACCGTGCCCGTAAAGAGCATTCCCAGCACAAGGACCAGAACGAATATTCCCTTCATTTTGGAAGTTTTCAACGGTCTTCTCCGGGGATACAAGTTTACAGATAGCCGTATGCTATGGGACTCGGTCTAGAGAAACCCGGAGATGGAAGAGATCTGGCGAAATTCTCAGCCTGGAAAAGCGATAAGGGCCGCCAGGTCAATAACGAGTCATGTGAATAAATGAGGGTTCGAATCCCGCTGGAGACTCCCCATGACACAAATTGATAGTGTATTGGCAAAAACAAATGTCAGTGCCGCGCACACCAGAGAATGAACCGGCGACAACCGGTTCGGAAAAGCTAACTAGCTAACTAACCTCCTTACAAGTAACAAACTACCACTAGGCCCAATTACACATGCAATACATTACGGTTGTTCTAACCAGGTAACTAGCGCCCATCACCACGAGAGAAATCCTACTTGATTCCGAAATTCTTAGTCAGAGGATGTTTCAGATACTAGTAAAGTCAGAATTAGACTGGGAATACGGCGTGGGAAAATACAAAGATAATGCATACCTGCGATCGTAGCAATATAGTAGTAGCAGCGTTTGCAAGGGGCTATATTGTTGTTGTAGTCAGGTGGGCGAGGTCCTTGGCACCAGAGCGGCATTCTCATGGTGGACTTGAGAGTTGAGCGTTGGGCAGATGCTTTGAGAGTCGAGGGTAAAGAACAAGATGGGGGGGCAGATGAGGGGGCGGGGGGGGGGGGGGTTTATATAGAAAAAAGAGTGGATAGATTGAGTCATCGTGCATCATGCAGGTGGCAACTGCAGAATATTCCTCTCATAGATATCCGCAAAGAGATAGTAATTGCAAACCGTTCATTGCTGCAGGTATTGGACCCGTTTTTCATGATGGAGCATCTTTTGTGCATCGAACCATAGTTTATTTGCCTAAATCGAGGGAGGCATCTTGCATTTCATCTCATTCGATCCACACAAATTGATATGACGTGGGTCAATTTCACACAACTTGCCCACATTTCACTTTGTCAATCTTTCTTCCACATCTGATCGTGATGCAGAACATCAAAGCTCGGAGTGGTCAGCGGGAAACCCGCACCAAAGCGACATTTGCAGCTACAAAGAAGACGGGCGCGGGTCCAGAGGAAGACACTCCTACGGTCCGTCAACGCCTCTCAGAGGCCAGGAAAACGGGCGTGCTGGACCTGCGAGGACTGAACCTTGGAAACATCCCGGTGGACGCTGAAAAGTTGCAGAACCTCTCTGCATTGCTGCTGTAGGTACAGCCTTTTGGGCTTTAACAAAGAGTTTGACTGACTAGTTGGCTGTCGTTACAGTGGGGAAAACCGCCTTACGTCCATTCCTGCGGACCTCCCATCCATCTTCCCGCGTCTTACCTACTTGGACCTTTCATTCAACAAGATTCAGAGCGTACCGAATGTGCTAGTCGACTTGCAAGATTTGGAAGTTTTGGATTTGGAAGGCAACCAGGACATCCCATCACAACTTCCGACCGCGTTTCGTCCGCTGGTCGAGAAGGGGAAGCTAGCGGTGCTTCGTGGTGAGCCGGACTTTTCGCCCTCGGACGTGCTAAATGAGGAGAGCTTTGCTGCAGAAAGTGAGGTAGAAGAGGTACAAGAGGAAGGAAAACCCGAGCCAGCTTGGCGGAAAGACTACTATGACACCGATGATGAGGCAGACCATGAAGAAGGTGGCTACGAGGATGATATTGAAGACCAGGACTCTCTTGATAATAAAGATACCCGATCGGTAACCTCCATTGACTCAAATCTATCAGATGGTTTATCTACGGATAATCTCCGGGTAGAATTCAAGCTTTTTATTCACCGTGTTGAGGACCTTGAAGAAGGGGACACGCTCGAGGCTAGGTTCCGTCGACGATGGGGCACTGGAGATCCAGTATTTGTGCGCTACATATCAAAACGGTATAGGGCAGAAGCCGGAAAGCCGGCCACGCATGGTTTGGCTGGAGGTCGAAGGAAGGATAGGAAGAATCGCGAAGGAGAGTCTAGAGATAGCGAGGTAGATGATGATCATGATCGTGGTAGTGCTAGTGAGGAGGAGGAACGACCATTGAAAGGCAGAAATGCAAAGAGACAAGTCGAGTATGCCCGCAAAGAAAAGGAGAGGTCCGTCAAGCAGGGTGTCAAGGCTGGGAGGAAGACGAAGCAATCGATGATGGAGGTCGAATAGAATGTAACATTCCCAACTGCGATTCATCATGTATTTCATCTATTGGTAGACTTGCTCATTGACATTGTAATTTTGACCTTGCAATCACTAGTCCTTTTTGTCTGCCTCAAACTGCTGAGTTACCAATTGGGAACAATCATTCAAGAAATCACAGACTTCCATTGTTTCCAGTGATTTGGACTTGGGCGGATTTGGTATTCACCACGTCAATCGTTGAGACGACGTTCTCGACTAGGAGAACCAATCTTTTCTTCTTTTCAAAAATTGTCAATAATAGGACTTACCGATCGTAACGGCATTGACCTTGCCCTTGATTTGGATCGGACAGTTTTGGCAATTGAAAATATAAACAACATGCCTCAATTCCGGTTGATATATTATAGGGGGACGGTGGTTGTGGTACGCATCAGAGCATTCTATTCAAGTGTTACAAGACAAAAGAACTCGCCGGTGAAATATCAGAGCAATGCAACAGCCCTGACTTTACCCTCAGTATTGCTAACGCCCGTTGTTGATGCTGGTATCTCGCTGGAAGTCGGTGAGTGTACGCTTCCACGTGCAGCGGCCTTGGCTGTATCACTACGGAGAGGTGTCTTCGCTTCCAAATCCTCAGAGCGAAGAAGAAGTTGCTTCGTAAACCAGAACATTGCGTTTTGGAAGAGGCCTTCTGGAACGGGAATTTGTGATGCGGTCTCTGGATCCACTATGGTCGGGTGAACATGCTGCATGGACATCCTATGCGATGTACCAGGACTGGTCGGACTTGTCGGACTTGTCATGGCAGTCGTCGACTGCGTTTCCAGACACATGTATTTTAGATAGTGAGCTTGCACCAAGTGCTTGCGAAGGGCCTCCCGGGCGTGCCCAACGGTCGGGTCCAAAAGAAGAAAAATGGTAGAGTTCATTGTGCCCTGTGTGATTCAAAGGTGTTCATTAGAATTTTTTAATGATTGATGACCGTGTGTGGGCAACAGTTACCTGCAATGCGGCAAAAATGCATGCCAAGTAAGTAATCCAGACCGAAGTAAATGTCTCATAGCTCCCCCCGAGATGCAAATAAACATCCAAAATGATGTTCCACGATTGGGCAAGCAAGGGTACAACGCAGTACCAACTGATACGGGAAACAGCTTTGTTCACGAGCTGTTCCTTCTTGCGTGCTTTATTGTTTTTTTTAGCACTGGCGGCTGTGGATCCGACGCGGTTGGGTATGTCGCGCAACTGCTTTTGATTCTGGTACAGCACGTACCAAAAGAGAAAAGTAGCGATGGAGCATAGGATACAAACTAAGGTAATCCAGCCGTACAAGAACCCCCTGTTCATTGAATCAACGATATGAGATTTGTGTGCGATAACATTCATATTAGAACGGAACTTACCATTGAGGACCAATCCCGTTCAATAAATCATCGGGCGGTCCCCTAAACCAGCACTCATCACCGTTGTAACCTAATCTTTTTGTAGCTACGGCAATGATCGGTAGCAAGATGGCGACGGACGCTGATGCAATGTAATACATTCTTTCGTAAATAGGAGTTACGCCGAATTTGATAACAAACACCTATTGGAGCACATAATAGAAAGCAGATATCAGCCAAGTAAATTTACCACTCTACACTGCACAAACCTACCAAGAATATATTCAGTGCTATCGCCGCAGACATAAAGACCGATGCTAAATTGCCGGCAACGATAAAGTACATCACCGTGGTACACTCAGGAGTGTCGGCGTATGTGACATAATTCAAGCCCATCCATGCACATTCATATACTATATCTGCGATCGCGATAAATGACACCAAACGAAGCGACACGCGATTTGACTAGGTTCACAAATGAATGTAAATGCTTTTGTTACAGTTTTAATTTCTTGCGCGGTGCTTACCAGGGTTGGGAGGTAGTAGCGCATTAGAGTAAAGACTAGAAGGGTTGCAAGGGACATTGCGATTGAAAACGTCGCCTAGTGCCACATTAGCCTCTGTAAAATCAACTTAAAGGAAGGTAATTACTCACTAATGTCGTGGAGACAGTCGTCAACTTGTCCCATTCGCTCGCATATGGATCAACCCAAGTGAAATCATCTCCTTCATAGCCACCATCTCCTCCAGTGCCGTCAGTAATGTTGGTATCAATACCGTCGTTCATTCTTTGCCAGGCACTAGACAACCAAAGCCACCAGACGAGGCAATTTTTATGAAGAGTTTTTATATGTTGAACTAACTATTACATTAGACGGAGGTAAGTGGCGAAGTGGAAAACAATACCTCCGACCAAATAATGCGTTGATGTCCGGAGATGGGATACGGCGTGGAAAAATAAGGGCATGTGAAATATGCTTAATGTGAGCATATGCAAACCTTAAGAATAGTTACAAGAATAATTCGTGTCCCCCATTAGCAAAACAAATCAAAGAATAGATCGCATTGTCGAAAGCTCTGGAATTAACCAAACTCCGTGGACTTTTTTTTTTTACCATGAGGGCGCCGCAAGAACAACCATAACATTGTTTGTCAGCTCACAAATAAAAAAGCTAAACTTCCGCGCGGCATTGGTTCAACTTGCGGGTTTTATCCCCTGCTGAGTGCAATCAGATCGGGATCTGCATAGCGCACAGTAAAGCCACCATAAGTCGAACAGCGATGCTAGATTGCAAAATCCCGACGTCAATTTCTATAAGGAAGCGGCCTTTGATGGAGAGCCTTGCAAACGCCAGGCCAGGCTGAAATGCGGAGAGTGACTCCAGCTTTGGCGATTATTTGGACAGATACGTGATTGCCCTGATCTGGAGTTCCTTTATGCAATATTCTTCAATTCAATGGCAAGATGACATTCGTCCAGCTGGTGAAGGAGATTGATGAACAGTACACAGACTATATTAAACACACGTTGTGCACCAGCTTTCTCCTTTACACTTTGTCGCGCTTTGTAATCGTGCCTGTGTTGAAACTTTGGTACACATTAAAGATCTACTGATTACATGATCTAGTTGGGGCCGTACTGAGCATGTAAGCTGAGTTACAGCACAGATCCAATGGTGGGAGGTAATAATTGTATTTCCCAGTTTACAGGATCTTATTCCAACCCCACTTTTTGCCAATGAAATCCCATGATTCGTCGTTGCCTACCGAGGACTCTACACCAATTGAGTTTAACGTCCTATTAATACACCACCAGAACTGATATGCTGAGTTGTCGTCGTTAACGGGGATGTCCACCAAAAAATATGCTTCGAGGGGAGACTTGACATTTCGTATGAATGCTGCTTTCAAGCCGTAGCGCCTCAGTTCGTCCTGCTCTAGAAAAAATCAGATTCCTGACTGCCAGCCAAAGAATCAACATAAGTCATATCTTGATGTGATGTACATGTTTGTTTACCATCTCGTTCACCGTCTGGATTGAAGGGCGCTTCTACGTCATGAGCTTTGGAATCAAAGGACATTGGCAGCAAAAGGGGTAGATGTGCAGCAGGTGAAAGTGGGAGTCGCACTCGCAGATCACATGTCACTCACATGGCAAATAAACATTCACATTGGAACCACACTTCTTTCTACCAGGTTTGATTTAAACAAATTCCCGCCGCATCTCGCACCAACGAATGTTTATATTTTCTGCCCCGCATCATCCGCTGGCAATGGGAATGGGAATGCCAGGACAAAGAGTTTATTTATGTGACATGGTTATAAAAAACTTAATATATGTATAAAATGTATGTAATGTACGTCCACGGTTGGCCCATCGTAGTAGAAGCCCATTCTCCACATTTCTACCCATCGTAACATTGTTAAAGCACCTTCCCACACCGTTATCGGCAAATCGCTCTCACTCGAGTCCTCAGATTTCTCCATCGCTGTGTTCTTCCATGCCCAGTGATTTTCTCTGCCCGAGAATCTGCCGATGGACTCGTTTCAGGCTCACTGTATGGTGGAGGCGGGATATCAGCCAGATCATACGCAGGTAGCTCGTCTTCATCTGTTATTTGTTCGACCGTGTCTGCGTCTTGATACCGTCTATCACTGTCTTGCGGTTTCCATCCAAAAATCTTTCCGACAGCCTTTTGTATTCGTCGACGCTTGGAGTTTGGGTTTGAGATTGTCTGCGAATTTCCGAGGCTAGTTGGCAATCGAAACAGACGAGAGTCCAATACACCATATCCGATGGCTTCATACACGGACATCCCACCAAGTGACGTGCATATCCCCGAACGTTGGAGGTAAAAGGAATCCGCTGTGAGCATCGTAGTCAGAGTGTGGTCAAAAAAAAAAGTAATGAGTGCGAGGGGGAACAAATCAGGCCTTGTTAAATACACTGGTCCTGTGGATCTTTGACCAGATATGCTCCGCAAACGGAGGGTATCGGAGCACTGCCCTTTTTGGGTTCTAGAAGTGTTTGCTCAGCCTGTCAGCAGCCGCAAAATTTAATTATTCCACGAATAATCAGCCCAACGCCCCAAAGGAGCCAAAAATTAAACGCCGATCTCAGACGACCATCAACTGCCAATCACAGGGCAAAAGACCTGGACATAGCAGAGATCTGCATTAAACCCGGAAGCACATGGGATATCCACCTAGTGGTCGCTCGTATTTGCCTCCAAGAACAAAAACATTAAACATGCTATTTGCACAGGTTTATTTTTTCTCATGCGTCGCCCTGTTTTTGAAAGTGGATTTTATGGGCGATTCTCACTCTATACCTATACAATTGTGAGACCATGACATGACTACCCTTTCCCGAAAAGAAAAATAAATACAGAAACAAGGGCATCACAACAGCAATGCCATCGCACATCTAATGCTGAACATGGCAACTTTTTGCTGTGACTAGAATGTCCAGCTTATAATGAGTTTCCACTACCGCTATCCGCTATCGCTTTTGCATCATTCCCGACGTTCTCCATCAAGGTGAAGCTCTCCACGCTTTTGAAAAGATCCCCGAGGATGCCTGCCAATTTTGACCCCTGCAACCAACATCGCGACATCAAACGCAACGCTCGGAGGTGCGTCTTCACCCGTTGAGAGGCTGCTTGTACAGCCATGTCATCACCACGCATTGTTTGAGCCGCAACAATGTGTACGAGGGCAGTCTGTGGATGATAGCAACGTTAGCAGCTTTCACAGAAGGATCATGCCCAAAATAAGCCTGCACATACCTGAAAAATGCAGAAACACACAAATGGAGTTATCCAGTGCAGTTCTTGATTGGTCGACATTATCAATTCAAGCAAGGTCGCAACCGCGGTGGCCGACTGCTGTGATGCCAGGAAATGGGGCGATCTCATTGCAACAGTAGGGCCCTGCGTCAGAATTGCCATCATCTTTGGCCGATGCAATAACACCACAGCCGTGTTATAAAACAAGTGCAGGTATGCAACCTCCCATGGTGGTGGGGATAGTGCACCGTCCGCTGTTCGCCGCGTCCAGTTGGCAGCAAACGTTCGTCCTGGATTTCGCATCCACGGTGGTAGTCCGGCCATCCATTCCCGTAAAGCAGACTCAAGTTGCGCCATTCGGATTTCCGCTTCCGCCATTGAGATGACTTGAGTACCAGGTAATGAAGGTGTAGGGCTCTTTAGCATGCCCGTGTATTCCATGACGCGTCCAAAAATCTTGCCAAGGGTGATGTAGTGATCAAATGGACTATCGCTTTGGTACGATTCTTGCGGTCGTTGAGCTGGTGTCGCTCCAGTCGAAGACAACACAGTGAGCTGCCATTTGTTGTGGGATCCTTCCGAGTCACCGCTTGGCTCTTCATCATCCGGGCTCATCGTTTCCCAAACCCAAACTCCCACAGGCGCAAATACTCTCACATCCCTTTCCAAGCACAGCATCGATCTGTCAGCAGCCGCAGCGGCATAGCGATCCATCAAGAAACAACACCACCACAGTCTTCGGCGTCGCTCTTTCTCAAACCATGACATTGGGCCAAAAACATCTTGTACTTCTTGGAAATCTGGATCTAGATCCATTTTCAGAGATTGCGCCATTCGAATAGCCATTCCAGAATACATCCAGGAAGCAGAGGCTATTGATAAACAGCAAGTCAGACTTATTCATAAAGACACGATAACACCGCTCCATACCTCTTCCGCTGCCGGAAGCATAGGTCATCAGCATGATCAATGCTGATACAGTGTCCAACGTTGGAACATCTACCGTTTGACTGATGAGCAGCCGTGCCTTTGCGTAGAAAACATCACCCTATGAAAATAATTCTTTAGCTGTATGCCTCAGAGACCACATGATGACGCCAATTCACTTACAGCTTGATACATCATTTCCGGATTCTTCCGAATTGATGGATGTTTCGAAAAACGTGCGGCCACGCAATACATCGCATTCAGAAGAAGGGGGCTCTGGGCCGCAATCGTACGGCGGAATTCCTTTTCATGTACTTGATGTCCAAGGATCGGATTTGCATAAGTGAAATATAGATCTAGGAGCTCATCTAAAGCCTCTTGAGGTATCTTTTCTTCCGTCGGCCAGCTTTTGAATTGCGGCGGTTCTGACGATGGAGCATATGGTATCTCACCGAATGGCACTTGCAATTGACGTGGAATGCTCCTTCGTTGCCGCACATTACCGAGACCCGGTCCCGCTCCATCCGGAAGGACGGACCCATTCCCAAGCAAACTAGTGAAGAAATCACCATTTTCATGTTCTAGGGATTTCTCTGGAGTAAATGAGCCACCACCCATCAGCTCATCAAAATCGCGATCAATGATATTCCAAATGTCCTCGTCTTCAGAGTTTTGTGAAGCGGAAATCGAGGGAGAAATATTGGGCGACGGTTTGAGGGACAAAGTCGGTGACAAGCCAGTGGAAACTTGCATGGCAGGCATGACATTGGGATTTGAGTTGTACGCAAAGCCGTTCATGTATGGATTCACAGGACCGGTATCGATTGCGCCCATTGAAACTTGGTGAGGCACCGAGCTTTGTTGCAATTGAGTTCCTGCTATAAGTTGCTGTCCGTTCACTTGCATGGCGGGATTTATAGAGGCTCCATAAGACGAGTAAGGAGAGTAGGGTGATGACGAGTTTGCCATATTGGCAGTAGGATAGCCGATTGATGAAGTGACCATGTGTTGTGCCGGCGGAAACATGGTTTGCGCGGTCATGGGCATGGGAATTGACATCGTTTGTTGAGGGAGAGATTGATCAGGAGTGGGAGGTACGGATGCAGAGGAGGGGGAATCGGAGAGCGTGCCTAGCACTGCAGCAGCTAAATGGGAAAAAATTAGGATTTGATTAGCATATATAAATTAAAGTAACCTTTCAGAGCTGACATAGGCAGGTCAAGAGTCAAATTGCCTTGCTTATATCTCAGCAGAACCATTCCATAACAGTTCCGAGTTGGTTGTAATGAAATCGGAGAGAATTGGCACCTACCATCTGGAAGCTTGTCGGCAAGAGGTCGAATGAGCGCCTCCATTTGCTTCAGCCTTGATTCTAATTCTTTAAGGTGTCCTTGTTTAGGACCCCGCTTCTTAGCTTCTCTTGCGTATGAACAGGTGAGAGCGCCGTTTAGACACTGTGTGCAAGCTGGTTGTTTTCCATCGCATTTCACTTTGCGCTTATTGCAAATGTCGCAAGCTTTTGTTGTCCGTTTCCGTTTGTTGTGGCTTGAGCCCTTGGATGAGTCGTCCGTGTGAGGGGGTGACCCGCTTCCAGGCGAATCACCTTCCATGGGAGAATAAGGTAATCCGTCGCTCATTAAGAGTACGCTTCTTTTGGTCGAGTGAGGAAGTGGTGCAAAGTCTGTCATGAACTCAGTATGGGCAGTTGCCGACGAAAAAACAGGACCGTTTATAAGGTTGATAGAGCCACTACGTCGACGAGAAAACAAAATCGCTCGTATCGTTGGTAGCAACCCAGCTGACGGAGCCGTTTGTAAAGGTGTCCTATATGTGATTTGTGATGCTCCTGACAACGTCGACCATACCTATAGGGATATGGAGATATCTAGGAGCACGCGGGAGGCAGTCAATGCCCGGGACCTTGTAAATTTGAATGATTTCCGTGTGTGTTGTTCTCAAACGGAGGATAGCTTCTTTGTTGGGTCCGATGGCCCTTGGAATGCTCAGTTATGTACGCCACCGCCTATGCATGACTGTGCCACCCATGTTCTAGTGCATTGTTTGATGACTCACAATCCAAACTATTCAGAACAAAAAAAAATAGAGGCGAAAAAGTTGGCGTTGGATTGCGGCGATGTCGGTCGGACTTTGAAAATCCAAGTGAGATTCAACCGGCAGAACGGACAAGTTGTCTGCCATGTGTTCTATTCTGAAAAAATTGGGTTTGGTGCTTGTTTTTCAGCATGTTCTACGGGTTTACTTTTGCCCCTTTAGCCGACGCTTTTTCAACGCATGCTTGACACCAATCAAGGTGGACAACGGAGAAGCAACACTTTCTACAAGGACAAATCCATCTCAAGTTTGATAGCGATAAGTGAAGGAGGTGTAAAACTATTTTTCTGCTACCATCCGGAATAGAATGGACGCCTTCTCCCAGCGTGTTCCAGCGCGGTCTTGTGGGCAATAATAGCCCACGATCGTACTTGCAAACTCCTTTGAGGGTCCCATTCAGCGGAGGGTCTATCACGTGACGGATAACCAGTGGCACAGCGCGTTATGATTGGCTGTAGCTTTTGCCAGCGCGACTCTATACTGCGATTGCTGCCAATCCAGTTGGAATTCTTCCTTTTGCAAACTGAAGCTTGTCCAGCCCACCTGCGAAAAGCCAGGAACTTCAGTACAAGATGGTACGCATGCATAAACTACACAGAGACGAGGCTATGGTGATTTGGGTTCTGTTGAGAATGAAGGGCGATGGATGCATGGATGGATGGATGGATGGATGATGGACAGGGGTGGATGGGTGTTCCTTGAAGACCACGACATGACATTGCGAGCATGTGGACAACCTCCGTGCCGACGGTCCATGTCGCGTGCGACCAACTCTTTTCGATCTCTTGCGAAAGGAAACGTTGTTCGAGATTGGAGAGGCAGCATCGTGGTGGAATAGAAGGCGAGATCAAATGAGCTGGGGAAAGCACATTTAGGGTGTGAAGGGCATCCCAAGTTTAGGGGGACGTGCGTAGGCGGGTAGAGCATGGATGGGCAAAGGCTTTCGTGCAAAGCTATCAGAGAGGAGGTACCCGCTACGCTACCAGTTTCTCATTTGCCACATTATGTACTTTGCCAGGCCGACAGCGTGACGATCCGCACCCGCAAGTTCTTGACCAACCCGCTTCTGCAACGTAAGCAGATGGTCGTGGATGTCCTTCATCCTGGCCGCGCCAATGTTAGCAAGAAGGAACTCCGGGAGAAGCTTGCCAAGCTCTACAAGACCGATGAGGAGGTTGGTTCGACTGATGGTTAAATTATGGGCGACTATTGAGAATTTCTGACATGTGCGATGTTGCAAATGTTTGCAGAGCATCTTCGTATTTGGATTCCGTACCCAGTTTGGAGGTGGCAAGTCAACGGGATTTGCATTGATCTACAACTCTCTTGACTCTGCCAAGAAGTTCGAACCCAAGTACAGGCTTGTGCGGGTATGTGATTGTGACGCACACGGTGGTGGATGATCCCATCGATCAGACCGTGTTACGAGGAATGTTGGCATGTTGCATGAGTAGTTTGTTGATCAGCCGACTTCCTTTACATAGCACGGTTTGGCGGAAAGCCAGAAGACGGCTCGTAAACAGCGCAAGGAGCGCAAGAACCGTTCCAAGAAGTTCCGTGGTACCAAGAAGGCGAAGGCTGCCAAGGCTGCCAAATAAGGTATTGTTTCGCTTGATCATGATTGGAGACTTGAGAGCTCGGTCTCATTGCTCAATTCACAGGATCTTGACCATTTGTGCGATACGGTGGGAATTGGCAGGGGTCCTAACCGTCGCGGTAGTCCTGTTGGTAGATTTGAATGGGGGGTACTAGAACCATCCTTCGAACAAGTCGGTGTCTCGCTGTTCTTTTGCGTGATCACACTTGTTTCTGTACACAGCTTCGCCCTTGGCGATAATACAATAATCAAAAACATTGACTTGCATGCAGCAACCGCGCACCACGTCCCAATCGATAGTATTTCCTTCCCAACAGATCACGATGGACTAAGAATTAAGAGGCATGCAATGGTTTGGGCTTGCATGTTACCTCGTCGGTGATGACGTCTTTGCCAGACGCCAGCATTGCATCTGATCTCGCAGATGTTCGCGGTTGCTTTGTAATTCTAGTACCAAGAACAACAAGGAATGCAGAAATTGCGCTCTCTGGCAGCTGAAGCAGCAATAGCTGCATTCAATTACCCTCTCGCGTCAGAGAGCAATCGTCGAACAGCCCCCTCGCCAAATATAAGACTCAGCTAAATCTAGAGTACTCATGTTCAAGGACGAGGTTATTTGGCAGGTACAAAATTTGGTGTGGATGGGTATATTTGCCACGATGAGATACAGTAACTATTTCTCTGATGCGACATATTGAAAGACCACGTTACACAATCTATTTGAATGTTAGAGATCTTCATACCATGGACATACTGAGGCTCCCCTGCCCAGCTACCATCAATTCACATGGATGTGCAAAAGCACTATGGTTTACCATCATCATATGCTTTATTTCAAACGTGGCATTATCTTTTATTTTACAGCCTTAATAGATGATTACCAGAGAGCCCTGTCATTGAGATGAGTTCCCCATTGATCTTATAGTTTTTTACAGTGTGCCCATTTGCATTTGATTCATCTTTGATGTGTGGGGTAAACTTTCAGATGTGCGCAGTTCACTACGCGAGTTCGCAACTCGTTTATCCTTTTTGGGCGACCTCAGAGTGACGTTCGACTCACACGCTTAGCCTTTGGGGTCCCCCGTTCAGGCCTTCGTTGACCATCCATCCGGCCATCCGCACGAGTATCCATCCATCCATCCATCCACCATCCCTTGACATACTCTCGCTTGAAAGAGTAAGTACCTTTTGAATGAGAAGATGCATCGTCAACAGAGGACTGCGCGCTTTTTTTAAAAGGCCGCAGAGTTATGTGCGATCATTGAGATCTCCATGTCGGATTCCCGCCCTTGACCCATCTGTGTTCATTTCTCACCTTAATTGCCTTGCTACACGTACAAATAGATTTAACAAAGATGGCTGCACCCGCCGCGAACATGCCCACTTTCAAGCTTGTGCTTGGTATGTACCAGTGGAGCGATGATTCTGAATTCGTTGATGAGTTCTTACTGACGTTGAGTTACGTGTCGTTTGAACTTTTAGTTGGTGACGGAGGTACAGGGAAGACCACATTTGTGAAGCGTCACTTGACTGGAGAGTTTGAGAAGAAATACGTGGGTAAGTTGACTTTGTCGCAGTATCTAGGAGCTAGCGAAGTGGAGATGGAGGGGAACAATATCTTGTGACGAACATCTTGACGTCTTTGATGGCGTAATGCACGGAAAGATGATAATGGGGAAGACATGGATGTGGCGAAAACTTGTCCACGCGAGGGGATCGACGTGGTCCGCGCATTCTGATGTCAACCGACACGACCTTATATCCTTTCTCATAGCTACCCTCGGTGTGGAGGTCCACCCCTTGACATTCCACACAAACTTTGGTCAAATCTGCTTCAACACTTGGGACACGTAAGAACGAGTGCATTCTGCTCTCACGAGATTATTGATTCTTGAACTCACCCCTTTCACTAATTTAGGGCTGTGAGTAATGCAGTAGAAAGAAAAGGAAGACGGTGCACTCATCATTGCGTTCTTGAATCAGGGCCAGGAAAAGTTCGGTGGTCTGCGTGACGGTTACTAGTACGTTGAGTTCAGCTTTAAATCTTGGTGGGATGACTCTCTTATTAAATTCTCGTCTATGTGCAGTATCCAAGGACAATGTGCCATCATTATGTTCGATGTGACTTCCCGCATCACGTACAAAAATGTGCCAAACTGGCACCGGGACCTTGTCCGCGTTTGCGAAAATATCCCGATCGTGCTCTGCGGAAACAAAGTGGACATCAAGGTAACTTGTTTTTTGGCATGCAGTTTTCGATATTACTGTCGCTAAAGCGTCCTTCGCTACAGGAACGTAAAGTGAAGGCTAAGGCTATCACTTTCCACCGCAAGAAGAATCTTCAATACTACGACATTTCAGCCAAGAGCAACTACAATTTCGAGAAGCCCTTCCTTTGGCTTGCTCGCAAGTTGATTGGGTACGTCCTTTGATCTGCAGGATGCATCTTGACGTTTTCCTCACCTGGATGGTTTCAGCAACCCCAACCTTGAGTTCGTGGCTGCACCAGCATTGGCTCCTCCTGAAGTTGCCATCGATGCTGCTCAGCTTGCGATGTACGAGAATGAGCTCAAGGAGGCGGCAGAACGACCTCTCCCTGCCGAGGAAGGTGATTATATCACAATCTAATCGGGTCCAAGCGTATGGCAGACTATTGACACACTTTTCATTCGAAGATGACGATATGTAATTCCTTTGATCGATTCCCCCTTCGGATCTTATCCCTAAAATTGCTCGCGGGTGTGTTTCTTGCGGGTCGTCTGTCTCCGTACCCTCCGTTTTCTTTTTACCTTGTCAATAGATTGTGCATATCGGAATTTTGAGGAGCAGATGTAGTAATATATGGTTGTGTTAGTTTGCCGATCCTCATAGCGACCAATTCTTGAGATTTGCCAACAATTTGTGGTCTGCAGCTACGTTGCACTAACACAATGAATTGAAATTAAATGCACAAGTATCATTAGGCCTATTCTACATTGAAATATAGTGAGGAATGTTGCTCAAAGGTTCGAGCTTGTCGCCTCAGCAGATCGTAATCTTTCTGCCAAGTCACCAGGTTCTTGGAAGAAGTAGCCTTTCAGAAATAAACCTCGTAAGAAATTAGTCGTCAGGGGCTCAGAGAGACAATGCAAATGGAAGTGAGGCACAGAGTTGAAAGGCGGTTTGGTATATCCCAGCCTACGCATGGGAAGAATTTTGTAAGAACCTTGTGACTATTTTCGCCTATCTCTATGTCCCACCGGTACTGCTCATTGGGCGCCAGTTTATCCTTCATTAAGTTTTCGCCGACCTTCTTCATGTGGCTAACTGGGAGCAAGTATTGATTGTCAAGTATCAGTATGGACTAGGTGTTAACCAAGGCTACTGTACTCAAATCCGCATCGGAGCCTTCAAGTGCATTGCAATTTTTCACATGGCGTTTTGGGATTACGAGGTAATGAACCTGTAGAGGGGCAGTTCTTTTCCAATCAGATATCCTTCTAGAGATGCATTGCAACGGTTACAGGCTTACACGGGCAGCAGGATAGAGATCTGCAAACGCCACCGTAAGGTCATCCTAGGTTGCACGGAGATATGCTGTGGTAGAAAGGATCTGCCCAATATATCCTCATTGTTGCTTTTCAAGTACCTCATGGACGATGTCCGTGTTGGCCTCCTTTGCTACGATCTGGCATTGCAGTCATCGTGTGAGCTGGAGCGTTCATCAAAGCACTTAGAGAACCTAACAGTATTTGCTATCTCTAATTGCATCATTCATTCTCGTATACTCGATAAGGTCGGTTCGTACACTTGCCTTACAGAAAATACAGGACATTCGTGTTCCGCTGACAGACTGATAACCAACGGTCAACCCTGCTGGAAGAGATCTGGTGCGGCATGAGGCAAATCTAACACGTGAGAATGTTGGTGTAAGCAACTCTCCGACTGAGGCTCATCATTTCCGTCCAACGAAGGCAGTTCTTGTAATAATGCTACCCAACCGCCAGCCCATGCGATAATCACCCTACCCATTTATTTGAAGTCCACCATGATTAAAGCATGGACCCTGCCCATTTCAATCATCCGCCAAGTGGCAGCCCTGTCGCCTCGTCACCTAGAGATGGGCACTATACGCACGCCACATCCTCTCCATACGTCAACTATCGAGGCAACTTGACGGACACAGCAAGGTCAACAAGTAGCAGTCACTACAGTGCTTTCTCCTCCCACTCTGCAAAGTCAGCAACAAAAGACGAAAATATCCATGTGGTGGTTCGGTAAGTGGAGAAGTGTGGACACGTGCGAGCTTCTTTATTAACAGTTTTCTGCCAGCTTTCGGCCACCCTCCAGTGCATCAAAGCGCCCGGGAAGTAATGAAATAGTTATATGTGGGGAAGATCGCCAAACTCTCCAGGTACATTTAGGTTGATTCTTGGGCAACTGACCACAACATTGAGTTAAAATGTAACAGATGATCACGGCAAACGGTGAAAGAAGACAGCTCACATTCGACCAAATCTTTGACGCGAATTGCTTGCAAGCGGATGTATTTGAGAATTCTGGGGTGAAAGATTTGGTGATCCGGGCACTTGATGGGTAAGTCGAAGAGCATCCGTTCGAACCTCCGGTTGTCTGCTAACAGAACGATCATCAAGATATGCAACTACTGTCTTTGCGTTTGGACAAACTGGGAGCGGAAAAAGCTTTACTATGACTGGACCACCTGGTGCAGAAATGGATCTGGACCGAAGCGGGATAATACTTCGTGCTCTGCAATTCTTGTTTGCTCAAATCAGTGCACGTCCTGATATTACCTATACTGTCCGAGCCGCCTACCTAGAGATATACAATGAACACGTACGATGATGTTTGTCATGCAAAAAACCAAAAGTTTGAGTTAATTAAAAAACATATTATCATAGGTACATGATCTGCTGAGCCCTTCAACTGCATCGTCTCTCACCGTGAGATACTCTGCTTCACGAGGATTTTATGTCGAGAATCTATTAGTATTAGAGTGTCATGCGCTAGGCGACTGTGTAGCAGTTCTACAAGAAGGTACTTGAATTCGACTATGCCTCAGGTGACATACGAGCTAATTCCAAATGGGCACCGTACAGGTCTGCGTAATCGGACCACACGTGCCCATCAGCTCAATGAGTATTCTTCCAGAAGTCATGCAATGATGACATTGTACATTGACAGTGAGCGGGCAGACCCGGAAGGCGGTTTGCCGTTGCGCCAACATGGGAAAATCAGCTTTGTCGATTTGGCTGGTACGTGCATATATATAAAATCACTGTCATCTCGAACTTATCGTGGAAGTTCTTATAGGTAGCGAGAAAGTCAAAGAATCAAAAACAACCGGCGATATGCTCACTGAGACGTTCAACATTAACAAAAGTCTTCTAACATTAGGTACGCATGTGATGTGCTGTCTGATCAGCTATGTATTTTCTAAGACGTTGGATTTCTTCGTTTGGGTTATAGGAAACTGCATATCCGCGCTTTCCGATCCTCGCAAGCGAAACGGCCACATCCCGTATCGAGATTCGAACTTAACACGACTCCTTGCGGACTCTTTGGGCGGCAGCGGCTTGGCGTTGATGATAGCATGCATTTCTTCGTCGCCTCACCATTCAAATGAAACGCTAAAAACGCTACGTTATGCACAAAGAGCAAAACGCATTCAAAATCGGCCAGCCATGCACATAGAGCCTCGCGATGAAGTTGTAAATAGCTTAAAAAGGGAGATTGATCAGCTTCGAAGGGAAAATCAGCATCTGAAAGCTATGTTGTCACAAGGCGAGATCGCACGACCGCATGAAGGAGAGTTTGGAGTGCAGTCTGGAGTGCATCTGCCGCAGATAGCGCAGGTTGTCTCCTATACAAACCATGCAGCACCAGAAAGATCATCAGTGAAACACCCGGTCAGCGGCCAAACGAATCAAACAGGAAGGGGACTGCATGCATCAATCCCTGCTTCAAAGGTTCGCGGCGGAAAGGGATCGAAGGTTGCTAGATCCGAGTCCAAGCTCCAGCGCTCACCCGCAGAACGGAAGCCTATGAACGCATCTCCATCCAGATACTCAATGCATCCGCCACAAGCTGCATCGCGCACAATGCCTAGTGGTGGTGCCATGCTCTCGCCAAAGTATGTTCCTTCTTTGGATCTCTACATCATACAAAATGCTCACCTGCTTCGTTTTCAGCAATCAACCAAGTATGGTTCCAGAAATGTGGTATCCTCAATGGTGAGATTTTAACGTGGTCAACCCCATTAGCTATTACCGTCTGTAACAAAAGTTTTTACAGGCACGAGCAACCAATGTCCCCAATGATGCCATATCCCCCCGTCTATCAATATCCCATCAATTCACCAAGTGATGCTGCACAAATACGGCAGCGAATCAGCCAGGATGTTCATGCACTCAATAACCAAATTGCTCTCATGGAGGGTAGACGTCGTTAACTCTCCGTAGGACAAGGAAGGATGAGAACGCGAAAGGCAGATGTACTTCTGTGTAGGCTCAACGACGTGTACAATTCGGTCTAATCCTAACTAACTGCCAAAAATACACAAGTTGCTCATCTATCTAAACTATACCACCGTAGTATCATCCCGAGATACTGATAGCTTAGGCCTTATCCAAACCTATATGAACAACATCTTGTACCATATCACCAACCCACAGCGACCCGATCAACGCAGGGTTGCTTCCAAGTGGGACAATCTTTTGTGCACTAGTTACCTGCTTATGAGGTTGGCCCTTTTTGTCAGTCCATGTCGTGATCCGCATAGCCTCGAGGTAGATTGCACAATTACGGACACCATCGCCCCGGGCGGCCGCCACTGGTAGTATTAGAGGATCATTTGGATCACCGTTGGGCCGGGCTACTTGCGGGTCATGAATGAGTAGCACGCACAAGTCGTGCTTTGTGAAACCTGGTAATTTGGCTTGGAGCTTCCATCCTTTTGCCGTCTCGATGAGTTTGACTTCTTCTACTGCCTGTTTTTCTGTAAATAAAATTGCTGATTTCTTTTCCGTTGGTTGTTGAATAGTGTCTTCTCCATTCGGCGTGGACGTCGGGTGAGATTGCCGTATGCTTGTTCTGCGCTTCGAATTTACTGCGGCAGGAGCTGTAAGAGTACGAGTTGGTTCGTATGGCAGTAAAAGAGCAGGTCCAGCATTGGAATAGCGCCTGTATGTCGGAGCGTATGGATTCTCCGCCGCAGGAGAATATGCAAGAAAATAGGGATTTCCTGTCATCATAGGTGCAGCCAGGGAAAAGCGACGTTGCCCGGGGATATATGCGCTCTGACCCATACTTGTCGGCTCAACGGCACCAGGTCGGTTATCATGGGAAGGGCGAGGGTCCGCAAGAGCCGCTAGGCGCCCCGGCGCTGAAAGCCTTCGAGCAAGTACTGCGGGAGGGGGCAAGTCCGGTCGCTGCGCATGTGGGCCATGCTCTCTGATTCGCCCCAGATTGTAGGGGGCTACATTTCTGTTACTATAGTGCAATTGAGGATGAATTCCTTGATGCAAAACTGTAGGCAATGGGATCCAGTAGTAGGAGCCTTCAGCAGGAGGACCCACGACAGGGACTGAGGGAATAGGTATCTGATTAACAAAAGGTTTGCTTGCTTGGGAAAGGCGTCGTCCTTTGGCCGCTGCAAGCTGCTCAGACTTTGCGGCCAGCTCCTCAAAGTTGGGATTTGTTCCGCTCATGGATGGTATCAATTTTGAAATCCGATAGAAAGAGCAAACCAAGTATCAGGCCCTAACCGCGGCACGTACTCTACCCTTCTTGGCAACCTTTTTATTGACCAGAAACCATTGTCTGCCCTCTTGCGCCTTCACCCATATCCCCTCGATTTATGAGTTGCGTCAGACAACCTATCTCCGCTGCTGACTAATCACCCTTGCTACAGTACCTAAATCTATCTATAGCTTGATGCAATAATTCCTATTTCCATCCAGTCACCCATCCAATGGTCCACTTCCAGAGTATGGTGATCCAGGACCTTGAGAGTTCCAGCTCATTCTTGGGAGGGCCTATACTGATGATATGGGTCACCTTTCGATCAGCGGCTGCATCAGTAGGTTGACCAAAGAACATTGACCACAAAAATCGCCCGGCGCTTCTGGATGTTGATTGTGATCTGTAGGTAGCATCATAACACCAATACAGCGTTTGGCGCTCCCGGACATACTTCCATTCGCCATCAGACACTTCAACCGAAAGATGATTCATGTCCCCATAATGGTAGGATGGAATAAAAATTTCGGTAACGTAGGCAAGTGAATCCCACTGCCCGGCAACTTCATCCACGGCGCCGCCACTTTTGGTCAGTTCGGCTTTATCTTGGCGAGCCAGTACTGTAGCCGGATTGTACCCGTCGGTAGTGAACACCAATTTGAATTCCAAAGTCTTCAAATTGAAGCGCATCGTAATTGGCTCTCCCGCAATTTTCGCTGCATAAGGCCGAATGACTGCGTCCAAAGCTCTTCCCCCTACATGATGATGATGGTTGTGATCACCTTCGCTGAAATACACGTCCGTAATATCAAAAGGAGTGATCGGAGTACTTGGCGTTGGGGGTGGATCTGCTTTTTCGGAACCATCTACTGAGACTGCATCGCCGTTCACGTCCAATAAATCTTCGGAAGAATTCAAAGCCAAGCGCGAGCTTGGGCGTGATCCTGCTCTTGACCCAGAACGTGAGGGTTTTGGTGAATATATCGAGAAGTCTTCCCCATTCCAGTGATCGCCCCATATATTATCATTGTGCGGATTATAATTCCACAAGGTGAAGTTCACGAGACTAGCCTTATTGATCAGCAGTAGTGAGAATTTATTGAAACCAAACACTGCGCGCACTTGCTGACAAAGTCTTACCTCCATAGCATTTATCATCGCGTCCAGGAAGTTTGTATGATGAGTATAATCACCTGTTTCAAAAGCCTTCGGAAACGACAACATTCTCATTAGGAGATAGAAGTGGAGGTAAGACATGAGATATTTTCACACCTTCTTTTCGTTCATATCCATAGGAATCCCACATTCGCCGAACAACACTGGTTTATCTCCTACTAGTTTACGTCCAGTTCGCACAATGTTACGGATCTGGCCTTTATAGTTTTTGTTTGCTCCTGTCACGCCAAAATATGTCGCATTCAAGACATTTTTTGTTCCCTAGACAAGAGAGCAGAGCATATACTTAGCATACAAGTAGTTCACGATTAGGAACTTTGGAGAGAATATAGCATACCCGACTGAGCCCTTGCACATCGTGCGTGATCAAACCGTTGAACGACTACGGAAACATTGCTGTCTTTTAGAGAAACTCAAAAACAAGCCATGAATAGCTTTGCTTACCTTATTGAATAGTGCCTTTAGGTCATACCAATGTGGTGAATAAACCAATTGAGGACTATCATCTTCCGGGCTCAGTTCAGGTGGATCTTCATTCGGAATAGGCTCAAAATATACGAGCAAATCCGGGTTGACGCTCAGGATCTCCGTTGTGTAGCGTTTTATTAGAGGAAGATAGCAATCACGACCAAAATCGACCGGTGTCCCGTCCCGCCGTTTTGTGAAGTAATCGGGTACCAACGCACGAGGTTGTCCATCCACAATGTCCCACACCCCATGCTGCCTCCTATCAATTTAGAGATATAAATACAGGCAAGTCGTGACCACGAATGTAGACCGTACCAGATGCATTCTCTTCCAGGCAACCACACAGACGTTTTTCCTGGATTAATGACCCGCTTATGATTTTTCCGTGTCGGCCAAGGCCAGCTTTTTACCCACACATCGACTTCCTGTAAGTGAGAAGTGAGAGTGTCACCCTTAATTTCCTCAGAAGGTAGAAATCCGTATGAGCCGCGTATGACCTTCGCACACTAACCTGCGGAATGCCCGATCCCAACGCCATAGATTGCAACGCCGAAGGAGCATCTCCAAAATGCAAGTCCTTCAGTGGGTCAAATTGATGGAGAGATTTCAAGCCAATATATCCAAAGTGTGGCTCATTGATGACCTCAAATCCTGTTACTATGCTCAGGTGCTGTAACCGTCTTTAGGTCATATTGATTCATTATAAATTTCCAGTCTTTTTAGGCCAAGAATACGAATCAACAACTTACTGGGCCAAATGTCGGTAACATGCGCAGAAATGTCTCTGCAGGAACTCTTGCATATGTTCACCTTGGTACGTTGCGTTCGGGGCGAAAATGGCACCACCGAAAAAGAGTGTAAACATGGTTGCCGAAGCCAGTTTTTGGTAATTGGTCGGCCAGGCGGTATGCCCGCTATCAGTAGGTCGAGCAGACTGATGGACATACGCGGCCCCGGTTTCCATGAACTTGGTCAAATCTAGTCCAGCAACTTCAAATGTCCACCCCGGAGCTCCAGAACCACCGGAAAATCTGCTCCACTAAATGAACAAGGTTAAGACCTTCAGACTATGATGGCTAATGTGTGAGTTACTATACCGTATCCTGATGCGGATCTGATCAAAAACTGTAAGCAAACATCAACCTAACATGGCCAGCCCAATGGTATCCATACACTACCTATAAAGCACTTGAGACCGTACCGGGATGCCCTCTCTAAAACTTTGATCAAGTAATCGATGTATTCTTCGTCGTATATTCCAGGTCCCTCGTGTTCTACCCATATTAATGTTAAGTAATTGAATATCATCCAGTTCTTGGATTAAGCTGCTTGCGTACCTAAGGCTTCCCATGGCACCAAAAGCCTCACAAAAGTCAGACCCCAAGCTCGCAACCGACCAAAGTGTTCGTCCGCTTCTTCGAGAGGAAATGGTCTTCCCACAAAGGAAACATGTTTGTGCTCAAAGAATCCCTCTTTTAAGTGAGTTGAACCAGGAGGATTGGTGGGCAGCTTCGAATTTCCCGAGACATTGACGCCACGAAGATGCAAGGTCCGACCATATTCATCCCGAAATTGACCCCTATTCGAGCGGATACACCCAGTCCACTCATGTGCGCTTTCCCGTGGTAAAGTTCCCCCATTTCTCTCGGGGGTATCTGTAGGCTCATTTTTAGAGGCATGAGCCGACAGGTTGTTAGTTGGAATGTCCATGGTGATGAGGTACAGCTGCCGTTGAGGGTGGACAGAACGGCGGACGCGTCTCCCCCTTCCTTTTTCTCAGTGTCCCAACCTTCTCCCGTCAACGGATTTCTATTCTTTTGACCCATATTGTGACATGTGTTTGCGGGTTTTCTAAACTGGCTGCCTGCTTGCCCTGCCGACGACGCGTCGGGGTTAATCGCACAGCTTTAGGAGAAGCTGGAGAGCATCGAGCAGGTCCTTGCCCTTTGCTGTATCGTCCAAATGGTGCAGATTCCAAATTTGTATCGTCATGTATTAGCTGTACAAGCCCACAGGACAGCAGCTGTAGTATATTCCCCTAAGCACCATCTTGAACGGGAAAATATCAAGCACGGTCGGGAATTTCTCCTTCCGAGCTGCTTGTATCGTCAAATTTAACCAAGCTTCCCACGACTGCTATGATAGTTCAGCTATACAATGAGGCCATCTAGTTACAAGCCGACTTGATAACTGTCATCCTAGACATCTTGACGAAAATACAGTGTCCAATGTAAGCTAACAATAGGTATAATGTTCCCATCTTTTATGATTCCAAGACCTAATTACTAGCCAAGTCTTCCAAAGAGTGGTAGTTGCAATTCCTTTAACTTTAGTAGAGATGGCCGTCAAGTATTGTTGATGGCAATGTTGCAGACGATGCGACTCGACCCAGAGTAATGCCTTGACGAGAGCTCTTCGCAGATCAATGTGGCTCCATCTGGCTACAATGAGTACTTCTACATTCCAATCGTGTACCTAAGCGACCTAAGCCTCATCTGAAGTATTTTTCGTTTACAAGCAGCTCACCTTTCACATATCCAATATCGAAAAAGTAAGAACATGCAAAAGAGAAAGAACAGACAGGACACGTCAAGCAAAGAGACTCGCAAGAGTAAGCCGTTGAAGCAAACTACGGTCGTAATTCCTAGTGAACCCCGAGATGATTCCGAGAGGTCAAGTGAAGGGTCTGACCAAGAAGAATGGTGGGAAGACGCTGAGGGACGATCCCAAAATGGTGACGATATGATAGATGACGAAGAAGAAAACGACGGTATACCAGACTCTCCCGCGTCAAAACGACCGAAGCTTGATCCGGAAGGTCAGTATGAAGCAGTGTATATTGGCTCGCTCGCACCGGCTGAAGAATTGGCTTGCAGCGGAAGAAAAGCAGCGAAAGAATAGAGCAGAGCAGAAAAGTCTTCTCCTCGAACGAAAAGCACAGAAACCCAATGCAACCCTGATACAGCAGGCAAAGAGAATATGGGAGAAGCTCAGGCAAAAGAAGCTTGATGAGGGCGAACGTGAGAAACAAATGGAGGAATTGATGGCACTCATCAAAGGCAAAGTACCTGATGTATGTCATCCCGTTATTGACGCTTCTTCAGCTTCTTCAGCAGCACATTGATGTCGTAATTAACGTCTAGATCATCTTCAAACACGATGCAAGTCGCATTGTTCAGTGCGCACTGAAATACGGAAATCGGGCCCAACGCGATGCAATTGCAGCTGAACTTAAAGGACATTATGCTGCAGTTTCACAGAGCTCCTACGGTCGGTTTATTATCTCAAAGATCCTAAACTACTGTAGCGCAGAATATCGCAGTCATGTCATCAAAGACTTCCATGGAAAGATCCGAAAACTCATTCGTCACCGTGAAGCGGCCGTTGTTCTTGAGGAGGCTTACTCACAGTTTGCGAATAGTCAACAGCGGAGTTCGCTTCTTGAAGAGTTCTATGGACCGGAATTTGCACTTTTCAAGGTATGTGTTTCGAAGTGTAGTTGAGGTCCGCTAAAATGATAGCATAACTCATATGTGCGACCTCGCATAGAATGGCGGCGGACGAAACATTGAGACTCTGATTGCAGAAAATCCTCATAAAAGAGCTGGGATCGTCAAGCACCTGCGAGAGGTGCTCAACTCTGTTCTGGAAAAGGGCTTCACCAACATCAGCCATCTGTCTATCGTGCACCGTGCAATCTTAGAATACCTTACATATGCAGAAGAAAAGAATATTGCGGATATGGTGGAGCTTTTGAAAGACCACCTCGTCTCCATATTGCACACAAGAGAAGGAGCGAGAGTTGCTCAGCGCTGCATTCTCTATGCCGGTCCTAAAGACCGGAAACATATCGTCAAGACATTCAAGGGGTATATTGGAAAGGTTGCACGAGAACAATACGGACATACGGTTTTGTTCACAATCTTCGACGCGGTGGACGATACGGTCTTGATCGAAAAGGCCATTATTGGGGAGCTGGTTACCGATGGACTAGGCCCCGGTGAAGCGTTTGGGGATTTGTTGCGAGACCGGGTTGGTAGCAAAGTTGCGCTTTATCTATTATGCGGGAGGAACAGAAAGCTCCAGCCGGCATTTGTGATCGATGAGCTCGAAGCTCTGGATCCGATACGTGCGCGAACGAGTAAGAAAGATGATAAAGTTCGTAGAGAACAGTTGTTGAAAGCCTTTAGCCCCCCATTGATCCAAACCGTGGAGCAACGGTGTGCTGAGCTGATAAGGGATGGAGACGGTAGCATCGTGCTGATGGAGACAGTGATTCGCGCCGAAGGTAAGCCAAGTGAGCTTCACTGTTAGATTTTTCAGTGCAGATCCTAATTCTTTTTGCTGACAATAGGAGATAAACAGTCCTTGATCGAAGCCATTGCCTCATTGGCCGAAGGTCGTGATGGTGCTAGTGGACTCGTTGACACAGAGTCCGGACCCGTCAATGTAATAAAGAAAATGAAAGCCGATGCAGTGTTGGCGAAGCAGCAAGAAGAGGGCATTGATCTATCGCAGCATGTCTTGATCCATCGAAAAGCGACTTCCGTCCTGAAGAATCTTGTAGCACCTCGGAAAAAGGTCCCAAATGGTGAAGATGAATATAAGGGTTCACTGGTATTCGCAACCGCCCTGGCCAAACGCGTGGCTCCGAACGTTGCCTACTGGCTTCGGCACTGTGCGGAAGATCCCAAACGGACCAGTGGCACTGCATTTGTATTTGTTGCATTGGTTGAGTCAGGTGGCACTGAGGCCCAACGACTAGTTATAGATGCTGTTCATAGTGAAGCTGGACTGATCGAGGAGCTGGAGCAAAAAGTGCAGGCGAACCTTGCAAAAGTATCGTCAAGTCAGGAAGACGAAGATGTTGCCGGGAGAAGAAAACGAAAGACGGGGAAGCCAAGCACGGAGGGACAAGGAGGGTCAAAGACAGGGATGGAAATCTTGTTATTGAAATTGCGGGAGATGGAAAGTTAGACTTGAGCTTATCACATTGCTTACCTTATCACTTAAGCTTAATAAATTATCACGTGTCATGGGCGCGGTCCGCCATGTTGGACGACTTTCCGAATTGGATTTTGACCCCGCGCCATGCCTCAAGAAGGTTTCGTGTGCGGAATTCACCATTTGGGTGAAAGGAACACATTTGCTACCGCCAGGCATTGCCCACGCAACGACGACGACGAGGATAACGACAACAACCCGTCAGGCTCCTGAACGTTTTCATTTTTTTACCTGTCACACATCATTGCAATTGACGCTCATAGCATTTATATGAAAACATCCTTTTCGTTTTTCCGCACGTTGCCACATCTGAATCCCCAGCCTTTCAGTTTGACTCTACATTCAACACTGGATAGCGATCGTCTCTAGCCATCTCCCTCGTCTAAATTCAAAGCGCAGTGGCAGTGCAATTGTCCTGCTGGCCTGTAGGAGCACGTTACTTGTTGTGCCTGCCTGCTTGCATGCACTGCCATGTTTCGCTCCCGCAAAGTTGGCCCAGTGGAGCACGGCATCGTGACCTCGACAGAAGTGCTCAATGCCCGCAAGAGGGTTGGGCGTGTTGAAAAATCCCGTAAACATGAAAACCTCCCAGTTGATTGTGCGACCGCTCTTCCTCTGCGCCGTGTCTTGACAAGGGACAGTGCAATATCTATATCTTCGATCTCCTTACCGTCACCGACATACTCTACTCATAATAATACCGATGTTTCCGAACTATCCTCCACTGCAAGACTGAGCAGCCCTCCTTCACCTCTACACTCCCCCGACGCCACTGAAGATGCCAACCAGAGATTGTCGTCACCATCGATACGGTCGGTAGACGCAGGTTCTGATTGCTCGTCACCGGATGTGGACAACATCCTTCCATTACCACCACCTCCTGGACTTTCGAAAGGTGAACCCATAAGCCCTGCTCCGGTTGACGACCAAGGTGTTAACAAAGCACCAATTCCATGGCGTACTACAAACATGCAAAGCGCATGGACCGTTCTCAATGACGATGATTCATGGGGTACCTCGCAGGAGTGGCATCAAACTCCGTCTGAGGATACGTATTCCAATGGCGGTGTTTTTAGCATGCAGCTTGTCAATCCTCTAAATGGGCGATGGGGACGAAGCCCGCGAGTGGGGCCAGGATCATCCTCTCGCCGGGCGAACAGTGGAAGAAATAGTTGTCGTAGAGCATGCCTGCTGTCAACATTGGGGCTCCTGATTGCGGCTGTATCTATTGTTATTATTGTGGTTACCATTCGTGCTCACCAACGAGACAAGTTTGATCCTCAAGCTGGACCTCGCGGAGGTCTCCCAGCACCTCCACCAGGCCCACCATTACCTGTATTAAACGTGCTTGATATGAGGGTCCCCACAAATGCATCAGCAGGAGTGTACTTTGGAGCTAGTATAGACTGGGTAAGCATTAAACGTTCATTTGAGACGCTGCTCTAGTCCTCTTGATTGCTAAGTGAGTTGCCTCTTTGTACTGATGTAGACGAAGGAAGACCCACAGAGCTTTAACAAAGCGTTGGGGCACAATGCCGCTATCGTAGATGGGTACTACATGATAGCGGAAATTCTTGAGAGAGTCAATACCGTCAATTCATCCGGCATCTCGCACACAATTCCGGACTATTTTAACTGGACCGCAGGACTGATTGGAGGGACAGGCGCAATTATGGGGATGACCCTGATGCCCCATAAGGGTCTCGAACAGGTTTCTATAGACGCCATGGCACAGCTCGGACTGAAGTGTGCAGAGATCAATCGTGTGGGCATTCCTATTCTTCTGCGGTTTGCGCCAGAAATGAATGGTAATTTAGGTTGTGTGTGTTCTCTGATACAGATTATGCTAAAATTTATATTATGTAGGCAACTGGTATCCTTGGGGACAAAGTCCGGTCAAATATCGGGAGGCCTTCAAGAATCTTGCGATCATTGTCCGCAACGCAACCAATTTCGAACTGAAAAATGCTATATTATCAAATAGAACCATGGCCCGTACCGCAATGGTCTGGGCGCCGGCTGCTGGTCAAGGATACCCGTACATCTATGGCCAAAATGGGACCTATGCGCCGAGAGGTAATGACACGCGCCTTGCTGAGATGGACACGAATGGAGATGGAGTGGTTGATGAAAAAGTGAGACCAAGAGAGATTTTCTTGAAGCGTGGCATAGAACTATAACAACAATTTCAATTTCATATAGGATGACCCTTTTCTACCTTACTACCCGGGCGATGAATACGTCGATTGGATTGGTATCACGGCTCTATTTAACACATCCTTGGGACGGAATGCAACAGTTGCAAGTGCCTTGGCTTTCACGGGGGATACCACTTTTGTTCCTGCAATAGCCAACTCTACCACTTCCAATAATGCTACTGGGAGACGTGCCGCTCCGAGCGTCAATAACATTAATGCAGCCCTGCCAGTGATTGCACAAAATCTCACAAACAAAATCCCACCGGTTGGACGCGATGTGAATGGAACGTCGTTTGAGTCTATTGTCTCCGGCTACCCGGGTCAATGGAGTGTGTATGAACTAGCGAAGCTGCGTAAGAAGCCGCTTATCGTTGGCGAAACGGGGATTGGATATTTGAGTGGTGCCGGTATTCCCACTGAACCGTCAGAGTTGACAGTCAAAAAGGCATGGTGGAGCCAAGTGTATAATGAGACGCTGTTCAAGGTAGGAAGCGGTAATCGATCACCACACGTTGAACCTTTGGAAGTTTCTTTCTCATCATAATACCTCTTCGCCTGTAGAATTATCCCCTCATTCGTGCGGTTGTGTGGTACGACTACAGTCTTCTCGTTGCGAATTCTTCGATCACGCTTGACTATTCGTTCACCCGAAACGAGACTATTACGAAGGCATTTGTGAATACCACCGATTCGCTTTCTCGAGGAACGCTGGTTTATGCGAATGATACGATGACGGACGGCGCATTGATCAATGGTACTGCCTTGGGCGTCCGCAACAGTACCGGAGCTATTTGGGTCAATATGAATATGACATTACCAAATGGGACGGTGGTTAAGGGAAAAGTTATCAACGGGGCCTGGGTACCGAATGCCGGCGAATCATCGCATCGTAGTCGGCGGGACGGTAGTAGCAACTCACATTCAATACAAGCGATGTTGCCTGCGAAGGCCCGCAGAGGGAAGGGGTTTAATACAGGCGGGCAATCATAAACCGACTATTTGTATATATAAGAGGGCCGACTGTATAGTATTAGTATAGTGTTTTACTTAGTCCTTTCTGTCACTGGCGTAAACAAAGTTCTTACTGAAAGCAACAGCTTCCTGTTATTGCCGGAAGTCTGACTTCATTGAACAGTTGGATATCATCAATCACCCGACGCGTTCTGCTGCGAATTGCGGTGCGATCATGAGTTCGCCGTTTCCTACGGACGTAGCTGGTGACGAATTCCTGCCGCCAGCTAAGAGAGTACGATTGGTGGAAGACGAAGTATGTGCTAGTGGAATTGAGCTCCCCAGGATCTGGTTTCTCAAAAAAGTTATGAACTACGTAGAACATATCACCTCGGGAACTTGAATTGGGTAGCGATGTGTTGCCTCATGTCGAAATCGAAGCAGAGAATGATGCAGGAGAGCAAGAGACGGACATGGTCAAAGCCGAACGGCAGCTAGTCGGCAGTACTCACGGTCATCTAGATGACAAAGTGACATCCGGTGGTGGAGGAGCATTCGAGGAGACAAGAGGTTCAGCACCTCCAGTCATCTTTGCGCTGTCAGAAAAAACAAAGCAGATTATGCAGGATGAAGCTCGGCATTTGGGTGGGTGTTCTTCGAGTGCTGAGATGGCATTACCCTTGCCGCCCACTTATCCTTTGACGATCGTAGGGTTTTGGGACTGGTTGGAGAAATATTCTGCTTTACCTTTGTCATTTTTGTTTGATGTCTTCGATTTCTCATTGGTATGTTGGCCTGTTATATAATTTTGTGCGTTCTCATCCTTTGACCCTTGACGAATTTGCACCCAAGCCAGAACATCTCCGACAAGCGTCCGATGATGATTTACTTCCGTTGTTAAAATCGGTTATGATGAAGAAGGTCCGTTGACTTCAGATACATGCGAGCGAACTCATAATCTGAAATGATGTTAGGTTGCAAAAAGACCAAAGCGACCGGATATCAATACACTGGAACAAGCGATTGAGCTTCTGCGAACGTGCAAGAATATTATGGTTCTGACCGGCGCTGGAGTACGTGTGCATCACGCGAATTTCGGAACTCGCTTAGATACGTTTGTTCAAAGTTTCATCAAACTCTAGGTGTCAGTTTCATGTGGGATACCCGACTTCCGTTCAAAAAATGGAATATATTCGCGACTGGATGAATTCGAGCTGGACGACCCACAGCAAATGTTTGACATCGAGTACTTTCGTATACAACCGCAGACATTCTATTCCTTTGCTAGAGTAGGAATGTGAATCTTGGCGCTGTTAATGTTCGCATTGTGCTGATCATCTAGTAGGAGATATATCCCAGCAATTTCAAGCCATCGCCGTCCCATCTATTTATAAAGTTACTGGAAGAGAAAGGCAAATTGCTCCGCAACTATACTCAGAATATTGACACACTCGAGCAAGTTGCCGGTATCAAACGTGTCGTTCAATGTCATGGTAGTGAACGTACAGAACTGTGCCCATCTTCACGTGCGCGCTCTTAAATCTCTTCTTTGTCCCATGTAAGGCTCCTTCGCTACCGCCAAGTGCATCGTATGTGGTTACAAGGTTCCTGGAGATGCCCTCGAAGAGGATATTTTTCAGAAGGTGTGCTTTCAGCATCGTACCTGGATATAGCCTGATGCTCGCTAAACGTTTCCTGAATGAAGAAAGTCCCAATGTGCCCTGTATGTGGAGAAGAGAGAGACGGTATAATGAAACCAGACATCACCTTTTTTGGGGAGATGCTTCCGGATGAGTTCGACCGGCTATTTGCGGAAGACAAGGAAAAGGTGGACCTGCTTATCGTGATGGGATCCTCATTAAAGGTGTCACCGGTCGCCGATGTCAAAGGTGTGTACAAGTCATGTTACTATTGCAACCCATAGCATCCCTAATCTATTCTTTCAGACAAGATACCACATCACGTTCCGCAAATATTGATTAACATGGAGTCGCTGCCACACATGGAAGGGTTCGACATTCACTTGCTCGGCTACTGTGATACCATCTGTGCACAGCTGTGTCGAATGTTAGGATGGGACCTGAAGCATGAAAAGATTCCAGGGGGATCGTCCCTCTCTATGAACATAACAGGCGATCAGGCGGGTCCTGACGATGACGGGAATGGAGGTGTACAGGAGGATGGGTCTTGTTTCCGGCAGGGGCGACAACCCCACCACTATTTATTCGAAGGGGCTATCGGTCTAGCCGACATGGACCCGGCAGCGTACATACCTTCTGATCGAGAAGATACGTCGGCTACCTCATCAGACGACGATACAACGCCTCCAGAACATTCCGAAGACAGTGATGCAGATGTGGAAGGAGACATCGGTCACAAAATAGATGCAGAATTGAAATTCGAGGGCAGCGAGACGGGACCAAGTAGTTTCCGTAAGGAGATCGAATCTCACAACACAGCGGATAGAGCAGAATCATCATCTTAATCTGTGTACTGGTAATCCTCTGTTGTAATTATTGAGCAAAAGGTCTATTCGCCGCCATCGTAATGGGCCACGCCATTCGATGGCGGGCGTGCCAAAGAGGGGCTGGGATGACACGTTAGAGTATCCCCTCTAAACCCTTGATATAACGATTCCCCTTATGTGCGAGAGGACATTCGATGCCTTTCTAAGATTGTTGTGTTCTGTCCCGCTTTATACACTCGTCACCCGAATATCAACTCGTAGACAATTACTATTATGTTGATGGCCACCAAGGGGACTGCGAATTGTGATTATCACCGTTGATCAGTCACGGGCGTTAGGAATTAAAACTACTATTCACATACATCGTAGAAGAGTTCGAATGGCAGATATCAGATTGATAACTTTATACTTGACTGTGTTGCTTTTGTCTCCGAATTGCGTCTGATGTGAACTTTGCCCTAGACCAACTTGGAGCGAGAAAACCATCATGGTTGAGCCTGTGGTTTCGGTAACGGGCCCTCTGTCTCCCTTCGACGACTAAATTTCAATGAGCTTGGCTGCTACATACTTCGTGCCAGAAACCTCTCCTCGTGTAATATTGCTATAGCGTTGATGAACAGTAGTCCAACGTACAAGAGTGTACCAAGCGAAAGCATGAAAGCCATGATGGTGTCAGCTATACAGCGGTTAGCGCGTTGGAAGTTGGGTTAACGTTTCGTGGTCGATGACTGTGCCAAAAATGTTGCTATGACAGTGTTATGCAACTCTACTGTACTAGCATCCCCATTACGTTTCCTTAAGGCGAGTAAAATATGGCCAAAACCTTGAATGTTCCGACATTTCAAGCTCGAAAGCTACTTGTAGAACATATCAAGGAAAGTGCAGCACGATGAGGACTCTTTTCTGGAAGTTTATTTTTTAAGCCAACTGCTAGCCATATCCTTTGATGTGGTTCGATATCCGGCTGGAATGCTTGCTTCCTTCTCTGTACGTGCTCCAACTTTGCTGATCTGCACTTGCCCGGTCGCTGCAGTATTTGCAGAAGTACGTAAGTTTACAAAGTACAATGTTTTCGGAGAAGCGGTGCTGACGGTATTGCCCTGCAATGTATTCAGTTGTTCAAAATGGAGGTGAACTCCGCGAACGTTGAGGTGGAGAGTGAGGTTCAGCCCGAGACCACAACGACACCGCTCAGTGACTCTGCACATGCAACCACGCCCACTCCTCCAGTTCCAGTGGAGACTTCGCAGCCTACTGTTCCCGTGGACGAGGTTACCGTACCAGTACCAGTAAACCTTGAAACTGCGAGTGATGAGGTCAAAGCAAAGATACTCAAGCAAGTGGAGTACTACTTTGGAGGTGAGGAGTCCGTAGCGCTGCATATATGGTTGTGAAATCATGCTGATGGCTTTCCGTGTAGATGCGAACCTTCCGAGAGACAAGTTCCTGATAAGCACCATCAACGAAAACCCCGAGGGATGGGTCTCTATTGAGACTCTATTGAAGTTTAACAGACTCAGGTCAATTTCTGACGATCCCCTGGTCATCGCTGATGCGCTGAGACAGAGTGCCGAACTTCTTGAAGTATCGGACGACGGAAAATTGGTTCGTCGTCGTACTCAGCTGAAGCCAAGGTTTGCCGTTCATAGAAAGACAATATACGTGGTACGTTAGTGACGATCTTGGTAAATCCTTGGCAATAGTGCTAATTTTCACATAGAAAGGATTTCCACCAGAGCTCAGTAACATCATCGACGAAATCGAAGGCTTCTTTTCCAACTTTGGTAAAGTGCACAATGTTAGAATTCGTCGAGATGAGAATCGCGCTTTCAAGGTTTGTGGCCAAAGGCTGCGTGCTGTGTATGATGCGGGTTCGTTAACCTGCTCTCCATATTAGGGTTCAGTTTTTGTTGAATTTAAGGAAATTCCTGCCGCAGAAAATGTTAGCCAAATGCAATTGGAGTTTCAAGGACATCCTCTAGTCATTATGATGAAGTAGGTTCAGCTGTTTAAGCATCTTCGATAGTTTCTTTCCAAACTCTAATTGTTTTTAGAGATGAATATGTAAACATGAAATTGCGTGAAGGCCCGAAAGATCAGGATGGCAGCCACATGCATGTACAGCGTCCTTATGAAGAGTTCCCACAACTGAATTATTTGGAAAGGCATGACTTCCGTCGTCCAGGTGCCCACTCCAACTATGGCAATCGGCAACAGGGTCCAGCACTTTTGGAGCGACCAGAGGGTGCTCTGGCCTTCTTTGAAGGCGTAGCGCCTATGACGCTACGGGAGGACATTCAGGTACTTGCTTCACCACCAGTAGCTACTTATTGACCTTGTGTTTAACCACATATCTTTTTCAGCATTTCTTTGCTCGTCATGAGCGAGTACGCTGGATTAATTTTAATATCGGCGAGCAGAAGGGATCCGTTATGTTCAGCTACCCAGATGCAGCGGCTCGGGTCGTAGAGAAACTTGGTAATGGCGGTGTGGTACAAGCACCAAATGGGATTGGGGGTGGAACTACCACGGTTAGAGCAGCCACCAAGGACGAGGAGATGAACTACTGGCTGATGTCTGAGAAAGCTAGGACGAGTCTGCGAGGCAAGCGGGGCGGCCATAGAGGCAGAGGGGGCGACCGAGGTTCGAGGGAGAGGGGTGGAAGGAGGAATGATCGTTTTCAAAGGCGCCCAGAGAAGGTGCAGATGTCCACTGAGGTACCCGGTGTCGAGAATGGAGAACCCGAAACATCAGATCTCAAATCAAATGGCGGCGTAAAACGCAGTGCGGAGGATGAGCCAACTACGGATGCTTTCTCGGCACCCCCTCCAACGAAAGCAGTCAAGATGGAATAAGTGGGTACTTTGACGGGTTGTGAACATCAGCGGGCTGAAACAGTTTCTTTTGCATTAGCTGTATATATCATAGTTTTATTGCAATTACACTTTGTACAATAATGCCTGGAGAATGATGCATGAGAGCAGTCTGTCACATCGATGAAACTCAAATGTACATTATTTATTACGCAAAAATAGGACGGCTGTTTATACATGTTTGTCACTGCATCTGGTCCTGCTCAACATTGTCTTTCAATACCATCAATAGAAATTTGCCCGCGGCTGACACCTGTTGGGTGATACTCGCATCCGCAGCAAACTTCCCCAAAAGTTCGTTCGCAATTGCACTGGGAGGCAGAATTTTCACGTTTGCGCCATTCATATATGCGATCCCGCCAGTCTCTTTTGAGGCAAAGTAGTCCACAATCCAGCTAAAATGGCTGGAATCTTCGCCAGGGGCAGCCAGAGCAACTCCGACCGACCACTGACTCGCTTTATCAGCAGTGAGCATAGGTTCCCATTCTTCAATAGTGCTGGAAGCAATGACGAAACGCTGCGTCAACTTTATGAAATCTGGTGGTGCCGGGAGGGAAGAAAAAAGCGCAGGATTGCCACTCAATAGATGAACATCTACTGTGGCTTGCTTTGTTTTCAATGCAATGCGGATCTGATGTGATGCGGGAGGAAATGCGGAGGGAGAATAATGTGGTGGAAGGGATTCCGTCGATGTGATTTCCATTGCCGTGGGTTCAGAACCGTTCAGTACCTGTAGTGCAGCCTGAGAATCGTTGAGAGATTGTATCGGAAGTCCGTTGCCATTTTCTGGCAAATTTGGCTGTGGTGCTGGGAAAGCAGGAGCCTGTGATGTTGAGGGGCTCGGCACGTTGCTGCTGACGGAAGTTTCGTGCGAGGCCACTGGTGTGGGCTGCTGCTCGTAGTCCATATCCGTGGCCATGCCACCAACGGGTTGATGGGCAGTGTGTTCGAGCGCATCTACCGTTGCAGGTTTCTCGTCTACAAAGAGTTGAAGCGTATTCACAAGACTGTTTTAGGCTACTGTGGATTACAATGCAACATACCTTCAGATGGCATCCCAACTGCTGGACCTTCCGAGGGGTTCATGACAGGAATGACGTGTCCCTCCATGATCACCTCACCATCGTCATCGTCCTCACCAGGCTCGTACCAGTTCTCGCCATTAGCTGCCGTAGCTTCCTGTCCGCCCTCCGATGATAGACCCGCTCCTTGAAAGCCCCCAGCATTGGCAGCTTCCACTCGCGAATCGTAGTAATCTACTGCAAGCTCATCCTGAAAGCCACCAACAGTCTCGCCGCGCATCCCTCCCACGGCTCTTTGAGCACTTTCGACAGTGTCATACTGTATGAACGCGGATCGCAGGTCATCCAGCACATGCAATTGATTCTTGATAGTGCCGTATCGGCTGAAAACTCGCGTAAGTTCCTCCCGCGGAATGTGTCCGCGGGTACGGATACGAATTAGGGATGTGTGCGTCTCCGCATATTCTATGTGAACGGGTCGTTTATCAAAACCTGGTACTTCAAGTTCGGTATTGTTCATTTGAGCTCTGGCGCTGACAGCTGCATCTTTGGTTCCAAACCCCAGGAAAGCCTCAGCTCCAACACCGTCATGGATGGTCAGTTCACAGAACAACACCGGTGAAATCTTGCCAAATTCGGTTGTAAGAATGTTTTGGGTGATACTTGGAGGCAAGTTCGTTACATGCAGAACGCCATACGTTATCTTCTCAAAGATGTCCTCTGACGCCGGCTGGTATGTAACAATCGGAACGATTCGATGAACTTCGCTCATGCTAACGAGAATATTGGCAGTGTTGAGATCATTTGATGCTCCACTCATTGCATCTCGGACGGTGGACAACTGGGCAGAGAGAGGCGACCCAAAGAACTCCATGTTGTCCAAATCACGGACAGTATTTTCTGCTTCCCATTGATTCAATGGAGTCACTACCGCATAGCAATTCTCGAGAGAAGCAATATTGAAGAGGGCAATATCTTTCTTCGCTGAGAACTTTGAACCAAGAACTTTGTGAAGATTCTCGGAAATTTCACGACCACTCAGCCTCTGACTGAAATTGCGAATTACAACTGCCGGCGCATCTGGGGACTCAGTCTTTTGTGACGGCTCATGGGAAGCACCATCTCGGGGATTGGTAGAAAATCGGCTTGTCTGTGCTGGTTGCCCAGCATTATCGCGGCGTCGCGCACCTGTGCTCTGGGCGAATTCCACTTTCATTGGGTCGCGCATACCAAACAAATATTTCCCGGTCAAGTCTTCCAGCGCGCTCTTGGCAGATTCAATGCTAAAAAAGTTGACAAATGCCATGGAGTGCTGTGTATACCTTCCGGGAATAATACGTAAGGACTCGATTGGCCCAAATGGCTCACAAACCCTAGCAAGTTCCCCACGGTCCAAGTCAGGAGGAACCATTGGAAGATAAAGTGATGCCGTTTCATGTTGTGGGCGTTTTTCGCGGAACGTCCGTTGCATTGGCTTAGATGTGTCGTCATTTCCCCTTGATGATCCAAATTGACGGTGTGGAACAGATCCGGACTTCTCTACAATGTGAACAGCACTCTTTTGTCCCGGACCGGCATCTGGACCACCGCCAAATCTTGAAATCTGGGAGTCAGCACCAAAACTCAAAAGCTCAACGCCAGCCCTTGGACCCCATAGTTCAGTGGCCTGTGAGCATGAAATCAGAAGGTTAAATTTTATGGCTTCTCATGGCTTGCCCACTGCAGCATCCTTCAGAAGTGGCAGAAATGGACAATAACATACCCTGACAAGGTTCCTGGCTTTTGTTGCGTCAGCCGCTGATTCAAATTCAACGATGGCTTGGTCAGAGTCTGGTTTCTTGCGGACCTCCACCACTTTTCCGAATTTATGGAACTCTTGCATCAAGTCTTCCCTGGAAATGCCATGCCTCAATCCCCGCACATGCAAGTAGCCCTGAGCAGCATTTTGTTCCCGGAAGCCAGCTGATTTAAAAAAAGAACAAATGATTGACGTTGGCATCATGTATAAACGTTGGCTGCCAATCGGCAAATACGGATGTGGATACTGGATTTTGGGCGTACAAACCTTGCTTGTGTTTGAGCTCATGCTCATCTGGCTCAACAACGTTGAGGAATCTGCTATTGATACGACATACTGTGGGTCTGCCGCGAATCACATTTTCTGCTGCCATGCATTTAGTCGCACTTTGCTTTGTGGCATATGCTAGAAAGCAGGACGATCGCCCGCCCTTCTTAGTAGGTAAGATTTTGATTTCGGAAATGGCTCCATGTCGCTCAAACACTTGGCGCAGCTCGGCTTCATTTGCGTCAGGTGGTAAATCGCCAATCCATAAATGACGTGTTTGCAATGAACCTTCTTGCATATCCGACGAAGGGGGACTTCCTGGCCGCCTTGAAGATGGCGAAGACTTCCGGCCGCGCTCCCGGCTGCTCCTTCGGGAACCATACCTGGAATCATAGTATGAGGAATCGGAATCACTATCGCTGCGATAATCTCGCCTGCGGTCTGAGCGCCGTCTGCCTCGATCAGGACTTCTTTCCCTGCTTCGGTCTCTGCGACCTTTTCGGTCCCTACTGTCATCCCGGTAATCTCTCTTACGATCTCTATAATCACCATCGCCTCGGGCACCTCGACCACGTCGATCATCCACACTACCTTCACTGTGTGCAACTGCAGTGCCAGGCATGCCTGGCTGTTGTGCACCGGTCAGGTTGAGCATGGCAGCATTCTGACCCGCTCCTAAAGCCTGGCCCAGAGGAAGCTGCTGATTTTGCACTCCCAAATTTCCCCCCTGAAGAGCATTCGGAAGCAGCGCCACGAGAAGCCGTGCCAATTGCTGCTGCTGTTGGAGTTGTTGAAGTTGTTGGAGCTGCGCTTGTTGGAGTGGCGTCAAATTCTGAACATTTGTAGCGGTTTGAGTTTGGGCAGCAGGCTGCAATCCTGTTGCGGTGGCACCTGATGCCCCAAATGGAGAGCCTTGCACGGCAGCTACTGGTGCTTGCTGTTGACCAAATGCGGGGTGCCCTTGCTGACCGAAAGTCGCGGTCTGCTGTGTGGCAGGAGACTGAGGCCTCTGCATTTGCTGTTGCTGTTGCTGAAGCTGTTGAAGCATCGCTTGCAGAGCATTGGCTTGGGATGGAGCTCCAGCAGGAGCTGATGTCGGCATGACATTTGGTAATGGATTGACAGCGCCAGCTAGAGCATTACCGAGAGGACCCAATGGATTCATTCGCTGGTTTCCGGGTTGACCAAGGCCGATTTGATTGCTTAAGAATGGAAGGGCGTTTTGGAGTTGCTGTTGGATTGGCTGCTGGCTCTGATGACCAGGTTGTTGTTGGCCTTGTTGGCCTGGCAGATTTCTCTGCCACGATTGATTCGACATATCTATAATGGGTAACTTTGCCGGGAACAACTGGCAGTCACTTGGGGAGAAAACCTTTCGATCGAATATGGGTCTTTTGACAAAACGTCTTTTGATAAAACGATGCTATTAAAAAGAGAACGCTCTTTTAAGTGGTTTCCTGAAATATGAAAAAGGTACACTTGGTAAGCACATGAGCCAGCGCGCTTGCTTTGTGTGGCAACGGGGACGTGCACGACGTGCACACTTGCGTTCAAGTTGGGTACTTGCTCGGTCACTTGCCGACTGCTCAACGAACCTTCAAGCTAATGAATTGTGGGGCATATGAGAATGGACACGCACGCCAGTTCTCTTCTGATGAAGGCAAGTGGATGGATAAGCGGAGACGTGGGACACTTGTGGACGTGCTCTTTCTACTGTCGTTCACCAATAATGCGTCTCACTCTGCACAACACCAATGTCCACACCAATGTATGATTTCCTTGAAAAAAGATTGGAAATTGGGGAATGGGCGGTGGGGGGGAAATCGATAACGCAGGGTTCCCGGGAGCAGTTGAAACTTTTAAAGGAAAACATCACGTGCGGGGCGTGTCGGTCTTTCGTAAGCAACCCGCCAACGAGCGATTCCGTTTGCTTTTGGAATCGTTTTGCTTGAACGTGCGCACTGCATTACAAAAGTGTACATACAGATGAATTCAACTCCATAGCAATCAACTGTTTTTCAAAAAGCTCCCATCCTCAACCAGCACCCAAAGAGACGTGTGGAATAAGCACAAAAACATGAGCAAAAGACCATCTCGGAATGCGCAGAGATGCTGACCTGCAAAATATCTGCCATGTTCCCATTGCCGCCATTTGACGTTTGCCTTTGCGCAAAAGTGACATCTCCACCCTACAAAGCGATATTCCACCAATGCAAATGTCGATCGTAAAAAACCTGCAGGGGATGATAAAGTTCATTAAAGACTCATTTAACCTGATTTGGAATAACGTTTCTCGTGTCGCGCCTCCCTTCTGCAATTTGCAAGTCGGCCTGGCTGCTCTTCCACCGAATATTCCCCCCTTGTTGAAATTCCTTTTTTTTTTATTATTCTCCATAGCCTGCCTTCTTCCCATTTCTCTTGTGGGTGAACGGCATCGGCAGACCACAAGACTGCAAGTACTGTCAACAACGGGCTGACGTCCTAAAAGGTATGCTCGCTTAACCACCCGGAGAGTTGTCTCTGTCCCGCTTCCCATGTCCATGCTCAAACCATGCCCTTGCATTGTCTCTTTCAAAAGCCACCCGTCAGCTCGCTACCAAACTGGATGTTTTATGGTACTTGGTGGAATACTCAAATCAAAAAGCAAAGCTTGATTCGTGATATCCAGCTTTCTCAAAAGATTCAGCCTGCCGGATATTCATGAATGGCCACCGCAAAGTGACCGTCGAGTTCGGCATATTGGCGGAATCTTGATCGACCCGAGGCGAAAAGGAGTAGCATCCCTTTTCATACCTGTCCTGTCCACCCCGTGTCAGACACAGGAGCGGTGGGAAGGAGCGGGAGTGCGCTATGACAGCGGCTGTAGCCGTGACCAATTGTCTAGTGAACTTGGACATGACTGATCCCGCTAAATGGCACGGTACTGTCCCCGGCAAAATTGAGACACGGGTGGAGCGAAATGGGCAGTCCTCTGAAGCAGAAAGAGCATCCGATTTAGAAAGCCCGCATACTCCTCCGATCTTACCTGATCTGACATTTGGGAAGGAATCACTAGCGCAGATGTTGACCGTCGGCTATGGAGAGGTGTCAAAGAAGGATGTGTCAAAACGAAGAGAACGGGCGGCCCAGATCACTCCCATATCAACACATCGTCTTAGCCACGACCACGACACTCGGCGGACGAGCGGAGGCTCTTCCATTTCGGGCTCCTCCGCTGTCCCCAATCAGCGAGTACTCGCGAGGGATTTGAGTCAGAAACGACCACAGTCCGTAGCAGTCGGATTCACGCTGGGGCCTCCGAGTGAGGATTCGCCAGAAGAAACTGTGGCGGAGACGATTTTAGATGTGATCAGAACACGCCGTCTCTCCTTCAATGGACATCAAGACGATCATCTCGCTGCTCTTCAAACATTAGCAAAGAGTTCTTCGTCATCCGCAATTGTCAATCTTGCCGCCCCTTCGACTTCGCCACCAGGATCACTTGACAACTCGACTCCCCTTGTCGACGAGCCGAGGGAAATCCGCCATGCTGAGGCGCCCTATGTTGGTCCTATCTTACCCAAGAGCATAGATCCAATATTACCGACAACGGTGGCTGTCAGGGCTCCGTCAATACTCAGTGAAGGAAAATCTGAGGATGATCGGACCATAAAGCGAGCAATGATAGTTAACGAATTGTTGGAGACGGAAAGGATGTATGTGAACGACTTGCGGACTTTAATTGAGGTATGAAATCTCACTGCTTGACGTTTGATATACGAGCTCACCATGGACTTGCAGAGCTTCTTTGATCGCTTGAATGCCGTTTCCTGGCTTCCGAACGACAAAAAATTCTCTTTGATGCGGAATGCCAGCGAATTGTACAAGTTTCAGCAAGAGTTTCTATTATTGCTCGAAAGCGCGATTAACACTGCGAACGAAGCTTCCGAAGATGCGATTCTTCCCATGTCTCAAGTCTTTCTTGAAATGGTATGTTCTTGAAAGGTTTCTAAACGGACAACTCTGAGGAAGTTAATCACTATTGTATGATAGGAACAACGGTTTGATGTATATTCCCAATACTGCACCCACCATGACGGAGCAATCAAAATTTTGACAGAATATGAGAACCGACCGGAAATGGTAACGTTTCTTCGGGACTTTCGCGGACTAGCTCAAACGAAGCTGGACGTCAAGGATTATCTTATAAAGGTGGGAATGGACGCGCAACAGTTTAGGTCCAGCAGTCATGACTAAGCAACTCGCTCGAGTAGCCGGTACAAAGGCTATGTCGATATCCCCTCCTCCTCAGTGTAGGTCACCACAGCTTTGTGGGTCCAATTTGGAACAATGATACTGACGTCGGAAACAGGAAATGATTAAAGCGACACCGGTAGACTCTGATCAGTTTAATGCTCTTCTTGCTGCGCATACAGTTATGCAGAATGTCGCACTGGAAATCGATTCTGCAAAGGTATTGTTGGTTCCGATTTGCCCTTCATATGACGGCAATTGATAGATTACAATTGTAGTGGAGGATGGAAAACATGCAGAGGACTGATCGGTTTTTTTCAAGACTGGAGAGTGCACATGCTGACCTCCCAAGTCGCTTGGAAGTCGGAGATCTGGTTCTCAGTGGAGCGCTTTATGTAGTTAATCACGATCAGTACACCGTCAAGTTTCGCTATCGGGTAATTTACTCTATATGCAACAAATGGACGCAGCCCTACTATGTTGCTAACAGCCGCGTAGGGTGTCTTCTTGTTTCCCGAGTACATATACGTAGTGAAACCGCGGAGAATGACGGCATATACCCTAAAGTTCTGTCTGTCGCTCTCTTCTTGCGAGTTCATACCTCTGGGTAATGGTGAGAGTGAGTATCATGTCATATCCCAACATCACGTATCCATCATTAAGCAGATTCCCTCTGCAGGCGTTTTGCCAAATGCGTGGCGTCTAAAGAACAGCGAGGGTGATCAGTATTACGACTTTTGTGCAACGAGTGAGAAGGAGCGTGCGGTGTGGGCAGAGACCTTGAGCCGATTAGCCCGTGCAGCGTGGGCTCGACGGTCAACACCAGACACACCTAAGGGAGAAGGCGACGCCTCCGTCGAATCTTATATGGATCCACCGATGGACGCCTTGGACTTGAGACGTACCAGTTCTGCAGGATCAATAAACACCATGAACTCTATTATTTCAAAAACTGATGCGTTTGTTGGGCGGGAAAGGTCGCACTCTGCGCAACAGACGCAACAGACTGTCTCTAACGCGCGGAAGAAAGAGCGTCATTTTTGGCGGCAATCGAGCGTGGATTTGCGGTTTGACATTTTTGGGGAGATTCCAGCGGGCCCACCAAATACTTACGGTACGGTTGGAACCGAGCAACAGCATCCCAAGGGAGCGCTCAACAGAAGAGGGTCTGTGGATTTGCGCTTATTGGACGTTCTGACGCCCCTGATTGAGGCAGGAGGCGTATCACCTCTCCCCACTACAAAATCTGTACCTGACCTTCAAGGGGTATGTCCTTCGCTGGGCATGTTCTGGCAGCATCGTTTGGGTTCGGGTTATGCTGATTTAATCTTGGCTCCCTTAGTTCCGCCGCAAATCCTCCGCCTTTGATCCAGACTTCCGAGCCACCGACGAGTATCAGAATGTCCGTATTGCACCACACTCTCCTGTGCACCACCATTCGATACCGCCGCCCGTTGTACCCAGTCGAGGTTGGTCTGATCCTGCAGTGACCGGATTGAGCAGCGGAGGAACAAACTCGTCCTCTTCCCTGCATCGCCTCTCCGAGGATGGTAGCACTGACGATCCAGACTCCCCCAAAAAGGCGTCGGACAAGGCTCAGGATGACTCTTGGTTGCAATCACCGGGAGGTACAAGTCGAATGAATTCCGGAAGTGGACACGTAGGTAAATACCCTCACAGAAACGAAAATGGTGCCACGTATCTACCTCCCCGTACATCGAGTTTCAGCAATTCGGCCCCGCTTCTGAACCGGTATCCGTCGCGATCCAGTATATCATCTTGGGTGAGCGATCGTAGTGAATGGAATGTACCACTCCCATCGTCTCCACCTGCACGGCCGGGGGTGCGATCTAGTGGAGGCTACGCGACGGTAGGACCTGGGTATACTCCTGAAAGCGATGACCAGAATCCTACCAAGCAACGCCGCAATAATTTGATGCGGAGAACTTGGAGCCAATTTTTCCAGGGTGGAAAAGGCATAAAAGGGGCGTTCAGAATTGGGAAAGGAAGGGATTGAAAGTCTTTTGGACAATTTTGTTGCATGTCAAGTATTAGCTTTTTTGTTGGATTTTCTGACGTTATTACCTAATTAGTTTTTGTAGGCGGTTTGGAGGTTGTCTTATTATATTCTTCTTGTCTTGGTTTGGACTGTAGAGACGGTTGGGATAGGAGATTTATGCCGTCAATGTGTTTTTCCTTTCTGTGTACAAACATGTTTTGAGACGTTTTCTTAAATTACTATACTTTTGAACGGCACCAGAAATAACAAGACTGTGCGCGTTTATTAATGTAACGGAAGCTACTACTATTAACGGTTAAACAACAATATAAATCACTACACTATAGGACATAACATATTCATGAATACCACATTTTCCATGTCGACGATATCCCTTCCCGCATGTCCACTCGGACATGTCACCGCTTTTTCTCTGGCACCCACATCCAAACTTTCACCAATTGAGTACACATCCCAAACCTTTGCTCCAAATGCGTCCACAAGGGCCTTCTCCATGACGGTATTGAAGGCCATCACTCGCAGTCTGCTGAAGCGTCGTCTGCTGTCTCCTTCGGTTGTATCCGCCCTACCACCAAAGTATTGTCCAGGGCGCCATATGATTGGAATGTTGCGCTGGGCATAGGTGGTTTTAAGCAGATCTATAAGGGTCGGGATGGACGCAACGTATGAGGCATAGGACCCATAGGCTGCGTCCCAGTTCGTCAGGGATATGACCACAGACGTTGGTGTCTTCTTGGGAATCTGGTCGTAGTTTGGGATGGCAGAAGGCTGGTGTTCCAAACTCAGAGCTTCCTTCCAGTTTGGACCCCAGTCATTGAGACCTTTCCACAGAAAAACGTAGAGCCAGCTCGAGACGTCTGTGTGAGGTCCTTGGGTTGGTAGATGAAGGGAGTTGTCAGGGCGACCAGGGTCAAGTCTGGAAAAAGGAGACGCACCAATGTTAGCTATCAGGTACAGACAGGGAACGTAGAGCGACATGCACCTACCCCTCAATTCCTAAATGCCAGTCAGTACATTGGCAGTTGCTAGACTCTTCATCAAACCATGTTTTACACCATGCTCCATCGGTTCCTATAGCCTTGACTGCACGGCGAACGTTCGAGTCGCCAAACAGATGGACGAATGGGTGATGAGGCTCCAAACAATCTTTGCGGAAATCTGGGTAGGTCTTGGGTACATAACGACATGTGTATGGGAGGTAGGTGTACGAAGTGTACGATTCCATCACCAAATCGGGTGCATTGGGCGACGAGAGTTCGGATGTCAGGTTCAATGACGTTGTAGGTTTAAGGAAAGGAACTGGCACCCAGCGTCCAGGATTGTTGCCGGTGGTGCAAGGGGGGAGTGACGTGTAGACCTCGTGGTTAACGGCGGGATGGGTTTGCGGGCTTGTAGTGAAGACGAGAGCGGGGATATAGCGGAGGGATTTGCGGTCTACATAAATAGGGAGGGGGGTTGGGGCCCAGAAAACGTGTGCAGGTTTTTCGTAATTCCACAGGTAGTCGGTGTCTGGGAATTACCATGCTTTGAGTGACAGTCTCAAGAGGCAAGCAATCGCCATTCTATACTTACATTCTAATACCACGTCCAATGTAAAAGTGTCCTGATCCTTTAAATCAAGCACCACATTGTACACTCTGTAATCGACACTATGCCTTCCGGAACCTTTTACTACAACATGGCTGTTATCCATGTGTACTGGTACCGTAAAGTGTTTGCCAATCGCACGGATTTCCACGCTGTCTGGGGGCCACAGCGGTATGGGCTCAGGAAGAGAGGACATGTCCGTCCCATTCGTATAGTATGGTGCTTCTACCAAACCGTCACCCCAGTCCACCACAACAAGCCAGGCACACACAGTCGCCGCTTCAATAACAAGCTCGTCCTGCTGCGCCCAACGCATTCCAGTCATTTCGGGAAAGACAAGAGCCCCTCTTTCTCCGCTTTCAGCAATAGGAGCGAGTTCCCAAGATTTCGGCAGTCGCCCGCGATCTGCACAAAGTGATTGACCTGTGCTGTGTACCGTCCATGGTCGTTGCCGTACTGTTGGTCGAGTCTTTTGGGGCTCTGGTCGCGAAGGCCAAATGTCGCGGAATGTGTCTGGTCGATACGAGAGAAACAAGAGGAGACAGAGCTGGACACCCAGTGCTGCGGCGATATAGCAAAGTCGTCGGTGTAAAATTCGTGTCGTAAACTGCAGTTTACCCATGACTGCGCAGCGTTCGCTCAAAAGGAGCTCGCCACAAAGATCGTTATCAACACAATGCAAAAATAAACAGAACGTAGGAGATATCTCCAATACTCTGGCTAAAGGAATCCGTTCAAGTTCCTGGCATGTCCCGTTCACGCCTTCCACGCAGTAAAAGGAAGTGCGCCCCTTCCCCCGCAAGCAAGCTGCTGCAAAAAGGTAAACAAAAACCTCGTTCCAAAAATAAACGGAAACTACTGTTCAACGTCATTTGTTCATTTACCATTTTTGGGATAATGAATCACACAATAACGTGATATTGTCCCTTCCTCCATCGCTCTTTCCAAAGCAACTACAAGATTACAGATTTGGGCGGAATTTCCTACTTGGATATACACATACCCCTGCAATGGGCAGCGACTTGGACAGGTGAGGAAAGCCAAGATTGTTTGTCTATGGAGGGCGTTTACTGACTCGGTTCATGGGTAGACAAATAGAGCAGCTACGGCGGTGTGAGATCATAAGAGAGAGCGAGGTCAAAGAACTCTGCATCAAGGCGCGAGAGATTTTGGTGGAGGAGAGCAACGTCCAGAGAGTGGACGCGCCAGTTACGGTAGGGATTTGCAATGTTTGGTGATTGCAATATCAGAGAATACAAGTCTGGATCCTCCTTGTTTATAAAATGTCCGAACGTGGACCCAACCCAACAAGAAGAGAGATCACGCTGTGTTCACCTGCTACAGCATTTCCTGTATATTGATCTCAGATTGAACTAGATATGCGGGGACATACACGGACAATTTTATGATTTGAAAGAACTATTCAAAGTTGGAGGAGAATGTCCTCAGACAAACTATTTATTTATGGGTAATCCAACTGATGGGCTACCGTTTGGAATTTTGGGTTAAAGTCTGATGTGTTACTCCTTGTAGGTGACTTTGTCGACCGAGGGTTTTACAGCGTCGAAACATTCTTATTGCTTTTGGCTTTAAAAGTCCGATACCCAGATAGGGTATGTGCCGATTTCCATCACTCATAAAGAAAGTTCCACCAAACTCACATTTTTTTTGCGTGATCAGATAACACTCATCCGCGGCAACCATGAAAGCCGACAAATTACCCAAGTATATGGGTTCTATGACGAATGCCTCCGAAAATACGGTTCTGTGAATGTGTGGCGATATTGTTGCGAAATATTTGATTACCTGAGTCTGTCGGCGATTATCGACGACAAAATTTTTTGTGTGCATGGTGGTCTATCACCTGCTATTAGCACACTGGATCAGGTTGGTAATCTTGCCTTGCAGCAAATGATCGTGGCCTCCGTTAACCCGAACCTTTGTTCAAAGATACGAACAATAGATAGGAAGCAGGAAGTCCCACATGATGGTGCGATGTGTGATCTATTATGGTCTGACCCAGAAGGTATGACTGATCATTTGTCAACGACTGTGTTTACGATCCTGACATTTTCATAATAGAAATTGATGGGTGGGGCCTAAGTCCAAGAGGTGCTGGCTATCTCTTTGGAGGTGATATTGTCGACAACGTGAGTTCTCACTGTGCTGTTGGTCAGGGCGTTGCACTAAATAATAAGCAAACTTGAAATAGTTTGTACACAACAATAACCTCGAGCTAATAGCTCGAGCACATCAATTAGTCATGGAGGGTTATAAATTAATGTTCAAGAACACGATTGTTACAGTATGGTCGGCGCCAAATTACTGCTATAGGTAAGTCAGATACCTACGCTGACGCTGGTTCAAAGAATATTAAAACTGAGTTTGGAATCTGGTAGATGTGGGAATGTCGCTGCCATTCTGGAACTAGATGAACTCTTAAATAAGAACTACAAGATTTTTGAGGCGGCGCCGCAGGTAGGTTGAGAAGCCAGAACCCAATGGCATAGGTCTTGTGCTGATGCAAGGTTGATTTCCCCTGGGGACAGGAGGCACGAGGGATTCCAAGCAGAAAACCGGCCCCTGATTACTTCTTGTAGACAAAGATTATTTTCTTTACTACCTCCCACGTCATTCAACCAGCATCTGGTTTATATGATGTGGTCGTATTTGTTTGTAATGTACAAACTGACCAGAAGATTGTCTATATTTGTATTTATGTTGTCTGATGCGAGACTAGCAAGATTCGCCGTTACATAATGTCGAAGAACTCAATCTCTCCGGAACAGATCTCGAACAAATACTTCAATAAACGGACCAAAGGTATATCTGGATTAAGCTGCAAGCCGGGTTGCTATCCGCCTGTACTGCTCTGTGGACATGAGCCGCCGTCTCCAAAGTACTACAATACCCGCCACTAACAAAATCATTATATTTACAACCTGTATCGACGTTCACTTAGCGCACAAGATCACAAACTATCAAGCCTTGAGGCCAATAACTCATACCTCAAACATGAAAAATCGAAACGATTCGATACCAGCCACTAGATCACACTCTCTCCATGTTGGTAAGATTGGGTCCTTTCCTGGATCAAGTGGTATTACGTCTTCTGGAGACCACCATATATTCTTGTCATGCTCTTTCGTATCATTGAGGTTGACTGCATCGATTGGCTTGCAGGCTATCGGCTCCTTGTTTCCTGTAGGTTTACATACATCGAGGGACTAAAAAAAGGAGAATTCGGATATATTAATTAGAAGATAAGCATGGTATTATCTTTCAGATGCATGCACAAACTTTTTCTACTGGGGAACACGCCTCGCAAGCGTCTTCCGCATTGCAGGCGTACACAAGTAGAGTGTTGTTGGGAGTTCTATATAGGAGTTTTTCCTGTGCCGCAGCCGTGGGAAGGATTGCGAGGAGGAGGATAATGGATATGAGGATAAAAGCGGTGGTTGCTCGGCCTTGTCGGCCTTGGGATCTGGACGGATGGAGTGAGGGCATGCTGAAGGGAAGGAAAGGAGAGCGTCCAAGTTGTCGCCTGCCTCAGCCTAGGTTTTCAAGTGACTATTTTCTAACGTGACTGCGCATTGAGGATTAGGTCTTCCGGCCGACCAAACTTGGTAGGTGATTGGAGATCTACCTGGTTGCATGCTTTGATCGCAAAAATGGCTACATCCCAAACTCAAAAGCTCAGTAGGGAGGACTTTAAAAGACAGAAGGTTATTGAGGAACAGCGTAAGGCGTAAGTGCAAAAACTTATGATTTGTTGGACTCTTGGCCGTTTCTGAACCCCCAAATTGCAGTGGTACCCTACCTGCCGAAGTCGACCCAGAAACCGGCCGTGACATCAATCCCCACATTCCGCACTACATCTCCCAAGCACCATGGTATCTTGATATCAACCATCCAACACTCAAGCACCAACGGTACCAACCGAAACAAGAGGGATCCATTAATGACTGGTACTCACGGGGGGCACGACAAGGACCTGCAGCAACCAAATATCGAAAAGGCGCCTGCGAGAATTGCGGCGCCATAACGCATAAAACAAAGGATTGTGTGGAGAGGCCGCGAAGGACGGGTGCAAAATGGAGTGGAAGGGATATTCATGCTGATGAGGTTATTCAGGAGGTGTCTCTTGGGTTTGAGGCCAAGCGGGATCGGTGGAATGGTTACGATGCGGAGGAACATATACGTTTGGCTGAGGAGTGGGAATTGGTTGAAGAGGAAAGGCGGAAGCTTAGGGAACAGCAAGTAAAAGAGAAGGAACGGTTGGAAGCTGAGGGAAATGTTCCAGAGCAGCCAAAGGTGGAAGCGACTGTCGCGAACGACAAAGCGGCAGATTCATCCACCAAAGCCGGGTTGGCAGCTGCTGGGGACAGTGATGACTCTGACGAAGACGAAGATAAATACGCTGACCGAGCCGACATGCCTGGCCAAAAACTTGACACCAAGACACGCACAACGGTCCGCAATCTTCGTATTCGAGAGGACACGGCAAAGTACCTTCTCAATCTTGATGTAAATTCCGCATACTACGACCCGAAAACTCGCTCCATGCGCGATAATCCTCTCAAAGATAAGGATCCCTCTGAACTTACCTACGCTGGTGACAATTTTCTCCGATGGACTGGCGATGCACCCAAATTGGGTCATTTGCAGGCGTTTGCATGGGAAGCTGAAGGCCGCGGCAAAAATGTTCACATGCAAGCCAATCCCACGCAAGCCGCCCTCCTTTATAAACAGTACCAAGAAAAGAAGGGGACCGTTTCGGAAACCCTCAAATCATCCATTCTGGACCGCTACGGCGGAGCCGAACACTTGGCGGCACCACCCAAAGAACTCCTGTTGGCCCAAACAGAGCAATATGTAGAGTACTCCCAAACTGGACGCGTCATTAAAGGCCAAGAACGAGCGGCAGTCAAATCCAAATACGAGGAGGATTATCATCCTCTCAATCATACCTCCGTTTGGGGCTCCTGGTGGAAGGATGGACAGTGGGGATATGCTTGTTGTCACAATATGACGCGAAATGCGTATTGTACTGGTCAAGCTGGTATTGAGGCTGCTGAAGCATCCAGTAAGCTCATAACAGCAGAGGAACCGGTACAAGAGAAACAACCGCAGAGTTTATTGGAACAATATGTCCTCCGCGCCGCTAAAGAAGGGGGACCCACCGAACGAACACAAACCATTAAACCACGCTCTGAGCGATTGGGTGAAGGTGAGATCAAATTGGATCCAAAGAAGCTGAAACAAGCTGTGGCAGAGGAGCGAAAACGGAAGATTCTGGAGGAAGAAGAAGATGATAGGAAGAGCAAAGGGAAGAAGAACAAGTACGGGAGTTCGAAAGGGGGTATGGATGTTACGGAGGAGGAGCTGGAAGCTTATAGATTGAGTAGGACCATGGGGGAGGATCCTATGGCAAATTATGTCGATAAGGAAGAGGATTGATGTGGTTTGAAGTAATAATATAAAGTGAACAACCAGACCCTTGTCTCTGTCTCATGGCTACAAAAGATATGACTTTTCAGGTCACCAAATGTGGACTTTGCAATCAGAGCCAAGACTAGTCTGAATTACTGCAATTAATCAACCAAATTCAATAGCCGGACCAGCACTATCTCCAAACACGCGTCGTCCCCCTTTTCACCGAGCACTGGATCTCCTCCGATCAAACCCTCTTTCCTCGTACCTCGGAAGATCCCTCGACTCTGTTCCACTCCGTCTTCCTTCAAACGAACTCTTTGGGCGTCTATACGGATCAAACCTCCGCTGGTCACGATCAGAACTAAATCGGTCACCCCTAAATCCGCCAAAACCTTCATCCCTCCCACTCGGTCTCCTAAACGGAACAGCAGATCCGCTCTCTCTTCTCTCCGGATGCCCAGGCTCCGTAGGTGCAATACTAACTAATACCGCGTCCCCAACCACAAAGCGCAGGTCACTTAGGGTTTTGGTGTCGTCGTACGAAGACCGAAAATTGAATACATTGCCTAGAGGAATGCACCGGAATTGGAGGGGACGGGTGGATACGCGGCTTATTGCCCGGAAGCTGATACGGACTTCGCGGGGTTTCGCGGCAGGGTACGTTGTTTGTAAGAGGGACGCAAGTTCCCGTAGCGTAGCATCTTTCCTGAATGTAAAGTTTAGACTCAGTTGTGACAAACATAATGGTAGAAAGCTACCAACCAGGTGTAAACCAGATGTTCGTCTCTCTCGGGCAAACCATCCCGTTCCAGATCTTCCACACGCAAATCCCCTTTCGTGCTAACATACATGCGCACCAAAAACGGACACGTCTAAATAAACGTTCACAGAGAGCCCAAATATTAGCGATACAGTTCCCGCACGTTGAAAAACGAAGCAACTATCCACCTTCTCCCTATCGACCGTCAATTTCTTTCGTCCTCGGCTCTCCTTTGTTTCCTGCGACTGCTCCTCTCGCTCCTCGCCCCGTTCGAGTTCTTTGTGACGATGCTCTTCCGTTGCATCGGCCTCGGATTGTTTCTCCATCTCCTCAGTCGGCTTTGAGGCTTCGGTAGTCATTGCGCTGACGTAGGTGGATATTTTGGATGAGATCTCACGAGAGCAACCCCTTCGATTTTGTGATGCCAACTGATTTTCAACCAAGCCGGTTATTGATTGGAACCGCGTTATTCATTCAATTTTAATGAGGTGAAATCAACATTCAATGAGCTATTGCGCTAAATAACTAAACGATGCACCACTATAAGCTATCATGCATTGAATGTTCTCACTATCCTTGAAATACGTTCTGCAAAGTTAAACAGAAATGATTATCTCATTCACTGCTCTACGATCACAATCTGTAGATGCTCACCTCGGCATATAGGACACTCACGCGAAGTCCTTTCGAGTGCCTTTCCACATTCCATACCTGTGATAAAAACTTTAAATTATAGATCCAACTATCAACAACTGAACAATGGGTAGCTTACATGTAACAAGATGCCCACATTCCAAGAATACGCAGTTTATGGGTGCATCACAGCATATCTTCATAATGAGAGTCAGAAAAAAGCCAGCTATCGCAATTTTTGAACCTAAGAGAGCACTCCACCAACCTTACACAACCCATCTTCATCATCTCCACCATTCTTCTCCATCTCGGCCTTTTCGCTGTCCAACAGACGTTTGACCCTGGTCACCAGTTCACTCTTTTCCAGGACGTTCCCAAACTCAACTTTATTATTCTTTAGAATCTGCTTCAGGGTTTTGGCCGAAAGACCGGATGGGTCAGTGTTGGTTTGAAGTAGGGCTTTTAGACTAGGTACTTCTGCTGGCGGCGTGGTTTGGGAGCCGGAAGGCTGAGGTGGTGGTGTGGGGCGTTGTGCGGGATTCTGCTGTGGATGCTGGGGTGCATTGAAGGGATGTTGTGGCGGTGGGGCGTGGGGGGTTGGAGAAACGAAAGGCGGTATGAATTCCGATCCAGGAAAGTGCGGTATAGTGCCTGGTGGCACAAAAGGGAATCCAGGTCCGAATGGCTCTGCGGAATTCCACCCTCCACCATTGGGCCGTCCGCTGTTGCGCCCACCTCCAAACATACCCTCAAACATGTTTTCAACAGCTTCAACTGCGTTCTGACCCGGATACCTGGAACCATTGTCCTCCCTCCATCGTTCGCTTTCCCTAGCCCACTCCCGCCTTTCCCGCTCGCGTTCCCTCGCTTCTCGTTCATGTTCGCGCATTCTTCGTTCCCGCTCACGTTCTCTCTGTTCCTGCTCTCTTGCCCGTGCTCGCTCACGCTGCACCCAGTCTCTCTCTGCTCGTTCCCGCTCACGTTCTCTCCGTTGCTGCTCTCGGGCCTGTGCCCGATTACGATTCCAGTCTCCCTCCGGCCGTTCTCTCTCCAATCTGGACGGAGCGCTCCCTTCTCTCCTCCGACCTTCCCCAGATGAACCCTGGTCAGCTATTGGGGAGCTCGGCGCGGTACTTCGAAAAGCGCGCTCTTCCGTCTCGCCCAACTCAGTCCCGGAAATCAACCTTATAAGTTCAGACTTTTCAATCAGGTTTGCGGCATTAAGGTTGTATGCTTTTATGTAGCTTTGGAGTTGCTTTGTTGGAAGAGATCCTAGCTGTTCACGGGACATGCGGGTCACTGGCGAGGTGAAAACATTGAAGATAGGCATTCCTAAAGCCGGGAGATGGGCACACACGTACTTTGTATGAAGGGATAGCAGTACGTGCAAATGGCAACTGGCGTAAAGTACCCAAACTGTGGAAGGGTCAGCCGATTGTCACCCAGGCATGTTGGACACTTTACTGGAAAGCAGACGAGGACTGTGTCAATGCATGGTCCACCGAGACTTGGGAAGTTTCAGCTTTACCGTTGCCGCAATAATAACAATGTCCCTTCCTCTTCCAAAACCCAAACCTTGTTCTACAAAGCAAAATCATTTAGACCAAACGGAAATACTCCAGGGTACCTCACTCTCGACCGCTCCCTTTCCACTCTGTCAAACGGCAAGGTACCTACCCACAAACACATTGATCAACATCCCCTTTTGGCTTTAACTTTGGTATTGATCGAGTCAAGGGAGCATGTCCTCTGCCTACAGGGGTAGATCCATTCCTTGAAGACGAGTTCGGGGGCGAGGAGGATGGTCCTAAAGATGGTCCAGCGGACATGAAGAGTGGTAGCTAGTCCCTGTGCAGAAGGTGAACGCAGATTTGGGAAAGACCCAGATGGTATATCACGTGACCGTATGGACGATCTTTGGTCGCAGTTGCAATCCTTTGTTTTTACTTCCTTTTCCAACCTGGAAATAAATGAAAGACGCTGGTAGTCTCAAGCTGAATTTCTCATTGGCTTAAAAGAGATATACGAGAATCAAGATGGTCGAACATCTGTGGATAGCTGCAGAAAATGTACCAACCGTTCCTACGAACTATCCGAACGTCCAGTTAGATTCAGATATAAGTTAGATTTGTTTGAACCTAAAGGTTTTCTTGGGCTGAGAAAGCCGAGCTAGCAGCTGTAGACCTGTGACATTGTAGGATAGCTTCAAATACTTGAAATACGTATTAGCCGCAAAATGGCACAAGATATTATAAATCATGCAAGAAACCAACAGTTGACCATGCATGGAGACCTGCCGTCTCTTCTGCAGCGTGCGCCCAGGGCAAATGTCCCATTCATGCTTTATCCAGCATGGGGTTTAAAGATCCATGGGACATAAGCCCCTTGTGCATTGCATTCTCCCAGTATTCACAAAACTCGAAAGGTTAGAGCTCATGTTGATCTATTATCGGATATAAGCTAGCAACCTTGACATTATTTTTGTCCACGTACATTAATAAAAATTCGTAGCATAAGACACCGTAGTAAACCCCTTCGTCAGCCATCTGTATTCTAAATCTATATCCATGTATCTCCAAAAACTTTCCACACCCACCCGCATCGACAATTACATGCTTCTTACATGTGGGACTGACCAGCTTGCGGCAGTCCGGCCCGGTTCAGCTGACCCAAACATACCTGGCCCCGCACCCACAGGTCGATCTCCAGAGTCTGATGACCCAGCACCAGTAGATGAGGCCACGGACAATCTATTGGCGCCTGCTGTTCCGCGACGCTCCGAAAAGAACTTTGGATTTTTTGCGACATTCGATAGGGACGAGAGAGACGGGTGAGAGTGGAGTGACAAGCGTTCAAACGATCCACTGATCGGAATCCGCGATAAGCGGTCGTTGTTCTTGATTGGGATGAGCGGAACCGGTCCTGCACGCCCTTCTATAATTGCGATATTACGATTAGAGCCGCCGTCTCTCCACTTGGATAAGATGCTGACACTTACTGTGTTGTCCAGCTCGAACCATAACATTAATCCAGCTGACCATTGCTAGTTGTGTATCCGCGGAAAAGTGAATAGTAGGGGCATCACGATGCATTGCCATAAAGGCAAACCGAGCATGTGCAGAATTAGCGTCTGGTAGAATCGTATAGTTATCACCAATAGGAATATCTGCCACGACATGAGGGTTACTCTGCGCAGAATAAAAGTAGTTAGCATGACATGATCCAGTTTGATTTTCTCCACCTAGTGCAATTACCTGACCCTTCAAGATGTGCAAGATTCCAGCATTCAAAACACACCATCGCTTCTTCCAGCCCTTCGCATGACCAACTCGAACATGAAGCCACCCAGCATGATCTGGATTTGGAAACTGGCGATCCAGATCAACAGACTGTGTTTTGCTATGTTTGGATCTACGATGGCCTCGTGTCAAATTTCGTGCTAAGCCACGGAAATCCGATCGTGACTTGGCAAGGAAACTATAGCAGGGCGGTCAGATGCTTGTCGTGAGCATATGCAATACGTACCAAAAACGTACTGTAAGAAGTTGGGTTCGTGTTCCTTTGGAGAAGTCGAGGGAGAAGTCGGCGAAGACGGTGAAGTCGGTGAAGTCGGTGAAGTTGGTGACGTGGGTGACCTTATATCCTCCAGTGAAGTTTTGCTTTCAGGCTCGGCAGGTTGGCCAACGATTCCACCGACAGACCTGCTCGCTGGGGTATTTTCATGAACCTCCTCGTCCTGTTTCCAGATTTCAATACATGTGATAGTGTATGTGCTATTCAAATTGACAATCGTACCGAGTCGGATGATTCAGCTTCTTCCTGTGACAACGGATTTGGGGAAAGAGGAATGTCTGTAGTACCAACAGGTGACTCTTCGGGTGACTCTGGGGAGTCACCAGTATCATATAAATAGTCGCTTAGAGTGAAATATGATACTGTCCTCCGCAGCCGCTCCTCCCTTTCCTGCTCGTCGTCCGGATTATGGACTCGGTACGACCACTTTTGTTCAATGTTCTGAGGAAAGGTCCACATGTGATTGTCAACAGTCTGCCGCGCACATCATTAACCAGAACATCCAACTTACACCAACTTCATCTTCCTCGGCAAATCCCGAATCCTGGGACGGTACGTTGGATGGGGACTTTTTAGTGATGCTGGTGCGGACAGACAGTGATTCCTGCGATCTTTTGTCCTCCGGCGCATCCGGTAAGGACTGTGCTGCACGAATTGGCAGTTCCGTTGAGGTATTTGCAAAATCCTCCTTCAGTGCCAGAATGGAGTGAAGAATGTTGATACGGTCGCCCAATGATTCGAGACCCAGCTGTCGAAGACTTGACAAGTTGAGTTCCAAGAGCGTTTCGCCATTCACTTGTTTCTCTGGATGTTGCCGACGAAAGGTAAATCACTCGCGATATACATCATACAACTAAACAAATACCAACCTGTAAAGATTGACACCGCAAAGGGAAAGCCAGATTCGTCGAGCCACTGTCCAACCTGCTCCACATTCCATGTGATGGGGTGTGACCCTTCGGTGACCGATGGCTCTTCGACAATTTGATTTGTGTCCGTGTTGACGTATGCGCCTTTTCCAAATTGACCATCTTCATTGGGAACAGGGGGAAGAGGAGTCGAGGGAGCTCTCGCAGGTTCGTCGTACGACATTTCGTATTGGCTCACATGGATGTGATTCATATTTGCCGAAGAGAGACCCGCCGCTGGTTCGTCCATAACAAAGTTCATCGGAAAGAGGCCAACCAATCCACGGACGTTCCTTCCCTATAACCATGTCGGTATTGAGCATCACCGTCTGCCCACCAAATGGGAAAAACTCAACATACCCGCCACCAGCCGTCATTGTAAAGCTCGTCGCGTTCCAGCACAACAACAGGCTCGGAGGCATTGAAGCTGATCTCGTCCTCTTCCTCCTGTCAAGGGTTTTTTTTTTATGTGGTGAGCACAGGCGCGTGAGGGCTAGCAGTACTTGTGCCCTGTGTACCTACAGCATTGAAGTTGTGTTTGCCATACACAATAAAAGGCAGGTTTCTCTCGTAAAAGTTGGGTTGCGTGATCGCAATCATTTCCGCAATGTCCCAGTTGAAATAAAGGAGTAACTGCTCGAAGAAGGGGGATAGGAAAGGAGATTGCTACGCGGGAAAGGCGGCGGCGCGTTCAAACACGGCTTATGGAGGGAAGGCCAGTTCCGTTGGATGCTTCCTCTTGCGATATGCCTTCCGATATAAACAAGGGAAGAACAAAAGGCCCTTCAGGGTAAAAAACAAAAAAAAAAGATAAACGACGACGAGACGAACGAAACGACGACAAAAACTAGCCAAGAATGTCAAAGTTAAAAAAGCCTCCGCAGCAGAAGCGAATGATTTTCTCGCGAAAAATCTCCTCGCGTGGCAGTCTTTGCTGCAAAAGCAACCCGCAAGCCTTCCTTCTTGTTGGCATGGCAATAGTGGCACAGTTGAACACGCTAGGTAAGCGACCTTTTATGTGAGATATCCAACCAGATGCGTATCTCGTTTTCGTCCATGGAAGAGCTACAGCTTGAAGATGATGGACGACGGGAGGCGTCGGCATCAACTTTTATGTCATCGAGATCATCCGTGGTCAATTATGCATGGAAAGCAAAAGATAGTGTTTCTGAACTTGGGCCAGATTCTCCCTGCCATTCAGCTTTAGCGTTGCGAGCAGATTTTATGCCACCAGAGCACGATCCTGCCTATCTCAAAGCAGAAGAAGATATTAGGAATGCTTACAGAGAACTCAACAATGTAATTGGAGATCATCCGCCACCTGCACCACCTGAACCACCGACAGGGTTTCCTTCAACAGGCGCTGAGGGCACATTCGTCAAGAAACGGGTGAAAAAGAAGCGTCTCTCAGCAAGTGCACTGGCCCAAAGGAAGAAGGTGAAGCAAGCAGCCCGTTATGAATCCGCATTACCAAGTAATCGTTTACATACACGACCGCAAAGCGCTGGTCGTCGACCAGAAACGCCTGGGCTGCCGGGGTTGACAGGGCTGCAGTATGATTTACAAGCCGTTACCAGGGTCCTTGCTCAGCATATACATCCAGAACAAGAGCCTGCAGTTTATGACAACACACAGATATATACGCCACTATTGGAATCTCCGGATTTGAGAAGATCATGGAGATCTTCGTCCACCCTCCCGCTATCGAGACCAACATCAGCACGCGTAGGAGCACCCAAAAGTACGGCCACCACCAGACCTCAGTCGGCAAGGACTTCAGGCCAAACATCTGGCAAGCCCACTCGACCGAGTACTGCCAGATCAAATCGGACGGGATCTGCAATCCGTCTCCACAATGGCCCAAGGCGGCTTTCTGCAGGAAACGCGCTTCAGCGACGACTAGAGACTGAATTAATGGCACTTGCTCCTAACGCCGAACCCAGCCCCTTCACCGGGGGCCTTGTCACGAGTGCAATGCCAGACTGGGTGAGGGCCTCCACACCTCCGCCTCCCAACGAAACATTTATAGAAGCTTTCCGAGATCCGTACAGGGAGGTTGATGACCACCTGGCGTCCAAAATGCTTCTCGAATGGTTTGATGATCCCGAGTTCGAGGTGAGACCTCTTGCTACAACCGTCAACGAAAGGGCCGTACATAACTTAGTGCATATAAAAGACGCATACAACAGAGGAATGGTTAGCTATGGGTAGACAAAGCGGCCACAAGGGAACGCCAGCTTTCAGTCGCTATTTTAGACACACGGATACCGAAACCGAATGGGATTGGCTTGAATGCCTGGTCCTCGACTATGATCGGGAAACACAACGCTACCTTATCGAATGGCTGCCATCAGGCCCGCAAAAGTTTGTCAAACGCCTCAATCTTGTCTTTAAAGAAGAGAATCGCGAATTATTTTACAAGCGAATCGAGAGTGCCATCAGGGCACGATCCCTGGCAGCAGAGGAAGCAGCGTACCTCGAATCCATTGATAGAGAGGATAACAGCGTGGTTTGTCCTCTTCCACGTTCCTTCAAACGGTCTATTCTCAAAAGGCTCGGCTGCTCAATCAGCTCGAACCAATTGAAAATGGTGGATGCAACTATGGAGCAAGTTGAACGGGATTTCTTGTTCAGCATGAAACGCGCTACTAGGGAATTCTCCCACGGGCCTTTTGCGCATGTACTCCAGCAATCAACAGCAAGATCGGAGCGCTTTGCCGAGCTTGCCATGATGCGGTCGGGGACAAGCGCAGATGACCCCCAAGGACACATTTTTGCACAGGTCGCGATTGCCACTCGGGATCTGTCCACGTACATGTTCAGCGCCAATGCCAATGTACAGAAAACTATAGTGGAGATTCTGGCTGCTTTGCGAGAGGTCCTACCAGTGAATGAATCATTTTATCGAAAAGACTTTGGATTTCCGTCTTTATTTGCAACCTTTTGTGAACGTGCCGAGACTCATGTTGACCTTGTCGTCGCTCGTCTTACCAACGAGTGGACAAGAAAGATTTGTAATGTCATGGAGGCCATGTTGGGCGATTTCTTCAATTTTAGAGAAACAAATGAAGCCGTGTACAATTCCAGTCGTCTCAAGAATTTTTTGCGACTCGTAAATACCATTATGGAATCACAACTGAGGAGTCTGTTACTGGACAGTTTCAAGACGTTTTTATCTCTTTTTAATGTGAATGTCACATATCGGAATGCTTCAGAAGAAGAAAAACGTAAATACACCATCAAGTCGCCATTTAATACCCCTGGTATTCCGATACCTCTGTTATTCATTCTCAATGTCACGGCACACACGGGAGATGGCACCCTTGTACCTCCTTCGCGGCAGGTGGATGGGTTTGCAGTCGGACGCCAGGCGGGCGTCGTGTTGGATCACTCTTTGTCCGTGGTGGAAGAAGCACTCAAAGCGGTTTATTTGATGCCCGCGACAAAAACCATCAAAGCAATTCCTCATATCGAGGTGGTTGCGATGTACGCTTTGTACTCTGACGTCTCTACAAACTGGCTACACACATCTTTACGGAACGAACTCATCATAGATGATGGGATGGCGTTGATGATGGAAATCTTGCAACAAGCTTATGCAGAAATCGATAAAGTCGTTGCAGGCTACAAAGAATACGAATTCCTGCTACAAGAAACACTAGATGAAGGAGTTTGGGACGAACTGACAATTGATCTAAACGACTTGGAGGATTACCTCCAACGATTCTACAATGCGTCCAAAAAGATTGACAGCATTTCACCCGCACAGATCGAGATACCCCCGTTCCTCCTCAACTGTACGATGATCAAGAAACTCTACCAACATTGTACTCAGACGGTTCTGGAGAACCTCAAACAACGCATTTTGACGCGTTTGGTAGAGAGTTGCAGTTTTTTGGCAACGGCCTATAGTGATCTATATGGACAAGTCTTGAATGATCCGGGACAAGATGCTATCCAATGGCAAATGCTCAAGACAGCAGTTGACACGTGCATGGAGCAGATTGGGCACTACGATGAGCAGGTTGGTGCCACGTCCTGGAATTCGATTGATCATGCATAGTGATTCAACTGGTCTCTCCACAGTTGGACGAATTGAAAGCGATATGGCAACTGATGTACGATTACGAAATGCCGTTGGATGAGGAGATTAACGATCTGTACTGGACAACATGTGCATGGCCAGTCAAAGTGGCTGATGAACTGGACCGGGCTTCGGAACGGTTGACCAATGCTCGAGCACGGATTATGAGCCAGGTAACAAAGTTAAAGCTGACATCCATTTCTCTTTCTCAATTCTCATGTGTGCGTAGATCGAGATTGACAAGGAGTTTGTCATTAACTCTGTTCAAGCTTACCGAGAAGAAGTCCAAACGTACCTTGCATCCGCGGATAATATTGAGCGGTACAGCGATATGGTCAATCGCGTTCACTACCTTCGCGAACGCATTGACCGGGTGAAATCTCTGGGAGAGGCTATTCCATTGCAAGAACAACGAATTGGACTACCAGTGACCTCCCTTATCGAACTTAAGACGTTAGAGAATGACTTCCAGCCATACGAGGAACTATGGAAGCTAGTGGGTGGTGTTCGGGACCGTTTGGCAGAGTGGCTGGACTCGTATTTTGCGGATTTGGATGCACAGACGATGTTGGAGAATGTCGGAAGTTGGAAGAGTACTTTGAAAAAACTGTCTCCTGTTTTCCTGGATGCACCAAAACCCCAGAGTATTACCATGAGCATTGAAGCCGAAATCCTGGATTTCGATCGGTATATTACTATTATTACATCGCTGCGTAACCCGGCCCTACGTGACAAGCACTGGATGGAAATGTCCAAAATTGTTGGTATTACGCTGCGGGATATAGCGGGGTTGAAACTCCGGCAAGTGCTAGAGCTTGACTTGGAATTGGTCCAGGATATATTAGCAGAGATTAGCAGGGAAGCCAGTTCTGAGTGGGAATTTGAGCATGAGCTGGATGTGATGCGCACAGAGCTGTCTTCCCGGAAATTTGTCGCTGTCCAGTATGTTACGCCAGAGTATTACCTTATCGAGAATTTTGGGGAGGCCATGTCGGTTTTTGAAGACCTTTTGATACGCTCAGAAAGCCTGGCGCGAAGAGCGTACGTTGAAGTCCTCCGCACGAAAATCGACGGATGGATGAAACGACTCTGCAAATGCCAAGAAACCCTCCAAGAATGGCAGAACTTGCAAATGATCTTTGCAAAGCTGTACCCGGTTCTTCGCCTCTCTGGTGAAATATCGGCTCTCACTCGTGACCAAATAGAAAACTTTATTGCCATCACAAAACTGATGAGCATTCTTTCGGATGTGGTCACCAAGAACAGGAAATTCAGCACGGTTCTTCTTCGGAGTGATCTACATGATATGATTGCCGGTGGACTGGCAAGAGTGGACATTGTCATGAAGGGCATCATAAAACTCATTGAAGCAAAACGGGAAAAGTTCCCGCGGTTTTGGTTTTTGACCAACGATCAGGTGTTGGAGATGGTGTCCTGTTTACCGGATGTCCGAGCTTTGAATCCCCTTTTGGGCAGGTGTTTTGATGGAATATCGCAGTTGGTGTTGGGCCAAGTTGAAAGAGAGGCTGCATCTCTATATCCTACCGTAATTGAATTTGATAGTGGAATTCCTGAAGATGTTGCTGGTGGTTCAGACCATGATATTGCGGTTGATCGGTCAAGGGAGGCTAGTTACCTATCAGCTGGTGCAGGACCAGAAATCAAAATAGGGGAGACGCTGACCTCCATTCCGAGTTTTTACACGAAGTTATCCTCATCCTTCTCCATTGGGTCACGGAGACGAACGATGCAGCGTGTACAAGAACCCGAAGTTCACGTCCCAAGAAACCTCAAGTATGTTTTGAGCGAGTCGATGGGTATCGAGATTCTGGGTGTTGAGAGCTTTGAAGGGGAGCAGTTGATGCTTCGGACACCAATTTCAGTGACGACTAAAGTCGAGGACTGGTTAGCAGAGCTGCAAGATGGTTTACGGGACAACCTCCGCAAACAGATTGCATTGGCGTTGGACAATTCGTCCGAAACAATTCCTCTTGCCTCATGGCTTCAGTCATACCCGCTCCAAGTAATCCTGGTCGCCGCCAACATCAAATGGAGCACATATCTCAAAACATGTATATCCCAAGGAACGGATTCTGCTATCAAAGAATTTCGCAAGAGCTTGTGCAAGGAGCTCGATGACATTATTGGACTGTTGAAGCATAATACACCGCCTCTTACTCGCCAAGTAATCGAAACCCTCATCCTTGCCCTGTCTTACGTGATTGAAACGACAAATGGAGATTTACCCAACCTCACTGCACCGGACTGGATCAGTCGTCTCCGATATGAGATGAGCGAGGATGGGATTGTGAACGTCCACATGATGCATCATACAGTCAAATACGGGTACGAGTACAATGGAACATCGCCGAGGCTGGTTATCACACCGGGTATCAACCGATCCATGGCACAGATCATGACCTTGCTTCGGTACGCTGCTAGTCCTGTGCTCACGGGTTCGGGTCTACAACGTGAGACTCTATGCGAGTTGTCAAAGGCCGTCGGTGTACGATGCGTTTTGGTAGAGTGCGCAGCAGAATGGGTTCCTGGTATTCTCTCCCGGATTATATCGGGGATGCTGAGTACGGGGTGCTGGCTCTGTTTGGAACATCTTGATCGACTTGCTGAGGAGGATCTGTCAGTAACTGCGCACCATATCGGAACGGTGTATCGAAACTTTGGTATGGCTTCCAAAGCACGGCGCTTCAAGTTTGCCTATGATGGAAGAGAGTTTGATGTACATGATACTACAGCTGTTTTTGTCACATATGGGGGTCAAAAGCCCTA